TGAACATAAGGCAGACCTGAAACACGGTAGGACAAACACCTCAGCCGTGGCAGATCACTGTTACAATTCAGTGGGCTCACATGACATTGACTTCTCCAAGACAGAGGTTCTCTGCAAGCCATCTGGCTATCATGAGAGATTCGTTCATGAGGCGATCCACATATACAAACACAGAGACAATTTCAACCGAGAAGATGGATTCTGGCTTAGCAATCATTGGAAGGACGTAATAAACCATTTCGGATCTTAACTGATTGTGTTCACGTTTACGGTGACTTTCAGACCACGTTCCACTCACTGGCATGGTGCAGTGTGCAGAGTAATGTATGGTGTCGTAATTGTACAGTAAACATATAGCAGTATGATACACATTAGGGTGGGTAGAATAATACATAGTGTTATATAAAATGGATAAGGCAGCAACTGCAGCAGCAGCAAGTGCAGCAGCAGCAGCAAGTGCAGCAGCAGCAGCAAGTGCAGCAGCAGCAGCAACTGCAGCAGCAGCAGCAACTGCAGCAGCAGCAGAAACTGCAGCAGCAGCAGCAACTGCTGCAGCAGCAGTAACTGCAGCTCCCTTTGATGCTGTTAATCCTGCATAATGCACATGCATATGCAGTACTAATCACATTCCTGCATTTCCCATAAATATGCTAAATTCCTTTTGATATGCAAATTCCTTTGTCAATGCGCCCAGCTTATATATATGCACCAAGCTCGTGTGCTGTTTCATTCAGACTCTGTCGCCTCGACGGACCTGGTTTTCACCTGAGGACGGCTGCTTGCGTTGTGGCCGAAACGTCGTGAGAATTGTTTTATTATGTTTTATTTTTATTATTTTATTACTTCCCTTCTACGTGACTTTACCGAAAGAACCAAGAAGATGAATCCCTGCAGTCACGAAAGCTTTAAATCGAAAAATAAGAGATAGCTTTTGTCATTCATGTTATACATTGACTGGACATGATTGGTTCAAGTGACGACATCACATTTATCCCTCTATGTTAGACTGAAACAGGAACATTTCTCTACAACTCTGGCTGTCACCTGATGAGGCTGGTTGTAATTACTGGCGAAACGTCATACTCGAATTATGAATGTGGGTTTACTCTCCAACACATCGGTGTGCTAAACTCGTAACTCGTAATTTTCTAACAAACAATTGCCATCAAACCATTAATCTAGTAACCCCACTTTGTACCGTGAGCCGACATTGTTTACGTGACAAATCTTACTAATTGGCTGTGTCGAGTGGTGGCGGGTTTAACCCCTAAAAACCTCTATTATGGACATATACCCCTCTCCCCCCCCCCGTGAACTCTTGCAGCCACGACTCTACAAACCCCCCTCTCGTGCCTATGTAAAGCCACAACAGCAGATCATTCTTCATCACCTGATGACGGACGCTTGTGTTGCGACCGAAACGTCGTGTTCTTTTATTATTATTTTTTCTATATACGTGACTTTACCGAAAGAACCAGAGAGTAATGTTATTTGAATATTTCAAACACACTAATAACGCTATGTAACACGGTTTTTGTTCCTGGGTACTAAGTGTTATTTTCTAATTGCGTATGCCTCAAAAGTATAGGAAATGGATATTATTCCCCACAAACTTTGCTTTTGTGACCAGGGCTATACGTGAGGGAATGACACAAATGCACACCGCGTTTTCTCATTGAAAATAGGTACATTTCAAAATATCACTGTCCTGGTCACAAAAGCAAAGTTTGTGGGGAATAATAGCCATTTTCTGTACTTTTGAGGCATAAGCAATGAGGAAATAACACTTCCTACCCAGGCACAAAATAAAAATAAATTTGTTACACAATGTTATTAATGGAGTGGATTCTTAACTTTGCTTGTTCCACAGTGTAATCGCTAGGAGGAGCACTGACGGTTAAATGCATTATTTGCTAACAAATGATTGCCATCAAACCATTAATCTAGTAAGGGGCCATCCATTTAGTAGGTACGCAAAAATACGTCACAACTTGACCCCTCCCCCCTCCCTGTACGCACGCGGACTTTTTACACCCCCCCCCCCCGATTCCTATAGAACGGCCGATATTTAATCCACGCAGAAACGATCAAAGATTAATAATATTAACGTGTATAGGGAAACAGATAGTCCACCGCCGGACTATCTAACTCATTTGAAGGCCAATGTAGACAAATTATTGTCGAGGCTCCACCCCCCCCCCGTTGCCTACGTACATTGTCAGTAGACCCTCCCCCTCAATGCGTACGGACGAAACTGAGCCGACATTACCCACAATACATTTCAGGGGCTTGCTCACAAACTACATTGTCAGTTAAGTGTTTAATGTAGTTAAGTATTTAATAAAAGGATCTCTTTTCAAATTATTGTTTTAATCATGTAGTTTCCGTGTATAATGCACGTTCATTTATTAAACATTTATAATTATCGCCACTTAAAAATCTTTTCGAGGGCCCATAGAGTAAAGGTACAGGATTCTGGGTTATATAGGGATAGTGGGAGCAGCCCAACTCATACTTACCTGACAGGGGAGGCACCATGATCACTTAGGTGGTCCTCCCAGGGCGAGGCTCATCCATTGCACTGCGGGTGGGTTGACCCCTGCGATTTCCCCAAATGCGGGAAACTCGACTGTATAATTTGTGGTACTGGGGGACTGCGTTCGCGCTATCCCCCGATTTTAAGCAAAGATAGAATTATTTTCAATTGAGTGTTCTAATTTATCTATGTCGGGTTTTGCAAGTGTAGATTATCCATTAGGGCTGTACGAGTTTTAAAATAGAAATCGCAATTTGAAACAATGCGATTAGTAAATCGCAAAGGCTGCAATTTTTTGCGATTCGAAAGGGCTTATTGGAATTTATTTTTATTATTTTCAATTAATTTTACTTAATATTTGTTCTATGCTTCATTGTTCTATGTCAATTAAAACATTTTTATAAATACATTTTGGAAGCAATTCAGGTCTTTTAAGTTCTCATCCTCGCATTAGAATATATAGAGCAGTTCATATTTTCATGGTATCATGTGGTAATGCTCCATCACATGATTTTAATCTATTGCACTCAACATTGAACTGAAACTTGGCTTCAAAACATTGAATCGCAAATCAAATCGCAATGTCAGAAAAAGCGCAATTTGATATTTTCCCCAAATCGTTCAGCCCTAATGATCATTATCCCTTCACGTCCGGCGCGTGACATCTGGTGTGGTTGGCCAGGGGAGGGGTGGGGCCACGGGTCAAGGTTCGCGCGGGGGGCCTGCGAGTTGGCATGCATACACTATTCAGTTATTTTTACGTTTATATTTTCAAATCTTACAAAATATTTCATATTGTCGATAATCCAGGATGAGTAAATATTTAGATTTTGCTATAGTAAATGTCGATAACTGAGGATATATTACATACTGTACGTGTATTAAAAGTTGTAAACATATATAATCGATATGTAAATAACAAACCAGCGTGCGCTAATTTGCACGACATCACTGCACTGCTGCAGCAACCCTTCAATTACAGAAATATTTCCCGCCGCAATTAACACCTTTACATGCTAATTTCTCACATTTGAAGTACCGGTGAAGACGCTTGACGCCGAGGTTGAGGCACACGTATATTTATTTCACAATACGACAGTGGGCATATACACACTCGAGGGGGTATCGGCCCCCTCACCCGTATAACTCGGGATACACCCCTAGCTAACTCTGTCCTAGCCCCGAATCCTCCACTAATGGGCTAGGGGAGGCTAACTGGCCCGACACTGGTAAGTCGGGCCTGGTACCCGGAGTTCCAGACCAGCTCTTACAAGAGCACCGGCTCTGGCTTTCGAGACCACGCCGCTGGCTCAGTCCTGTCCGGCCCTGAAAAGGACATCGAACTAGGGGAGTCCAGGGCTCTATCTAAGACGTCTTCAGTCTTCTTCCCTTAGCTTAAACATAACTGACTCGAGCCCTTTGAACATCCCCTTTTATACCCAACCCCTCCCTGAGGGGTGGGGCCCCGGGGGATCATAACGTTCGAACCAGCCCCCCCCAGGGTGTCTGGCTCGGACGTCGTAGAGGGCACCCCCTCGTGCACTTACGTAGCCCCGCCCACTGTGTTTGTTTTCCATAGGCTGCCATGCATAACGGGCCCTCTCTTTAACACCCCTACACATTAACATCACTAGCCCCCCCCCCCACTTCTTTATGACCCTTGGGCTACACCCATTTCAAACCTTTTAAAACAGTTTCAGCAGCAGATCATGCTCTTTGGTTCTTTCGGTAAAGTCACGTAGGTATAAAATAAAATAATATATTATGGATTACTGCAGTCACGAAAGCTTCAAATCTCGATTCAGCAGACCATGCTTTCCCACCTGATGAAACGTCGTGATTTATTATATTTTATACCTACGTGACTTTACCGAAAGAACCAAAGAGTACGGTTTACACTTTACACACTCGAGTCATGAGTTTCAGAACTGACTTTGGCAGACCACAAACACTTTGGGTTTTTGCTCATCACTCTTCTCAGAGGCCGCACGAGATGCCAGAGCGATGACGTCAGAGGCCGCACGAGGACGCGTAGCGAAACGATGACGTCAGAGGCCGTACGAGATGCCAGAGCGATGACGTCATGGGCCGCACGAGGACGCGCAACGAAACGATGACGTCAGAGGGCACACAAGATGCCCGTTCACCGAGCGATGACGTCATAAGTCCCACGACACCGCACAACGAAGCGACGACGTCAAGGCCGAACCGAGCGATGACGTCAGAAGCCCCGTGAACCAAACCGACGATTTCAGAGGCCGCACGAGCTCCAACCGTCACAACGCGCGCGCGCGACAGCTCCGTGACAGCGATGACGTCACGCTGTGCGTGTCACAAAAAGGTGACGTCACCCTCCCCCCAACCCCCTGCACGTACCAGCGAAAGGGTGCGCGTGCCAGGGGGAGGGGGGGGGTTGGGCGGAAGTGACGACACGGATTGGTTCCCTCCCACTTGGCGCCGCCGCCGCGTGTCCGGTCATTGAGGTTCCGGGGAGGGGGACAGGAAGGAGAGGGCGGTCGCCATCCTCCTCGCGGCACGGCGCACGTGTGCTGCTGTAGCTACTCGCTGTAGCTGCTGTTGCTGCTGCTGCTCGCGACTTGACCGCACGCTCGCTCGCGATGAATCACAGGAGCAGGAAGCGAATCCGCGAGGCGAAGAACAACGCGAGGCCGGAGCTGCGTGAGCCCGGCGCGTGGAATCGCCAGGGGCTGCGCGAAGCTTGGGAGCTGCGAGGAGTGCGTGGAGCCGTACAGGTGAGCGGTGGGGGGGGTTAACGTGGTGGAGATAGGGCGTGCTGTGTGTGTATGTAGTAGTAGTAACGTGTGACACGGTTCACACGGGGACATTTATAGCATACATAACACAGTGCTATTTATAGTAGCCTCGAACAGTGCAACGTAACGCGACACTTGGCCGTGTACAACGTTCGATTGTAACATGGAATAATGGCAGAGCACAACCACGTAGCGGTGGCATGTGTCACAATGCACACAGCGCGGTGTGGTGGACACAGCAGTGGAAGCAACAAAAACATTAACACAACACATTGTGGCAGTAGCAGCAGGCTTTTGGCAGCGTAGCAACAACGCATCGAGCGGAGTGCAATGCCAATACATGAAATCGTACAATGACAAGACTCTACAGTACACTAACAATATACCAGATGCACACCTGGAGCAATCATAACCTAGAACAATTTGAAACCCGCATAAGTGCGTTAACTTTATAAGTAGTCGAGAGTGGAACGAGTACTTTGCAAGCGAGACAAGACGTACGTGAAACTAAATACGTAAAGGGATTACTATTATTGGTTCTTTCGGTAAAGTCATGTAGAAGGGAAATGATAATAAAACATAATAAAATAAAATTCTCACGACGTTTCGGCCACAACGCAAGTAGCCGTCCCTCAGAAACGTCGTGAGAATTTTATTGTTTTATATTTTTATTATTTTATTGTTTCCCTTCTACGTGACTTTACCGAAAGAACCAAGAATATGAATCCCTGCAGTCACGAAAGCTTTAAATTGAAACGTAAAGGAATTGTTATATTGTTTAGCGCTAAAATGTGGAATTTGCATAAACAACTATTTCGTAATCAACATTACCAATTGTTTACTTACACTCATCAAACCTCCGTCCGGATCCAATCATTTTGGTGTTGATGTCTCTTCATTTAGCATCTCGAGTTCCAGGTTGTAGTTTTCAGGGTTGTTAAACTTAAACCGGTAACCTTACTATTGATTACCGGTTCCAAAGGTTCTGGAATTGGGAACCGTTTCCCGTGAAACGCCGTGGTGCGTTCATTTCTTAGTTAAGGGTTAAAGGTAAAAATGTGCAACAACATTCTTGTCAATTTGGACCCTATTTATATTCGTAATACAGGTTTTTTTCTTGGGTTAGATCGCGTAAATAAGTAAGGTTTGTCACCTAAACAGATGCCGCCGATTAGTTACTAGTACAGCAGCACACTGGTGTATTGGAGAGTAAATCCACAACATTTAAATCCGAGCGCGACGTTCTGAGTACGACGTTTCTCCAGTAATTACAACTAGCATCAGACGGACAGCCAGATTTATATCCCTTGTATTCTGAAATCCGTGCATCGGATTACCGTGCTGGCTTTGACGGGGAGCCCAGTGTCGTGAAGAAGCGTTGTGGGTTTTGGTGATGAGTTTAAGGGCGCATATTTTAACATCAAATGCAAGACTTTGTAATTGGAAAGCTCCTCTTAGCTACTCTATATGAGTGTCACAGAGGAAAATAGGACGCGATATTCAGGCCTTAAGGATATACTGATGTGAACAGAAAGAGATGCATATATTAGAACAAATGTGGGCTTTCGGTGATGGTGATAGTGGTTGGATCATGACAATAATTTCTAAACAAAATTCACCAGATTCTGAGCAGTTGAATGTGTTTTTTTAAGGTGGAATACAAACGATATGTGCATTATTGCATCCGAATTCTCTGGGAAGCAGTGAAAAAACTTGGCAAATGCGTAGGCACAGCTCATTCAAACATATCACGCGTGTATGACGAACCTGTCTGTGGCATACACACATTCTTAGAAAGATACGTTACATTAACCCTACATGTGTATTTCAGTAAATACATGGAGCGTACAGGTAGGTAGGAAAGGCGTGAGGTCTTGCATTGAGGCCATTGTGTATGTTGGTGCGAACCTTAATTACGTGTTTTTTCCCTGCCTGTCTGCGAGAGAATGAATTGATAAAGTTGGATATTACGTTTGGTTATGTCCGAAAGGGCTGTATTTTGTGGATGTTGAGGATGTCACTGGTTTTGTGAGGTTGGCAATTGGGGACACCCCTCGGGTTAGTAGTGTGTTCGTACAATGGTGTCACCACGTCTTGCCCAGTTGTGCTTGAAAAGTAAACAAAATTAATATCGAATTTGACATCGTTTGGTTAAGCACTGTACCGTATTGCAGCCGGTGTGCTGTGTTGATTTAATAGCCTGTCATGTCTTTATTTGCCAGTGACCTTTGTTGAGTGCAGGAAATGAAGCTCGGTTTAGAGAGGAAGTCGTTTTATTGTCCTATTTGCTTGGCATAATGCTGAATGTGATAAAAGGCCATTTTAATCTGAGTGTCATTTTAAGTGGTGTCTTTGTAAAATTAATGCCGAAAATGGTTGTCCTTATTGTGATGGTTTTCCATTGTTTTTACCAATAATGGCATTTGTTAATTTGCGGTGAATAAAGTTCCTGATTTAGTGAAATAAAACTTTTTAAAAATTATACATTTAACTTTTTTTACACTATAACATATGTAGTTTTTGTTTATCCAACTTTGGCCTAATTTATCTTTATTTCCATGTGAAGATTAAAACCCATTAATTATTGCCAAGGTCCGTGCAAGATGGGGGTCGATAATGTTCGTGGCATGTCAGGGAAGTCCTGGCGGTCATTATGGTCAGGATAGCAGAAAAATAATAGCTTTGTTATTTTTCAAACATGTAAATATAAAATGATATATAAACCAGTTTTAAAGTCAAACCTTTATATTTACTTGCGTTTTCCAATTTCAGTTATAACATACAATGATTTTGCCTATACTGTATTGTAAAACTTTCATAAATAGTAGTAATGAGGCCCGGATCCCCAGATGAGGTGAAAAAGTTCTGACACGAATTCCGAATGAAAGACGGCCACAGTGAGAGAGATACGCAAAGATAAATAGATATAATGATAGATAGACATCGAGCGAAGACTGTAGAAGCACAGTAAAATAAAGAGACAAACGTGGAGAGAGATCAGAGCTTTGATTCCCTTGCCTTGTTTGTAGTTCACGTTGTCTGTGATGCTTTGTGAATGTTGCACCGAGGCACATTGGTACACCATGCCCCAGGTCATTGTCACTGCATTACTCATCTAGAATTCCTTCAATTCTGAAATTATGTTGTCCCTGGTATTTCCTTCCACATTGCCGCAATAACTGGGACTGTTCCTTGCCTCAACTATTATGCCGATACTGCGATTGATGTTTGTTGCTTAAAAAACGTTTATGTACCTAAATAAGTAGCAGTCTGAATATTTGTGTCAATGTCATGTGTACATGGATTTTTTTATTTCCCGATCTTTAGCTCACTAAGTATTGTTTGTGTTCCTTCCAAATAATATATATAATCCAACTGAATTATATTCTGTTTTGCCCAGTGGTAAAATCGTACATATTTGTTAACATTTTACTGTACCTTATTTAGCTGGTGATGGTTTATTTATTCGTTGTTGCTTGCTTAAAAGTTTAAGTTAAATAGTTTTGCTGTCATGCAGGATAACGTGGAGAGGATCGATGCTGAGCTCGTTTCAGTGGAAGAGTTTATCGAGAAGTTCGAGAGGCTGTACAAGCCCTGTGTGCTGCTCAATTGCCAGAAGACGTGGGCAGCGAATGAGAAATGGACACTGGATCGTCTCAAGAGGAAATACAGAAACCAAAAGTTTAAATGCGGCGAGGACAATGACGGCTACTCGGTCAAGCTGAAGATGAAGTACTACATAGATTACATGGAGACTACGAATGACGACAGCCCACTGTACATCTTTGATAGCAGCTTTGGAGACCATGCCAAGAAAGGAAAGCTTCTGGAGGATTATGAGATCCCAGTGTTTTTTAAAGATGATCTTTTTAAGTACACTGGGGAAAAGCGAAGACCACCCTACAGGTAAATACCCTTATTTTCACCACTTTCATTTATTTAACGTAGGAAAAAGGGTAGAGCTAGCAAAGTGTTGTTCAAACAAAGGGTGATTTAAAAAATAAAGGGCTGCCATTAACATTGTAAAATAATATTCTGTATCCAAACATTTTTATACATAATGTAAAACAAGCAAAACGGACAACACCAAAAACTATGAAAGCATCTGCCTTCTCAATTGAGCATTGGCAGATGCCCGAATTTCCATGCTTCCTTGATGGGAGCCAGTTCCTCTATTGGAAAACCTCCATTGGTTTACCACAATGCGGTGCTGATATCATCAGCCTCACATAGAAGATTAACAGAGTCATTCTGCAATCAGGATCTGTACTGGCACCCTGGTGAATATGAGCATAGTCCTGGTCATATCTTGGCACCTGGCCGGCTATCCATGTCATGGATAGCATTATTGGAATTCCATGGATAATTTAACAGATGGCTTCTACCATGTCACCCTGAAAGCACTCGCTCTCTCAAGAACTTGGAAGCTAGGCAAGATTGATCCTTGTTATTGCTTGAATTTGATTCTGCCTGGGAATGCCAGGTTCTGTATGCCTGGGCTTATGGGATGGCTAGCAGATGCCAGTAAATGAATGAATTCTTAAATCTATCTGTGCAGAGGTTTGGGTCTTAAACGCTTGCATGCGGAGGTATCCTCCAGTACAAAATTATGGGAACAGTGGTGTGGGGGGATGGGGAATGGGAAGATGGACATGTTGCAAAACTTAAAATATATCTTTGTAAAAATACGTGCTCATGCTCTATTTGGTTATATATTACTTTATGTTGAATATTGAAAGGAGACATTTTACATTATCCAATTCCAAAGGATTAAATGAAGTCTATTACTAAAAAACATTTTTTATTTTACCAGGTATGGCTCACTGAGCTATATAGCTCTTTTTCAGAAGTGACCTGGTCACAATTAATAGCTCAACGAAGTGGTTTATCACATAGCAATGTATAGCAGCCAAATACTCTTAAACGCATGTTTCTAAATGTGGAAGGAAAAGCCGGAGGACCCGGAGAAAAAATCCACCCAACCACACAGACTCCAAATATACAGGCGTTGGGTCGAACCCACGACCTCCTACATTCCAGGAGAGGTAGTAAGCATCTCGCCACCATGACGCCCAGTCCATAGGTCATTTTAGCATGTTACCTCCTCACCTCACTTGGTTCAGCACGAGTGAGATAAAGTAAATCCTTCTTTATTGTTCAAACGTGGGTGACATTGCCTTTGCCTGTTTTTTTATTTTAATGCTTTCTCACCGGTTGAAAGCTTGTGGTAATTTATCGATTTGCACATTCTTTCCGCCCATAAAGGGTGGTGTCATTATAACTTTGGTAAATATATTCCAAGATATAGTTATATTTCTACTCGGAACATTCCCTACTGAAAACTGGCCACACTGATTAAAGTGAAAAAATTACTTTGCAAACATGCAAATACATTTAGCTCTGACATCTCTTGTCGGGTTCCATCATACTGTTTAAATACTTCTGAAGATAAACGCATGTTGGAAAGTATTACATGATCCATGCATTTGCATATTTCCTAGTTTGCAATTGTAGGATTGCATGGTCATATATTTAAAATGAAAACTTGTTTTCTTAGAATATGGCAACCCGTGCATATAGTGTTTATATGGTGTTTAATTAACAGACTTTTCAAAGTGGAATCTGTTAAAAACATCTAAATAAAATGTCTTCTTGCTTCTTTCGGTAAAGTCACGTAGAAGGGAAATAATAAAATAATAAAACATAATAAAATACAATTCTCACGACGTTTCTGAGGACGGCTGCTTGCGTTGTGGCCGAAACGTCGTGAGAATTGTATTTTATTGTTTTATTTTTATTATTTTATTGTTTCCCTTCTACGTGACTTTATCGAAAGAACCAAGAAGATGAATCCCTGCAGTCACGAAAGCTTTAAATCGAAATTTAAATAAAATGTGTTTCCATCTTGTTTTTTTGTCCCATTAGGAATAGCTGTACTATAATTTTCCAAAGAATGTAACACCTTAACACGATCTTAAGCCAAAAAAATGCCTTCAAAACACGTATCTGTTTTTGTTTTAAGACTCTACAGTCTTAGAATTCTTAATGAGTGGAGTTAATGTTCGGTTTATCTTGACATTTTATACTAAATTACAGCTCATACAATATTAAACTCTAATAAAACAAGCAGGCTGGAATGATATGACCCTCTGGCAATTTTTGATGAATCATCAATGATAGCTGGCGATTACATTTTCAAATCGAATATTTTTTTTCCATTATAGGTGATGGGAGTCGGTTCTTTGACTTTTAAGTGATACCGTTAATCACAGAATATAGCAATTATGTTTTGCCCTTGGATTTGGTACCAAGAATACATTGAACAAAATATACTTCAAGTTCTTAATGCATTGTGACTCAGAATGCACACTGGATGGCAACACTTGTCTTCCTGATGTATAAAATGAGAGCTCAGTACAACCTTCAGTTTCTATAATGCCAATGTTTATCTTATTGTATCATGTTTTTTCCCCGTGTGTCCTGGAATGAAGAGTGTTTGTATACTGGCTTGTGCACCAACGCATATTATCAGCTGTTTTATCTGTACCCTTGTGTTCAGTCTTTTTGCACAGTCCTTGCTGTTTTATATTTTTTATATAATTATAATCTGGTGCCTTTTATTTTTCTGAACTTTAAAGTGAAAATGTATTAAATAAATAGCGGTATAAACGTTATTATTTGAGTGACATTACTACAAAATAAGTTGAAGAATTAAATACAAATGTAGCTTTACATGAATTGATCATGGCAGATTTTTTTCAAACAAAACCTCGTGAGGTGACGATGGTAATTATGTTGAACTTCTTTAGCACCGTACGTAACCAACCGTGCTTCTTGGAGGTGCGTTCATAGTTCAATCTACGCTTCATCGCAAGATGGGTGGGGGGGTGGGTGAAGCATATTCCTGTGCCAGTCTGTGCAATATGAAGGGGTATCAGTGGGTTCACCTATCAGTGTGGATTGGGTTGCCTTTGTCTTTTTTTGTAGGACTGATAGCCCCCGTGTTTGCTCCGATTAAGTGCTTGGGAGAAACAAAAGCTCGGGGTATTTACTTAAAATAGTCTCGCACCTTATAAATTTTTGATATATTTATCAAATTATATATTTATCAAATACCTTACAGGTGAAGACAATTCGTTTTTTTTCGTACGACATATAAACACTGGTAATTACAGCAATTATATTTTTCTTCAGGTGGTTTGTGATGGGTCCTGCAAGGTCAGGAACAGGAATTCACATTGATCCACTGGGCACGAGTGCCTGGAACGCGCTGGTGAAAGGGCACAAGCGCTGGTGTCTGTTTCCGACCAATACACCCCGTGAACTAATCAAAGTGGCACGGGAAGAGGGAGGCATCCAGCAAGACGAGGCCATCACGTGGTTTAGTGTCATCTACCCGCGCACACAAGAGCCCTCCTGGCCGCCAGAGTTCAGGCCACTCGAGATCCTGCAGAAGCCTGGAGAAACAGTGTTTGTCCCAGGTAAGCCTGCAGCCTGCGAATGTCAAGGGCAAATTGTGGGAGATTGAAAAATAGATGATTATTCTTGGTTCTTTTGGTAAAGTCACGTAGAAGGGAAACAATAAAAGAATACAAATATAAAACAATAACATTATCAGGACGTTTCGACTGCAACACAAGCACTTTTTTCAAATTTTCTTGCTGTGTTTTTCACACCTGATGATGATTGCTTGTGTTGCAGTCGAAATGTCGTGAGAATTTTATTGTTTTATATTTTTTTTGGTTCCCTTCTACGTGACTTTACCGAAAGAACCAAGAATATGAATCCCTGCAGTCACGAAAGCTTTAAATCAAAAGATAGATGATTATTTAGTTAATTCACAATTTCTGCTGCTCTACATTTTTTTTTGTGAAAACTAAGCCGACTCGAAATCTTCACCTCATTCCTGTTAAACTTGATGTATTTTAGAATATCGGTGTCTTCATCTAAAGGGAAAGTGCAATTTGTGGGATGTATACAAGAATGGCATTGTTATTTAATCCCTACATCTTTCTGAAATAAAAAAAACTGCCGTCACTTTTTGACTGCAGAAGTGATGCTGTTGTCAAGCCGACGTGGCCAAATTCCAGACAATCTTATGTTGTGGGCGTGCAAGTTCTTAAATACAAGTTAAGGGGGTAGGAGGGGGGGGAGGGGCTTATCTGAATGTGGTAGCCAATGAATGGAACGTATTCATTGGCTACCACATTAAGAACTTGTGTCTTGGAATTTTTGCCTCACTTGACACAGTAAATCTAGCTGTGACGGTCCCACCTGATGACGGAGACTTGTGTTGCCTCCGAAACGTGATTTATTATTTTATTTCTATTATTACTTTTATTAATTTTATTTTTTACCTACGTGACTTTACCGAAAAAAACCTAAGAGTAGGTTTTGATTGCTTTAATTCATGCAAATTTATTTGATATATTCTTTTTATTGAAAAGTTTAGACGCTGTACTGTGTCATAGCACTTGAAAATCCTGATGCTTTTTACTTGGCTGCACGTGAAGGATTTGTTGAGATTTTTCTTTCATACAAATCTGATACCAGGGGGTGGAGTGGTGCAGTTGTTTATGCACTGTGCAAGGAACCCCATGACTTGAGTTTGAATCTTGGCCCCCGTTCATGGCAACTATCTGAACCTTCCTCGGCCCTTCCCGATACCAACCAGCACTGATCAATGCTGACTTTGATCTGTATATTCAGTGTTTGTTTTTGGGTTAGGCTACTTAGTACTGAAACAATCCCCAGGATTCAGTGGGGAGGTCATTATTCAGCAGTGGATTGACAAAGGGCTGTGAAACAATGAGAGGAAGCGCTTTTTATTGATGCAAATCGCTGCTGAACTATCATCACCAAAACTAAAATCGTTGTGCTTTTAAACGGAACTTGCATCGCATTATAACAGAATCAATTACATTTCAATCGACTAAACAGTAAGAAATGCAGACCTGAAATGTATTATTAAGGGGAACGCTTTGGTGTTAGTGAAGTCTGTTGTGGAACAGCTTGATGTGGTGATTATCAAGTCAGTCCCCCATTTTATTTGTGTCTATAAACTAATGTACATGACAAATAAAGCATAATCTAATTTAACGAACGCTTGGCTTAGATGTAGAAACATTGCATATACATTGTAACCAATTTATGAATGACATTTAGAAAAGTATAAATAGCAGTAAGGCAAAGATAACCTCTAAATGGCTAAATATTAACCCTGATTAAAATCCCTGCATACCAGGGATGCCAAATAAATAACTCGTGAAGCACTCTGGAAGTGCTGTGCGTCCCCACAGCCATAAGGGATACACTGATGTGGCCCTTGGCACAGACACTTGTGTTGATTTATATTTTATTTATTTCAGCAGGAAGGGCCCAATGAGCTTATTATGCTCTATTTCACTGGCAACGTACAGGCATAAAATGCGTCATTTTCCGTACACAAATGTGGCCCAGCTGACTGGAACGGCAGTCCCCTTTTGTTTCGCTATTTCCAACATTCTTTAGTTTTATCGTTGCCAAAGCCCTTGCGTTCATATACAACGCATAAGAGTACAACACCTGGTGCCCACTTAACACGGCCATATCCCAATCAAATTATTAGCATTTTTTACCAAAGGAATCAAACAGACATTCCTTGCGCTATTGTTGAATTCAACATGGATTCTTTGTGCTCTGTGATGTCTATTTGTGTCATGTTATGTGACTTCTTGGTTCTTTCGGTAAAGTCACGTAGAATGGAAATAATAAAATAATAAAAATGAAACAAAATAATTCTCACGACGTTTCGGCCACAACGCAAGCAGTCGTCCTCAGGTGGAGAACAGGTCTGTCGAGAAGACAGTCTGAATGACACACCCCAGGCTTGGAGCGACTATTTAAGCTGCCTTCTCGACAGACCTGTTCTCCACCTGAGGACGGCTGCTTGCGTTGTGGGCGAAACGTCGTGAGAATTATTTTATAATGTTTTATTATTATTTTATTATTTCCACTCTACGTGATTTTACCGAAAGAACCAAGAAGATGAATCCCTGCAGTCACGAAAGCTTTAAATCATGTTATGTGCTTGAGGCATATGGTGGACACACGGCATCTGTGCGATGGACATAGTCACTTAGCATGGCGAGCATTTAATGTATATATTACAAGGGAGACGAGGTCAACTATATGCTGGGAAAGAGGAATTGCCAGTGCTTCCTTGTGATATCCACACTGAGTCACGTGTGACACATGATATCAAAGTATAGATGTCCCATTTGGAAATGCTCAGAATTTCTTAACCCACTGCTAGTTGGGGTAAGCTGTTTATTGTTCACTTAATCTCTTTAATGAAAGTGCACAGAAGAGATGAAGCAAGTGCATCTCCAGTGTTGGGGAATATTCTCTTGACTTGTTTGTCATGACTACTCCAGTTTGTGTCGCATGCAGCACACGTGATTAGGCACATGCCACATTTGGAAGCCAAAACATCATTTGAAGCAAGATGTTACACTTCTTAGACATTTTCTTGGAGTTTCATTTTTTCCTCTGAATGGAAGAAATTATATCACAGTCACGATGGTTAGATTTGTCTAAAATGTTGATCTTCTTTGGTCAATGGTTATTATGAGGATGATATGACTGCCGGTTTTTAGAGGATGATTCCAGATGAATGGATAAAAAAATTGTGGGTAATAATTTTATATTTACATAGGATTCAGAGGTAGCTTTGTAAATTCACGATTAAAATACTTGTGCACACAAATGAAGTAATGTGTACAAAAGCTAGATGTAAATGTACAGCTCTTGTATGAATCCACTGCTTGACGAGTTGCTCTGCATGCCCCGTGCGTGTCATGGGACTATTGGACCATAATTCACGCTGATCAGTTCAGTGAGGTGAAGGCTGAGGAGCATAGAATCACAGTACAACAATGTACAACAATGGTTTTTTGCTGCACTGCCCTCTGCTGGCCACAACATGGCACGGCCACACAGGCTAAATTTTGTACAGTAATGCACTGAGTTACCATTAAAGGGACATATACGATGTATGTGGGCATTCATGAAGGTGTACGTACAATCGTGAACAAATTCAAAACGCAATGCCATAATAAGTTGCAATTATATTTCTCCTAATATCTGCTAAGGGCAGATATTAAATGTGGCACTGTGCTCATGTTGGAACTGTTATAAATATTACTGTTTGTCAATCGTGAACTGGTAGAAATGTAAACAAATGAAAGAGTGATTCACCTTTGTTACAGGTGGATGGTGGCATGTTGTCCTCAACCTCGAAAACACAATTGCAGTGACCCAAAACTTTGCAAGCGTCACAAACTTCCCAGTGGTTTGGCATAAAACTGTCAGGGGACGACCGAAGCTCTCCAGAAAGTGGTACAGGTGTGTATTTGTTTAACATTCCACTCCTTATTGCTCTTTGCAATTTAAATAGTGGATTATACAAGTGAGCAGAATTTATAGATTTTTTTCTTCCGATTTTATTTTTAGGCAGATGAAATGTATACGTGTTAGAGTATCAATAATTACGCGAATGTAATATTTCGGACTTAAACGTATTTGGTCTTGTGATTCGAGACTGTAAAAGCATCAGAGAGAGACATCGTTTATTGTCTCCCAGTGACAGAGTGCACTCTCTCAGTGATGAGCAATACGGTGTCTTGACCAATATCTGGAGGGTTTTTAGTTGTCACAATTCATGACCATTCCAAATGAGAAGTGCTGTCAATTGGTATTACGACAGTGAAACTGGTACCTTAGACAGCGCTTTAGCCAATCTGCTGCAAGTGTAAATACTTAATAATAGGGTTTTTCCCTTTTTTTCTGGCAACAAAACTTAAACCTTTTTACAAGGAATCATGTGTGCATTAGCCACAATACTTGTGGTCAAAATGTAAAAAAAACCACTCTGATAATATATGCATTGTCCTGGAAACTGATTGGTCCACACCAGAGACTGCTTTCTTTTGAGCCTCATCTCAATTGGTGCTAGACCAGAGGACGCCATTTGGCGAGACCAGCGGACGCCTTTTTTTGGCGTCCTATGGGTCTAGCACCAATTGAGATGAGGCTCAAAAGAAAGGCGTCTCTGGTGTGAACCAATCAGTTTCAAGGACGATGCATATATTATCAGAGTGTTTTTTTGTTTACATTTTGACCACAAGTATTGTGGTTAATGCAGTAACGTGATTCATTGTAAAAAGGTTTCAGTTTTGTTGCCAGAAAAAAGGGAAACACCCTATTATTATATTTTGGTACTGGCAAAGGAGGTCTAATGATGTAAATACTTAGTGCATGTGTATTATATCACGGTAGAAACTCCTCTTATCTGTGGGATAACTTAAGTGAGCGGCACAGATAAATAAATTATTGTCCTTCAGAGTCATCTCTATTAACCGCAATGTCAAGGCATGAACTACCTAGAGCACTTATTCATTAAGATTGCAGATAACACAATTACTTGAAAAGTGTATTGCAAGAAAGCCATCAGTTTTTTGGGACAGCATGTGATCCAATTGACGTGGTCATATCGCTAATTATTACTGTATACGCCTATGCTGTATTTAAGTTAGTTGGCAATGTGCTTCGATGTATTCGGTAAGCTAAATATGAGTAGATGGTTATACAACCTTTATAGTCCGGGAAGAGCCTAATGAGAACAGATGTATAATTTTCAAGGGAGATATAGATTTAAATAAATAAAGCAAAATTACAAACAGTTACCAATAATGTAAACAATGCAGAGAGCACTATTTGATACAAATAATACGTACAAGAGAAACGTTAAATATAGCTATTATTAAACTTTACATATTGAGAAATATATGCGTTAAATGGATGTCTGCTTTTCATTTTAAACACGTTCACAATTGCCAAATAGTCTACTGGCTTTCATCGTTGTTTTAACGTTTACTGTAAGTCTGTAAGTATATGTAAGTATCCATGGGGGCGGCTGATCTGCGATCCTTTCTGTTGTCTGCAGACCCCTGGGGGATTCACAGGTAAGATGATCGGAAAGGCAGAAACTTTAAATTTGCCTTTGCAGTACCAACTCCTTAGAATCTGTCTTTCTGTGGAATACACATTTATTTTATTTGCAAGCAATGTATTATTAACTGCCAGCTTGGATTTATGAATCTGAAGTCGTTATTAGACTCATCATGAAAGTGTAATTTGGCCTTGTTGTAAGATTTCAAAGTAAACAGAGTAGTATTGCTGTTTATCAGCTTAAGAAAACCGATGTATTCCTCATTATGCGACCTGCAATGCCATGTGGGGTCACAGATAATAGTATTCACGGATAAGAGGAGTAGCTCTTACATTGTCTGAGAGATTCACTGGCAATTTTTACACGTCACACATTCCCACTCTCTACGGAGATGGTCTGTCGCATCATTCATGTACCACGTGAGTGACTCCTGCAATTAAAAATCAAATAAATATTGTACTGAGTAAGCCAAGTCATAAAATGTGTGCAATATACTACAAACCTCTTTGCTGTGACAAGCGATGGGTCCAGCAGTCATCTGCTTTGGGTGGCCACTGAGCTATTCCACATTTCTGTGGCGAGGCGCTAGTTCCATTCACGCACGAGGACAGTTGAATTGCCACAAATTGGGTACTCGTACTCGTAAATAATAATTTGACGAGTTCGTGTGCAACCGTCCGGTTGGATGTCGAGTGCTTTTACCACAACATCGGTGACCAAAATGGTAATACCAAAGTTAATGCTCATATTATTTTATTTTTTAGATGACCAACATTGTGGTCCAATCGTGAGGTTTGTGCGCATCGTTGGGTGTTTTTTTGGAACTGTAGAATTTGTAAATGAGCAACTGGCTGAAAGACACAAATTTTTTTGCGTATTTTTATTTAAAGGGTTTTGCATATGACATGCTTTGGTTTACATCTGCTGTAATCGTTAACGTGGGCCCACCATATATGAGAATTTGCCATGGAGTTTTGAGTCTTTTCTGCTAATTGCAAATATACTTTTTAAAAGGCTGGTATTTGATTATCATTGGAGTGAACACCATTATTAAGGTACAGATTTCCCTCACTTTATACGGTGATGTGTTCCAAGAAAAGGGCTCACAAAGTGAAACCGCACGAGACGGCTGCCTGCCCCGAGTAGCGCGCACAGTACAGTCCACACAATATTGTCCCACGTCCGACCGCATCGCGGCATTTGAGTGAATTTAAACCACCGCATAGTGTAGCGAATGTTGGGTAGTTGTAGGTTAGCCGCATAGTGAGTGAGACTCATAGTTGGGTCTCCACAGTCACTGGGTCATTTTGCCGAGTTGTATGCATGCCTGCAATCCAGTGCTTTTTGGCGCAGGTTTTGTGGATCGCATGGAAATTTTGCCTAACCATTCCAATCTACTGGATCGTAAGGTGACTAGGCAATAGCAGTGGAAGAATTGAATTGTGCCATATTGTATGATATTAAATGTTCTTTTCTTGTATGTTTGAGTTTTACTCCGGTCTTTACACCCACATGAACATACTCGTTACAAAATAAATTGCCCAAACATCCAATTAATTAATTGCTTTCCTGCGGAAAATAACTTGACACTCGGTCAAACACACTTGTATTGTTTAAATCATTTACAGTTTTTTTTTATTCTTGTGTTTTTTAGAATCTTAAAGCAGGAGTTCCCAGATCTGGCAGCGGTGGCTGACTCCGTGAACCTCCAGCAGTCGACAGGATTTGCCTCGGACTCCTCCAGTGACTCCTCCTCCTCCAGCTCTTCGAGTTCTTCTGATTCGGGCTCTGAGGTCAGTTTAACCCCTTTCTATTCCGATGACGTACGTGTACGTCATCGGAAATTGTATTCAATTGAAAGCATGGAATTGTATTTTCGAGTCAAAAATCGTGAAAACGGAACGCCTCTCAACATGTAAATTGTGCATGTGTACACGATGTATACTTTCTAAAATGTTCCTAGACCCACTGTTGACTCAAAGGCATGCATGCACACTGCATAAATGATAGCTATACATGCACTTAACTGTAAAGTCACACATACTTACACGTGCATACCAATATCCCACACTACAGAAACCCTGTGTATCCTGGAGTTCCAGGCATATAGGATGGATGCATGTTTTCCTGCCTGTTTGGTGGCTCGAATTTTCGCAAAAATTGATCTACACTTAGCTGGAACCTTTTGTGTAAAACTTAAAGAAAACTTGTTTAATTGTGTTGTTAAGTAGTGCTCGGTAAATCTTGACTTAAAGCTTTCGTGACTGCAGGAATTCATATTCTTTGGGTCCTTTTGGGTCTTGGACGCTGCTCTCCGATCTTAATTTAACGTTATAATCTCTCACATCATAGCCACCTCTGCTCCGTCGTCTTGGACGATGCTCTCCGATCTTAATTTAACATTCTAATCTCTCACATCATCATAGCCACTTCCGTGCCCTTGTCGTGGAGGTCGCCCTCCGATCTTACATTAACATGCTAGTGTATCACATTAACATGCTAATTATTTACATTAACATCACTAGCCCCACCAATTTCGTTTATGACCCTTGGGCTACACCCATTTTTAACCTTTAAAACAGTCTGCCTCAGCAGCTTTCCTCTTTTTTCCTCCTGATGATGATCGCTTGTGTTGTGATCGAAACGTAGTTTCTTGTTATTTTCTTTCAACCTATCTACGTGACTTTATCGAAAGACCCAAAGAATAGTGCTCGGTACATATACTTCATTAGACCTCCTTTGCCAGTACCAAAATATAATAATAGGGTTTTCCCCTTTTTTCTGGCAACAAAACTGAAACCTTTTTACAAGGATTCATGTCTGCATTAACCACAATACTTGTGGTCAAAATGCAACAAAAAACACTCTGAAAATATATGCATTGTCCTTGAAACTGATTGGTCCACACCAAGCCGTCCCTTGATGTGGACCAATCAGTTTCAAGGACAATGCATATATTTTCAGTGTGTTTTTTGTTTGCATTTTGACTGCAAGTATTGTGGTTAATGCAGACATGAATCCTTGTAAAAAGGTTTCAGTTTTGTTACCAGAAAAAAGGGGGAAAACCCTATTATTATTATAATGGTACATATACTGTCGGCGCAATATTTTTTCAGCAGATAGTTGCAATCTCATATCCATTGATATATATTTTTTGTTTAATGATTTACACTTTTTTGTGCCTTTTTTCTCCAGAATATTGGAAACGGAGAAGGAATGACGCACAAGAGAAAGAGATTAAAATCTTCCACAGATCGAAGTGTTGTCAATGACAAGGATTGTGGACTAAAATCTGAGCGAAATACCAGAAGATAACTTTTTTGCATATCGCATACACGACTGCGGTTTCTGAAGAATTTGCAATGATAAAACATTCAATGATTATCGTTCAGCATGTAGTGTGCTAACATTTGTATTGAACTTCAAGAAATCCCTCTGAGTATTTGTAATTAATGTATGGCATTTAAACTTAAAAAAAAAATATTTTTAAGCAATAAGTTGAGAAAACAACATTTAATTGATCACAAATACATTTGAATGTATTTTTCAATTTGTTTGGTTTGTTTATTAAGTTACCACAGTCCATTACGGTTGAGATGTTATCTGTTATCAATCACTTAGATGGGGTGGCCCCTTTAGATTATCACATTTTTTGCATAAGAAGTCTTTATATTTGCAATTTAAAAATTTTCTTTATCAACGTCATAATTTGCTGTATATGGATAATAGAGTTAATTTGCTGTTTGACTTTTCTCATGGTGAAATATCTGGAATAAAATATGCGGAATTTGTGGAGTGTGTTGCATTATAGCGGTGGAGTGCCCGTGCACCTTGGGGCTTGATGAAAAGTCTCCCCACACTTGCCAGATGAGGACTTTCCAGATGAGGATGGACCAGTGATGCTACGATCCATATTCCTGCATATGAATGGGTCCTCGACGGTGATTACACTGGTCAACACACTTTTTCTGGCATAATGTATTCCAACGGTTTTAAGGTAATTTTGGGGTGCTGATTCCAAATCTGGTTTTTGAGATATCAAATATTGTGTTTTCAATAAAAACTGCAGAAGAAAAATATTAAATAAATGTGGATATCTACATGAAATGATATTATAAACACTATCTTAAAAATACAGCACCATATTTTAACACTAAAGCAGTCACTGACTCGCAACAAATTGCAATCATAAGTGACGGTTAATTTCGGGTAAAATCAATGAAAATGGGGTATGCCGATAGCATAAAAATGAGATGTGATAGAGCAAATCTGAGATCAGATTTGGAATCAGTACCCTGAAATTAGTCTAAAACAGCTGCAAAAGTCCAGGCCAGAATTTTTTTTGTTGACCAGTGTTATCCTCTCAGCCACGGTCTCTTTTTTGTTGCCATAAATCGCCCATTCTAGAGAGCGTTTGCCAGAGCCTACTTTTGGAGACTCGTAAGCAACGCGCGTGTCTTTGCGTGTGGGCATGGGGCATGGCACACGCGTGTGTGCAGACTAGCAAACGGCCGGTGGATGATGCAGATTTGTTAAGCTCCATGGCCCTTTTGGCAAGGATATGGCAGTGTAGCAAGCAGGTAAGTGAACCCATATGTGCAAAACGTATTATGCTTGTTTTCCCAAGAATGCTTCCATGCATTTCAGACTTTTCATTGGTATTCTGTAAAGTTTTTGCAGTAGGGTGATAATGCAGCTCCGTGTAAAAAAACAAACGTATTTGTAGTTTTTTTTTAGCATTGTGATTTTTGGCAAAGACGTTACCATGGACAAATATGCGTGGTGTTTTCTGGTTACTCGTTTCCTCGCATGCAAACTACTAATTGAAACGAGAGTTGTGTGTCTTAGAAAACAGCAATGACCACCGGCAATTTTAGGAACACCGCTGCAGTGACGTGCAGTTTTGGCACGCCTGGAATCCAACACTTTGGAAGGAAGGGCTGCTGGATAACGCAGACCTGTAAAACCCACCGTTTAAGATGGTCAGATGGCAGTACAGCAAGAGGATACGTGAAACGAATATACTGAAATTTTTTTGCAGCCTCATGAATGGGAACTCCATCCCCCTCCATGCAAACGCATTAAGAAATCCACTCAGTCATTCTGCGTTGTTAACCACCATTGACAGAAGAAACGTTAACATCAGAAACAGCAGCACCGTAGTCGCAGCAGCAGAGTGACCATTTTAGGATCTGAGTTGTATATCCATGGAATGGAACTTAGTTAAGAAAAATTCAGGTACATGGTCATCCTCGTATCCATAGGAAATTTGTATGGATACATTTACCAAACGTTTAGCTCACTTGCATGCCTATCGAGATGTAAATAGCCCGGCGCCCAAATCTGAAATACATCGAAGAAAAAACAACCGATATAATTTCGATTTAAAGCTTTCGTGACTGCAGGGATTCATCTTCTTGGTTCTTTCGGTAAAGTGAATCACGTAGAATGGAAATAATAAAATAATATAAAAAATCTTCTCGACAGACCTATTCTTCACCTGCTTGCGTTGTGGCCGAAACGTGAGAATTATTTTATTATGTTTTATTATTATTATTTTATTATTTTCATTCTACGTGACTTTACCGAAAGAACCAAGAAGAGGAACCGATATAATGTTTTATATTGTCAGTAAGATTGTTGTGAAAGTTTTAATTACGTAAAAGGTGGTTTGAACATTCTACAGGACGCCAAAAGGATACGCCTTTTGGCGATACGCCTTTTGGCGTCCTCTGGTCTAACACCGTTTGAGACGAGGCTCAAAAGAAAGCTGTCTCTGGTGTGGACCAATCAGTTTCAAGGGCAATGCATATATTATCAGTGTTTTTTGTTTGCGTTGTGACCACAAGCATTGTGGTTAATGCAGACATGATTCCTTGTAAAAGGTTTCAGTTTGGTTTTTCACATCTTAACACCTGTTTTGTTGGCAGAAAAAATGGGAAAGACCTTTTTATCATATTTTGGTACTGGCAAAGGAGATCCCATGAGGTAGCGTGTAATCAATGTTTTAAATGCTTTTACACTTGGGCACTAATGACAAACCGCATATCACTGAACATGCCAAATAAACCTCGTAGAGATAATTTGGATGCCAGGAATCCAAAGATTACAATACCAAAGACTTTGGAGCTTTTAGGATGAAACGTGTAAAAAAAAGTTGAAATTATTATTAAGTTTGCAAAAATGCATTCCTCGTAAAAGGTTTCTATTTGGTCTTTGAACATCTTAACACCTGTTTTATTGCCAGAAAGGGTCAAACCTATTGTTATTTTTTCATAATAAAATACATTTATTTTCAGAAATTGACAACATTGAATCACGCACGAGAACAAATCAACAATTGCAGGTCGAGGGGGTCGAGTTCTGCCCCCCCCCCCCCATAAGTACCGATTACATTTATTTTAAATGTATGAATTAGTTAAAATCCCGGAGTGCTGGACACTCAAATGGGTTTCTCATGTATTTAGTCGGCACGTGTTGGTGACCAATAAGCACCGGATTTAAGAAGCCATTTTGACGAGATTCCTATATTCACAAATTCAATTGCTGGTAGACAAATCCAATCACGACGGCTAATAGAATCGGATGCTAATTGTTGCTTAATGGTATTTTATTCAATTTCTGTCAGTATTTTGTAAAATGTACTAAGGTTATATGATCAAAAGTATTAAGTCGTTCAGGTGCAGGTTATGTTATATATCTGCTTTTAACAAGATTCCGTTAGTATAAAATTTCGATTTGGTACATCCGATTATATTAACATTCGTATAACCAATATCCTAAATATCGAAGGATGTTTATGTTAATGACCACATTAATGTTTAGGTATAAAAACCTATTTCATACTAGATATTCAAGTGATACAATTTTTTTTACATGCATTTCTCATCTAAGTTGTGTTTGGAAATAAATGCATGAACCAGAAGTTTTGCATTGGGTTTATGTGGTCACTTATGAATACACACTTCACATGACCAAGTCTACAATTGTTTCATGTTGGAGCAGACATTTCTAACCAGAAGACGCTGTTGGTGGTGAGTGCTCGTTTGGTCGTCAGTCTTTGGGTGAGGTAACATTCTTGTACTGGCCTTTCGTGTCGGTGACAATGTGTTCACGAACTCGGTCACACTGAAAGATAACTTTATTATAATTGGTTTTTTACCCTTTTATCTGGCAACAAAACTGACACCTTTCTTTTTACAAGAAGTCATATTTGCATTGACCACAATACCTGCGGTCGGAATGCAAACAAAAAACACAACTTTGATAATGTATGCACTGTCCTTGAAATTGATTTGTCCACACCCGAGACAACTTTTCTTAGAGCCTAGTCTCACATTGTGTTGCGCCTTTTGGCGTCATCTGGTACAACACCATGTGAGACTAGGCTCTAAGAAAAGCTGTCTCGGGTGTGGACCAATCGATTTCAAGGACAGTGCATACATCATCAGAGTTGTGTTTTTTGTTTGCATTCCGACCGCAGGTATTGTGGTCAATGCAAACACGACTCCTTGTAAAAAAGGTGTCAGTTTTGTTGCCAGATAAAAGGGTAAAACACCAATGATCATATTTTGCTACTGGCAAAGGAGGTTCCAATTGGATAACTTTATTGTTCTCTGATAGCATTACTGAATTGGATGTTCCATGCAAAGGACTTTGTTGGCTTTTCCATAGCTGCACCTCAAAGTATTCAAGAGCCATCACATACGAATCGATTTGATTCGTTATCTGTAGCTACACATTTTATTACAGATATGAAGAGGCAATGGTGGTATCCGAAGTCCAGATCTCACTGTATTTGTCAAGGGAATTCTTTTCATGATGCTCTTCATTGTTTTCAAAAACGCAGTTTTTCTGAAAACACAAATGCATAAGAATATTGTTATCACTGAGTATTTTAATATATGGTGAATATTGTGGGTTTTACAAAACAGATGTAGACGACACAGTTTACCTGAAAACGCATGAACTGTTCTGTGTGCATGCTTGCACAAGCTAACTGCTTCCATGTCATCAAGTGTGGACGAACCAGATCCAACAGTGATATGAGAGATGTTCAGAAATGGGCTTGTCTTGAAAAGGCTCCACACTGTTCAAACATCCCGTGAGCAGTGTGTGCCACAGAGCTCTCTCAACCCAGGTTTTGTATTAAGAGCAGCATGGTTCGATAATACTTGCACTTACTAAGACTGGGTCTAACACATTCCTGCGGAGGGAGCTGGTAGGAACGTTGGGTTGCTCGGTCAATGGTCAGGGTCAAGGGCGGCGTGGTGTATTCCGCAAATATAGCCGACTGTGAGGGCGGGCACAAGCCGGCGTGAGTAGGTTAAACGTTGAGTTTTATAAGGACACCACGGGGTGACCAGCCCCTCCCCACCCAGCCCCACCCCTCCCACCCCCCACCCAGCCCCTCCCCACCCTCCCCCTCCCCACCCTCCTCACCCAGCCCCTCTCCACCCAGCCCCACCCCTCCCATTTTTGTATGCACGACGGACGGATACAATAATCCCCTGTGGGCTGGTGTAACCATGAGGTTCCTACCAGTAAAATGTATTTTATTGGTGTGATGAATGTGTGCGTTTTTGAGCGGTAGTACAGCGGACAGCGTGCTGCGCTATGGACCAGGCGAACGGCCAACACCAGTGACGATTATTTGAACCGGTCCTGGGCCCTCCCCTAGGTCGACTCAGCCTCAAATGAGTACCTGGTGCAGTGTGTAAACATCACCACTCGGGACGTGGTGCTGGCCACCCACCCCCTCGTCTGCTGTGCCGGCCTTCATAGGTGCTTGCTAACAGCACTTGCCCCAACAATCAGTTTAAGGCTATAAGATGGATCTTTGTCTTTGTTTGCATTTGTGTAAGCCAACCAAAGGCCTTTGCATAGGGTATCCAATTCAGCATTAAAATGTTTTTTTTTATTGTAGAGCAGCGGTGTTATGTTTCGCTAACTTCACTCTGAACACAGAAACCCGAGTTTGATTGCCAACCACCGATTTTAACTGGTTTTGGCACTCACGGGGTGCAGTAATCGTTCTGTTCATGTGACACAACCATCCGTTGTAAAAAGGTGTGGATAGGTCTTTCGTTAAGTTTCGGGTTGGGACTACTCTCTGCAACACTTTTGCAGTTCAGCACTATTTTACACTTCAGCATCACCGCCACCCGTGGTTATGCAACTGGTCATGATGGGACCATTTGCGCATTCTCTAAGATCTATGCAATTGGCATTAACGAAACGAGTGCAGTGGGAGTGAAGGTGTCCAAACCAGACATCCGTCCCACCTTCAGCTGATCTCCACTGCCAAAGCGGCAGGACAGGGCCTCGCGAACTTTGTGGTAGATAGGAGCGAGGAGCGTTGGATCAATGTGGCGTTTAGAATTTCCTCCTAAATAAATCGACATACCACAGTCAAGCATTAAGTGAAATTAAGTGTTTGTTACTTTAAAAAAACAGAGGAATATATTAATAAGGGAAAAATAAATGTGCAGCCTTGCAATGTCTTGTTCACACCACTGCTGGAGGAAGGGCCTCTACTAGAGTATCCCCTTCTAGAAGATACTTGGCTTACTATGCAGTGCTATAATATACTAACAATATTTTAGTCTAAAGAAGATCCCCGCAAGTGGAGCAAAACGACGGACATCAGGCAGATCAAGAGGCATTACAATCCAAAACAAAAATCAGAGCACTGTATTCCAATATTTATTCTCATAACCATAATATGAGTTAAAATACATATTGTTATTGTTGCAAAGGGAGCAGTGTAAATGCACCATTATTGAGCTTGTGTGTGTATACAATGCAAAGTATCCAGCACCCACCTGTTACGAGGCTTATCACAATGCTCACAAGCACAGTTCCCAGCCAACCTATTAGGCTGTAGTGTAGATAGGAGATGGAGTAGAATGTGTCTGCAATTGTCGGCCTGCACATTGGTGGCAGTTGTGCACGTGTACCCAGCAGGACATGCAGCGGATGTGGGAAGAGACGTGAGCGTGTGTATGTTTTGGAGGTTGGCAAGATTTGGGAGGGGGAAAAAAAGATGGATCATAATTAATACACAAAATAATTGATTGTAATATAGGCTGGTCAGAAGGAACTGAAATACTCTGATATCAACAATTGTGTTGTCGACTACTGCCATAATGGTAATTGGAAACTCACCAAAAGAAGTATATTTGCCATTACAAAGTGATTTTGGTCTCATTCAGCATGCGCTTACAGTGAGGGAAAAGGGCATTTGATTCCCTGCTGATTTTGTACGTTTGCCCACTGACAAAAAATGATCAGTCTATAATTTGAATGGTAGGTTTATTTGAACAGTGAGAGACAGAATAACAACAACAAAATCCAGAAAAACGCATGTCAAAAATGTTAGAAATTGATTTGCATTTTAATGAGGGAAATAAGTATTTGACCCCCTCCCAATCAGAAAGATGTCTGGCTCCCAGGTGTTTTTTATACAGGTAACAAGCTGAGATTAGGAGCACACTCTTAAAGGGAGTGCTCCTAACATCAGCTTGTTGCCTGTATAAAACACACCTGTTCACAGAAGCAATCAATCAATCAGATTCCAAACTCTACACCATGGCCAAGACCAAAGAGCTCTCCAAGGATGTCAGGGACAAGATTGTAGACCTACACAAGGCTGAAATGGGCTACAAGACCATCGCCAAGCAGCTTGGTGAGAAGGTGACAACAGTTGGTGCGATTATTCGCAAATGGAAGAAACACAAAAGAACTGTCAATCTCCCTTGGCCTGGGGCTCGATAAAAGATCTCATCTCGTGGAGTTGCAATGATCATGAGAACGGTGAGGAATCAGCCTAGAACTACACGGGAGGATCTTGTCAATGATCTCAAGGCAGCTGGGACCATAGTCACCAAGAAATCAGTTGGTAACACACTACGCCGTGAAGGACTGAAATCCTGCAGCGCTCGCAAGGTCCCCCTGCTCAAGAAAGCACAGATACATGCCCGTCTGAAGTTTGCCAATGAACATCTGAATGATTCAGAGGACAACTCGGTGAAAGTGGAGCTCTTTGGCATCAACTCAACTCGCCGTGTTTGGAGGAGAAGGAATGCTGCCTATGACCCCAGGAACGCCATCCCCACCGTCAAACATGGAGGTGGAAACATTATGCTTTGGGGGTGTTTTTCTGCTAAGGGGACAGGACAAATTCACCGCATCAAAGGGACGATGGACAGGGCCATGTACCGTCAAATCTTGGGTGAGAACCTCCTTCCCTCAGCCAGGGCATTGAAAATGGGTCGTGGATGGGTATTTCAGCATGACAATGACCCAAAACACACGACCAAGGCAACAAAGGAGTGGCTCAAGAAGAAGCACATTAAGGTCCTGGAGTGACCTAGCCAGTCTCCAGACCTTAATCCCATAGAAAATCTGTGGAGGGAGCTGAAGGTTCGAGTTGCCAAACATCAGCCTCGAAACCTTAATGACTTGGAGAAGATCTGCAAAGAGGAGTGGGACAAAATCCCTCCTGAGATGTGTGCAAACCTGGTGGACAACTACAAGAAACGTCTAACCTCTGTGATTGCCAACAAGGGTTTGCCACCAAGTACTAAGTCATGTTTTGCAGAGGGGTCAAATACTTATTTCCCTCATTAAAATGCAAATCAATTTATAACATTTTTGACATGTGTTTTTCTGGATTTTGTTGTTGTTATTATGTCTCTCACTGTTCAAATAAACCTACCATTCAAATTATAGACTGATAATTTCTTTGTCAGTGGGCAAACGTACAAATTCAGCAGAGGATCAAATACTTTTTTCCCGCACTGTATTTCCCTCAAATTGGTTCTGAATGCAAATCCATCCAAAGTCATGTTTTTCTCTAATAAAGGAAATCCTGCCACGTTTCCAACCCAGGTTATGTCTCCATGTAATCAACAAATTGAACAAGTGGAGAAGAACAAGTACTTGGGTTTTTATCATCGACTCTAAATTGAAGTGTCATTCCCACATTCAAAAGTTAGGTCAAGTTAATATATTGTTGAAAGCGGAGTTGTATTTAACAACTGCTATACAACTGTCTTTCTGATAAAGAAAACACTTGTCCCAAAATGCAGTCTATACATTTGCTAATAAAATGTATTAAAAAACACTACAGACTGGTGTGAGTCGAGCTACAGAAGGCATATCAGCACAGTATCTTTAGAAAAGTAAAATCACTTTGAAGTGGAATGTCACTTTTAAATGTACAGCCCTGCCTTTTGTAAAAAGTTGTGTCCCAGCAGTGATTATCAATTTGGTGCGACACCAATGATACTCAATGAAATCAAGGACTATGCATTTTCATGTCTAGTGCTGTGGTAGAGCACTCTGCTCAACATATGAAGGTTGGAAGTTCATATCTCGCCCAGGGACCTACTTAGCCCACAATCCCATGTGCTGCTAGTCAACGATCGTTGTTTATGGAGAGTCATGCTCCATCGTAGTGAGGAATTTCCACTGTTGGCTCAGGGCTGCCAACACTGGCGGAGCAAGTGGGGTGGGTGGGGTGGCACGTGCCCCCCCAATGATCCGATCGAAATCCCTCATTTCGATCAGATCATTGGGGTATATTAGTAATAAATCGGCATTTTGCGACCCCCACTGCCACTGTGTAGAATATTATTATGTGCCAGGGACGCTATGAGATGATAGAACAATAGTCTGAGTCCATCATTTTGCAATAAGTCAAGGCAAAGCAGTTATACGTGACTCACAGAATTGTGAGCAGTTGCGTATACAGTACACGACTTCCCTGAAGGCAAACATCTTCAGCGAGTGCGATGCCGATTACACATGGTTCGAATTCGACCCTCGATCAATCATCGCCGCACACGCGTCGAATAAAAAGCAAGGGACAAGTCCTTACTAACAGCTTCCTATAATTTTTCATTGCTGGAAAGTTTGCCCCGCTACCTGAAAATCCTTGCTCCACCATTGGCTGCCAACAGACCTAAGCACCACCAATGCTTATTTGAGTATGGGGACAATGTTAGTCATGTTTAGCTTCTCTTCAAGGTAATGACATACCTTTCATTTGATGGGTTGGCAGTGCTCACAAGGGAGGCTATTGTGCTGTATTGGCCAATGTCTGTGATGTTGGTCGTATTGAGTGAACACCCAGCCACGCTTATGTCCAGAATGTCGGTGAATTCAGCAGTGGGTGGGTAGATTTGACCACCAAGACCAACCCAGAGAGATAGGACCAGTCCTGTGATGAGCCCTACAAATGTACCCTACCAAAAATAAAATCAAGTTTACAACCATTCATTATGCGCAATACAATACAAAATATATGCAGCCGGCAAAGACTTATATTTAAAACCTTATTTATCTTACAATAGGATTCCTAAGATTCAGTTACAAAATTTACATTAATAAAAAAACATTGCAAATGCATTTTAAACGTGCATGTTCAGAAGAAAAATGAAAGACAGAACGAGGAGCGCATGAATTAGCAAACCAAAACGTTAGAGACATTTTTTTTAACTCTTAAGAAAATTAAGAGGTCTTGAAGATGACACATTGCAAGGTGGGGTGCTCTCGAAGGACAAGGTTGACAAGCACAGCCCACAGACCTGAGAGAACAATTTCAGAGATGGAGCAATGATCACCAAATCATCAAATAATTGAGTTCATTACACTGGTCAACAAAAAAAAACATTTTTTTCTGGCCTGGACTTTTGCAGCTGTTTTAGACTAATTCAGGGTGCTGATTCCAAATCTGATCTCAGATTTGCTCTATCACATCATTTTATGCTATCGGCATACCCCATTTTCATTGATTTTACCCGAAATTAACCCTGTCACTTATGATTGCAAGTTGTTGCGAGGCAGTGACTGATTTAGTGTTAAAATATGGTGCTGTATTTTAAGGATAGTGTGTTTATAATATAATTTAATGTAGATATCCACATCTATTTAATATTTTACTTCTGCAGTTTTTATTGAAAATGCAATATTTGATATCTCAAGAACCTGATGTGATAGACAAAAACTGATGCTAGATTTGGAATCAGCACCCCAAAATTACCTTGTGCCAGAAGAAGTGTGTTGACCAGTGTTATGGAGTAATGATATTAGCTCACATTCAGAAGTTGGATGTGTTGCAGGACCATAAGGAACATCAAAATGGCTTTAATCCATCCATGGATAGACAATGGCTGATGATTTGGTGCAGTGATTGAATTTCTCTTATTATTTCGTTAGCTAACTATATTTTAGATTCAACTATTCACACAATGTTGTGAAATTGTGTATATACTAAGTAGCAGAATAGCATCGACTTGGAATCATAATAAGAATACGGCACATAGCACAGCGCTGCCCAAACAAACCTTGGAGTTGGCAAATGGCAACAGAGCAGCCAGAGTGAAGACTCCGAGGACAGGACCACCAATGATCCCAGTAAAACTGAGGGATGCCTGCAGACAGCAGTGGAGACACAACGGAAGCCATTGACCAAAGTATAACAAGTGCAATCCACAACACACTTACCCTTGAACCAAATCTAACTCTATGTGGTCACCAGTCGTGCTAGGAATGGGGCTATGTTGTCACCAATGTAATTATAGTCGATATTATCTCATAAGAGAACGACGCTCATGCATCACAGTATTTGTAGGTCTTCATACTAAAGTAGATTTTGCTCATGAAATGCTGTATGCTCAATGCAGTATGTATGCACCTTTTTTGTAATTGTTAACATTGTATTGGGTTATGGTACAAAAATGTACACGCCCACAACCTCATCATCACCTGAGAATTCTTTACTCGTTTCTCTGCGAAATTTTCGTTTTTGTCTTTGTTTTTGTTGTGCTCACTCACCATGTATCTCTCTTATGAAATATCTAGGCAACTGGTTAACAAATACAATTAACTCAAACTGGACGTGATTGCTGAACAGACTATTATACATTTGCATAACAAATGCATCACGTAGGTTTCAGGCATTAAAATTTAATTCGAACAAGGACAAGTCATGAAACAACAACTAAGCGTTTATACTGACCCGACAAAGCATCCCGATTTTGCTATTGGTGTTATGTAATGAGACAAAATATAAATTTCAAACCCTCAGACAAGTGCAGCACCCTGTCATAGAGAACAGTATATGAAAGTGGACACCATAGAACTACTTCTGAAATATCTTGAATGACTTCTGATACAGCAGCAATTCCCCACTCAATTTGCTACAGAGCGGTATTCATTGCATGACAAATAATTATAATTATTGGAATCTAGCCAAATTAAGTGAAGTAGCAAATTCAACACGAGACTCAAACCCAGACCATAGTGGTGCAGGGAAAGCACTCTGACCTCTGAGCTATCTGGCCAACTCTCACAGAGAGCATTTTGTAGTTGGAATTTAAACATTGTACAGTATATGTAAACTATTTTATATTTATAGATCATTGGATCGTGTAGAAATAAAAAAAATATAAAAACTACTACATTTAATTATGTTATGAAAAGCTCTGGTGACAGAAACTGTTGTTAAATAGTTATTTCCTCGCTGATGCAACATTTAATGTAAAAACTCTTAACAATACTGTCACTGAATCAGCAAAAAACATAATTTAGAAGGACTACACGTGCAATGAGGTTGATCGGCAGGTTGTGTGTGGTGGGTAAAGTTTGAGTAATCCCACCTCTTCCAAAACGTCTGACCAGCAATGCACGAGTAGGCCAATTAACCTCTGGAGGAGCTCTCGAGAGCTTTTGCTAGTGGAGGCCCATCTGCCAGCAGTGGCATAAGCAACTGCAGGGTTTCTACTTGACCTTTAACCTGTGTAATCATGGGTGGAGTGTGGTGGGGGGGGGGCACTGGGTGGGGGGGGGGGGACGCACCCCTCACCACAACTAGGCACATTTATAAATTTATTTTCCCTGATTTTGCAAATGATTCCTGATTTGAGAGACAAAGCGAACCCCTGTCCACCCCCGCCCCAAATATCAAAGTCAAACTCCACCTATGTGTCGAATAAATTATTGAATAATGTATCCGAACGTGTAAACACCCTCCCGATATCCAGTTTCACTATGTTCAGCATTATAAACCAAAGAGTCAAGCAACCACTGTATAATGTCTTTGATAAATACAGTTAAAACTAAATTACCTGTATGATGTTTCCTTGCAACAGCGATGCAACACCAGCCACACCAATAGTGACCAAACCAAAGAACACGGCTGTTGGAATTTAACAAAGGTACATTTAGTTGTTCCAGTTACTCATTTGTCGACGCAAGTATTTGTTTCAAAGCAATTAGCATTCAACACAGAATAAAAACAACTCTGGATCGATTTGGACGTTCTATATCTCATCAGAAGAGTCAGGCTTCCATGAACAAATGCTGCTGGATAATATTGGTCTGGGAAACCAATAAGCTGATGGAGCTATACATTTTTTTTTTATGTGGCGACAGAATGGAGTTCTGTTCATATATGCTCTTACATATGCATGGCAGTGGCCCGCATTACCAATGATTCCATATACTCCAACTGCTAAAGTTCAATAGAGTTCATCAAACTGTTTCCTCAATGTTCATATTCCAATAGGGGAGAGCTTTACTTTTTGCTACGATACGGACATCACTCACTCATAATAAAGTAAAGTTCAATAGAATAAACTGCACGTGACTGCCGCATTCAGCTTAGAGGATCATTCCATCTTATCCACACTTATCACAAGTGTACAAACTACACGGCAAAGAGAGGGAGGGGGAGGCATATGTTTTATAAATGCACAGAAATTCGATAAACTCTAAGTGGGTAATTATATTTATTATCCGTTGCATAGCGACAACTTGAGAAAAGGACGCGATGTTCACGTGTGCATGAACGAGTGATTACACATTACAAGGACTTTGCCCGATGGCTGACATCATGAAGGTAATCATTGTCTTTCTGTGGGAATGAACATTTGAACAACCCATACCCTGTCCAATGGTGGAGAGTGGGGATGGGCAAAGTTTATCCGATAACTGGCTGTTTGCCAATTATTGTCAAACAGCCAAATTGGTGAATAAAAATGACAAACTTTTGCATGTCGACTAATGACATCAGCAGCAGCAACTGCAGCAGCAGCAGCAACTGCAGCAGCAGCAGAAACTGCAGCAGCAGCAGCAACTGCAGCAGCAGCAGCAGTAACTGCAGCTCCCTTTGATGCTGTTAATCCTGCATAATGCACATGCATATGCAGTACTAATCACATTCCTGCATTTCCCATAAATATGCTAAATTCCTTTTGATATGCAAATTCCTTTGTCAATGCGCCCAGCTTATATATATGCTCCAAGCTCGTGTGCTGTTTCATTCAGACTCTGTCGCCTCGACGGACCTGGTTTTCACCTGAGGACGGCTGCTTGCGTTGTGGCCGAAACGTCGTGAGAATTGTTTTATTATGTTTTATTTTTATTATTTTATTACTTCCCTTCTACGTGACTTTACCGAAAGAACCAAGAAGATCTAACACAATATTTAGGAAATACTGTATATGTGTATTTTATTTAAATTTCAATGCTTTAAATCATTAACAATGAATAAATGTTCGTAATATACTGATGCTTTTATAACGTTGATATGTTATATTTCTGTATTTGTTTACCATGGTATTAAACCACGTTTGCCTTTTTAAAGCTTTAGTCATGATGCAGCAAGATCTATGTAATGTATGTTGGGTAGCATTTTAAAATCTGGTATAAGTTTAGGGTTACCACCTGTCTGGGTTTAACCCAACAAAGTCTGGGAATTGCAACCTGTGTTCAGGTGGCAATAATTGATTTGTACTGAGATCTGGTGGAATGGAATTCTCGTGACATTTCTTATAATATACTGCACAGTTTGATAGACCTAGGCTGATTGAGAGATATGTCCAGGTTTGGTCTGTGGAAAACGTGGCAACTCCTCATGTATGTCGGTTATAAAGCACTCGTGTTGTTCAAGCAATAATGTAGTATTATAAACAGCTTATGTGGATGCTCAGTTTTCAGCAATGATTTTGGGATCCGTAATGTGACGTCAATGCGGCTTCACATTTTTATTTACAAACTCTCGCCAGGGGCCTGTCCATCATCTCCCCAACACGCTTAAATTGCGGTGAAGCCTGGCTCGTCTCAGGCCATACTCACAAATGTGAGTCCGCATGGTCTTAAATGTGAGTCCGTGCCATCAAAGGTGCGCTAAGATGTGCGCTGAAATGCTTTGCACTGGTTGACCACAGAGAGTCGTGATGTCATGTGGTCACCAGGGAAATGAGATATTAGTTACCTTACTGTGTCAGTTAGGAGAGTTCATTATAAACATTTACATTTTTAATGCTTTCTGAGGCTCAAAGCGTTCATGCATAAAGTTTTGTTTGTCTACTCCTTTATCTGTAGGGTGGAGTCATATCTGTTAGTATGCATTGATAAGCATAAAAAAGCACATACCTCTTTGAACAAAATGTATGTACCTTAGAAGAGTTGCAAAATCCTCATATAAAATATAGATTAAAAACACGCAGAATAAGCTAAGATACCCGAACAATAACATTTGTTCAAGTGTTAGTAAAATTATGGCTGTTATCAACTTTTCAATCACCACCACCTGTTGCCAGATAAAAGGGTAAAAAAAAAACTATTATAATATTTTGCTACTGGCAAAGGAGGTTCCAATGGTGTAAATGCTTACCCCAAGCTCTCAGACTCTGATGGTGCATTGTCTTTGAGTTGTGCGCCTTTTGGCGTCATCTGGTCCAACACCATGTGAGACTAGGCTCTAAGAAAAGCTGTCTCGGGTGTGGACCAATCAATTTCAAGGACAATGCATACATTATCAGAGTTGTGTTTTTTGTTTGCATTCCAACCGCAGGCATTGTGGTCAATGCAAACATGACTCCTTGTAAAAAAGGTGTCAGTTTTGTTGCCAGATAAAAGGAGTAAAAAAACAATTATCACCACCACCTGGTTTACTGCCCGGTAAAAGAGCACCTTCTTGGGTGTGCTATGAGGCCACAGGGAGTTGCAAGAGCGAGGTTGTGAGAACGGAGTGGTGGGAATGATGCCACATGTTATGAGGCTGTTAATCTGGGTTGCGCTGCGGAGTAGTAATGGGGCAACTCACAGTGTGTAATGAAGTGTAGGAGGGGTGAGGAGCAGTGTGTAGGTATGTGTGTGTGTGTTACTGAGCGGTAGTGCAGCGGTTAGCGCACTGTGCTATGAACCCGGCAACCTGGGTTCGATTCCCGCTCACCGGCCAACACCAGTGACGATTATTTAAACCGGTCCTGGGCCTCCCCTAGGTTGACTCAGCCTCAAATTAGTATTCGGTACGGTGTGTAAACATCGCTACTAGGGAGACAAAGGCGGCCGGGCGTGGTGTTGGCCACCAACCCCCTCGTGCGCCGTGCCGACATTCATAGGTGCTCTCTAACAGTAGTTGCCCCAATAGTCTGTTTAGGCTATATGGGGGATCTTTGTCTTTGTGTTACTGACCCAGCAGTTTTGAGATGAGTGCCCGTCTCTTTACGCTGATGTGTTGCCAGCCTCCCCAGAATGGCTTGAGAAAGTCTTCAACCACAACAGTCGACATGGAATTGATTCCAGATGAAATTGTACTTTTGAGAAACGCGGGGAGATAAAACAGCGGTATTTAATGTTTAACACAAGTACAATTTTAATTATTATAATATCATTGGCTATTTGTATATAAATCATACATTTGTCATATATAAACGTGATTTGTAGATTGTAAACACGCTTCAACTGTACTGCAAGCCGTTGATACCTTATTAGATCAACAAGATTTTATTCTTGAGGTCATAAATGATAATAGCTATTCTAGTCGATACTTGCAGACTAGCATTCTCTGTCAAAGGAATGTTACATACCGTTCTGTGGGATCCATAAGAATGATATGCATGGAGAGGGTGTAAAATGGAATATTACTTCGAGGAGTAGAGAGCATGAGCATGATGGTCTCACCTTAATGTTGCACTGTATGCACTTGCTACAAACAGGCCTGGCAGTCCAGGCAGATCTCCTAAGAGCTCCATTACAAAGGAAGGCATCAACTGTGAAAAATGTAAATAAATAATGGAACACATTAAACAGTGCTTAAAATATATGTTTTCCACCACATTTTCACTGCCTGCCTCGGTGTTATAACTACTGAATTTATTTTGTTTAAATAATAGCCTTGAATGGGTGACCATCATGGAAAAACAGATTGTCATAGGGCTGACTGGGCTATGTGTTTGGCAGCATAGTGCAGTGCAGCAAACTTAATTGTTGTACTGTACTTGTATGTTATCTGCCTTCACAACTCCCATAAAGCAACATGATGAAGTATGGTGAAATAACCGCCATGACCCACAAGGCATAGAGAGGCCCTCATCCTACAATGGATTGAAAGGGCCGTACATGTACACATTAGCTTGTTGTATTAAAAGTCTAACATTACCAGGGTGGGAAATATATATAAATATACACACATTCATAACTTGACTTCAGTAGCCATACTGTAATAAAAATATATTTGTAACAGACAAAAGGTAAGTCTAATTCATGCTTTTACATTATGGTAAAATATACATTTCTCGGTGATTTTGCAGATATTGTATTGAATTCCAATTTCTTTCAACCCCAGCAACCGAAATATAGTATCAGAGCAGTTAATTTGAACAAATTGAAGGTCAGTTATATACAGTGCTACAGTGACGTAAAGTGAGGTGTTTTATGACGTAGTTTTGTGCAATAATCACTGCCAATAATACAGTGCTACAGTGAACTGCAGTGAAGTGTTTTATGACTTCGTTTTGTGCCAGATTCACTGCCAATAATGCTGGTCTTCAGTGAAATGCAGTGAAATGTTTGTTGACATACTTTTGTGCAAGATTCACTGCCATTAAATTGACAAAAGATACAATTATACTCTGCTAAATTTTTTCGTAAATATTACAGCTTCTGTCCTAGGACGGGCAAACAAGCTCGTCTCTACATAAAACATCCACTGTTGACTTAGTTTATAAACCCTGGATTTGTGTTAATGGAATTCCATTTGTGAGTTAGGGACTCTAGCACAACATGGATAAACTGTAATGTCATTACCTATAAACATTAACCATAATGTTTAGCAATGCCTTTTTGGTTTTGTCGAACACAAACATTACAATTGATATAAAGTGAAACACTTTAATTAACCCAGAAGTTGACGGCAAATTCATCCTATTATCCACAAATTTTACCATCAGATGTGACCCAAAAGTAGGTCTCATGGACGTATGCAATTAACCATATTGTTCGTGCAAATATGGGGTAAGAGGAATAACCTGGAAGTGGTGGAAACGTCATCCTTTTATCTGCATTTATCTAATAATAGTTCAGTGGATAAAAGTGCGTGAACACACGCGTAAATATCAATATAGAGAAGAGTTAAAGTGAAATATGTGTTGAATATGGCCGAAACAGATCGTCATATCATTATTGATATTTGGGTTAGGCAATATAATGATCTGACCAATGTCAGATACATTTTTGGGTTAGACCATGTATTGATCTGACCAATGTCAACCCAAAAATTTATTATGAATCATAATATTGGCTGCAAAAACCTACGTGTTAAGACCCTTAAATGTTGCATGCACAAGGGCACTCACCTGATTAGAGTTGTCCACTATATTTGCCTTCAAAGGGTCACACTCGGAATACCAGGCGTACATCACCAGGCCACACAGATCTCCCACAACGAGCAGCACGCACATGCCCAACAGGTTCAGGAACACCGCCCTGCCGCAGGAAACAAACCACACTTAAAATCATCCTCACCATCACCACAGTAGTATTACCAGACCCGTATTCACATACAGCGATACCTGGACTTTTGTCCACTTGACCTTCGCTCTTTCGGCCGTTTTCAATTATCACCACATTTTAAATTTCGTTCACGAAGTTTTCCTCTTTCGTTCAATTTCATCCCAAACCCCTCCACGACGTTCGCGCCACGGGCCATCTTTTTTGTTCAGTCTTTGAATAGAAGTTGTTCAGTGAGCGTCTCTTATATTTGTACTCTTAGGTTTTTTTCGGTAAAATCACGTAGGTAAAAAATAAAATTAAAAGTTAATAATGGAAATAAAATAAAATAATATTTTTTACCTACGTGACTTTACCGAAAAAAAACCTAAGAGTATGAATCCTTGCAGTCACGAAAGCTTCAAATCTAGAATCTTATATTTGTGTTTATTCATATATAATTAATACTGTACTTATTTCTGTGATTACACTGTAAAAATTAATAGTTATTTTTGTGATAACAATATCACACTACAGTGTTCATAGTTATTTTCGTGATTATAAAACACGTGTACAGTATTCATACTGTGCTTATTTTTGTGATTACTGCAAAATATTTATTTCTGTGCTTTAATATTTCATAATGGCTCCTAAGTGTGGTGATAGTAAAGCTATTTATTTTTATGTTTATTTTTAATTTATTTCTGTTTATTTAGGTTTCGCACGCATGTGTTGTATAGTTACTGTAGTTATTTGCATGCACGTTTTTCGCCAGCCAAAATCAATTTGCAAGCTAAATAAAGGCTCTGCTTTGAATTTCGTCCATGCTCTGATCCCTAACCAGACAAAAGTGCGAGGTATTCCTGTACAACCTATTGTCACTCATAAGGGGTTTTTTCCTCATAATTTTGGAGACACTGTTGAATCGCCTTATATCCTCCGGTGTCTACATCAGCACGAAGCAATGGAATTCTCACAGTAAAGCTGCTACTGGTGTACTGGTGGTGATGCTAACATACTGGCAGGACATCGCAATGACATATTTTATTTTAAATTTCATGAAACTATTATTTCTGACTCATTCTATTAGCATGTACATTATGTGGAGCCGGTCTGTAAAGTTTGAAATTCCGTCACGCTTTTGGCCAAACCACCTCTGCAATTTGAGGGGGTTAGAATCCGCAGAGCAGGTAACCAGTTATACTCCTCTAATACATACACATCACACACACGTGTTTGTGTCTATGGATGCATTGGTGGCACACCTATGCAGCATAACACATCGGTCCTCATGAAATAGTCTAAAATCTAAATGTAAATCATCAAATCTGTTTATCAGTCATTCATTGAGTGAGCTGCAGACTCTCCATCGGAAGTTGCCGGAGATTCAGCAGTTGCTTTCCCGTTCGAACGTGTGGCATGAGTCATAATCTTTTGATGCATAATCAACGTTTTTGGGTTGGATGGCGTTATTTATAAATGTGTCGTAACCCTCCACCTCCCGACACGGCCAATCAGCAAAAAAGTGTCACGTTGACAAAAGACAAATATCTTCTTGGTTCTTTCGGTAAAGTCACGTAGAAGGGAAATAATAAAATAATAAAAATAAAACATAATAAAATAATTCTCACGACGTTTCGGCCACAACGCAAGCAGCCGTCTTCAGGTGAAGAACATTTCTGTCGGAAAGACAGCGTCTGTCTTTCCCTTCTACGTGACTTTACCGAAAGAACCAAGAAGATGAATCCCTGCAGTCACGAAAGCTTTAAATCGAAAAGACAAATAGTTCACTACTTTAACCCACCGGTGTGTTGAAGCGTGAAACCACAATATTTACAAATAACGCGATCTAACCCAAAAACGTTGATTATGAATAATATTGGTCGCGAAAGCCTACGTGTTAAATATTTTGATGCCACAGTCCGCCAAGAACTTATTCTGGAAATGAATTGAGGAACCCTTTGACCAAGTCAAGGGCACGAGCCAAATCTGTCTTTGGAACATGGAGCCAATCGTCATCAGGCTGGGTGCTATATGGCAACAGACTGGTGAAGCTTCGTGTTCAGCTGCTCATAACATTCGTCTTCCGACTGCTTCGACATCAAGATTTTCTGACCGGGGTTGCGAATTGTGGGATTCCAAGAACACAGGATGAGATGTTACTATCCTTTGTGCAAGCACTTCCAAGAGTTCATGAGGAGCGCATCGTCAGTAGTGTACCTTTGGTTCCTAGGGTGTTTCGGCCTTTCACACTATACACCCTCCCCAAAGGCGGCCAGCGACAGGGTGATCAATCCTACGCTTGCGTCCCATTCCCAATTAGTCATAGGAGTTGCCTTGTTGTTGATAGCCAACATCCCATGGGACTATGCATGGCAGGGGCGTCCTCCTCCCTGAGTCAAGCATTGTTGACCGCATACCTCCTGGCCCTCTCACTTCGGGGCCCAGCTGGGGTCTTTCCTCTTTATCCAGAGCCACTGACTGCTGGAGAATAAATAATTATTTATAAAATGTTTTGCTTTTTTTTATACCGCGTATCAGTGTACCGCCAATATATTAATGTCTCAAGGTCCATTCTGCTGACGCCACTGGAACTCTCCATCGCTTCAATGTTTCTGCTAATCTTTGCAATTGTTGCAGTCAGGATCCCCTAAAGTTCAAAGTCCATTCCAACAGTTTCATCACCACCACGTTGACACAACTACACTTACGAAGTGATTTGTAGAATCCATTTAGACTGGATAAAGGCATAGCCATAAAATGGAGTAAGAGTTCGTCATCTCAGATTTGCCGATGACTGCCATTATAATAACCAATGCAACTGAATTTCTGAAATGTGTGGGTTTTCTTGTCATGTACAGATTTGATTCATAATTGAAAAGCTAAACAAAAAATACTCTAAATGTGTACAAAATTTATGTGCAAAGACGAAATTATTACTGGCCAAGACTAATTAGAGAATCCATTGAAATTGAGAGAAATACAAATAATTTTAACCGCTCTGACAGCTACAGGCTTAGTGCGGCCTGGAAGCGTATGATTAAGTAATACATATTACAATTCCTTATGGAGGAAACACATACTAATGAACTAATTACTAATCTAGTATATAATTACAATACCCCCCCCACCTCCTCCGCCTCTGATCTCTGCACCTGATTGGGTTCCGTGCTGACGACCGGAAGCAGGTGGAGGGCTTCACAATTCTGGCAAATCACCTGATGATTCTGCATGCAATTACCAGCGACACGTCGTACTCAGATCGTAAATGCTGTGAATTCACTTTTCAACACACCGGTGGGCTGAAGTAACTATTTTGGGTTTTGTTTACGTGTCGGGTGGTGTAGGGTTTCGACACATTTATACTTACGCGATCTAACCCTACAACCTTTATTATGGACGAAACTTACGTACAATGTTGGCTAAACAAAATTAAACAATTGCTGAGGGGCACAAGTAGAAAACACAGCACTATACCCTGGGAAGTTATTGAAGGCGAATTGGGATCAAAGTTTTGAAATATGTGAATAAGAGTGGGATGGAGTACTTATGAAAAAGTTTAACTCAATATTGAAAAGCAAAATACCAAGGTGCTGTAAGAAGCCAGTCTTTAATCAGTGCATATTATCCTTTGTAAATACGAATGTGCCGTAAGAAGACAGTATTTAATCAGTGCATATTATCCGTTTTACCACGTGGATCGGAAACATAGACAAGTGACAAAGAAATGGAACAAAAAACCCTGAAAAGTGCACAAACCAGTATGGATAGGTGCATGCTTATGAATGCATTGGAAGACAGAAAACGAAACATGGATTATGGAACAAGCACACGTTAGAGACTTGAACAGGACACATCACGAGAAGGGATGATGGTCGATGGTCTACGGAATGTCAGCCAACGGAAAGTATGTGCCCAAGAGGATGATCCCCATGGAGATGTGATATCTGTACATGTACAAGAAGTCGATTTTACATTACACGACTATTAGGCATTGGTGTCAGCAGCGGGAGGCTTTCATGCAGCGGTGGATACACAACAGCTAACGATCCCAGGTTGTTACACAACAACGTGCATTGACATGAGGATTGCCTATAATGGTATGTCATACATCTCAATTACTCTAAGGGACTGCATAATGAATCCACGACGGTGGTCAAGGCAGGAAAGTGATCCGATAGCTAGCACAGCAACTTACTTGATGGCATCTCGCTCAGTCCGGCATGCCAAGTAGCGCTGCACCTGCGTTTGGTTGCAGCTGTATGTCGCCGTCCAGCTGAATGTGCCCCCAACCACAATTGTCCAAAACGTGTGCCTCTTCCTTGGGTCAACGTCAAAGCTGTTGAACAGATAGAACCAGACTTTGCAATCGTCACCTTGTCATTATTTTCAATGCATAAATATTTGACGTGGCTGGGTGGTAGCAGAATTTCCAATATCGTCAAGTCGAATTCAGTTATGATCGGTAGAGCTAAATGCTGATAAAAAAGGCCCTTGTGAGGGTCAAGGAGCCGATTGAACGAGGTCTGTGAGTGAACCAACTAAACATTGAAGGACTAAATTTCGATTTAAAGCTTTCGTGACTGCAGGGATTCATCTTCTTGGATCTTTCGGTAAAGTCACGTAGAAGGGAAATAATAAAAATAAAACATACTAAAATAAAAATTCTCACGACGTTTCGGGCACAACACAAGCAGCCATCCTCAGGTAAAGAAACAGCTGTCGGAAAGACAGCGTCCCAATGACGAATGACGCTGTCTTTCCGACAGCTCTGTTTCTTCACCTGAGGATGGCTGCTTGTGTTGTGGCCGAAACGTCGTGAGAATTTACATGTTATTATCTTTTATTTTTATTATTTTATTATTTCCCTTCTACGTGACCTTACCAAAAGAACCAAGAAGACATTGAAGGACTCTAAGGACCTAAATGTGACTTCCTGCAATAGTGCGGACATCCAGAATAAATACCCATCGACGACCCAAACAGCGCACTTCCCGATATTGACATTCTGAAGTAACCACCTACTGCATCAGAAAACCAACAGGCCAATGTGCACATCTCCTTCATATGGACCATATTTAGTGGACCACTGTAGTCGGTGCTTCTTCAATAGGCGCAATATCAACACTACGCAGAACTCTCTCCTGAAGCCATCTCATGTCCAGCAGACCTCGACATTGGCATTGAGCTTCTGAACATATTGCTATACGCAAGAACAGAAGAGCACATTCACAGCTAGTTGACCAGGTTCAGAGCAGAGTGCTGCCCCCTGCACCAACACCCAATTGATATCGCTTCTCTTACAACTGATAACGCTGCATATATGTTATTTATAGGTATTCTTCGCTTAATTTCTAATGTTATGTATGCGTGTTAATTCTAGATTTGAAGCTTTCGTGACTGTAAGGATTCATATACTCTTTGGTTTTTTCGGTAAAGTCACGTAGGTAAAAATACAATAAATGAAAACAGCTAAATTAAATCACGACGTTTCGGGCGCAACACAAGCGTCCTTCTTCAGGTGGGGACAACGTAGCGAAAGCACAACCGCTTAAGTGTGACACACTTACACACTTAAGCGGTGTGACACACTTGCACACTTAAGCGGTTATGCTTTCGCTACGTTGTCCCCACCTGAAGAAGGACGCTTGTGTTGTGCCCGAAACGTCGTGATTTAATTTAGTTGTTTTCATTTATTTTATTTTATTTTTACATACATGACTTTACCGAAAAAACCAAATAGTATGCATGCGTGTGTTTTAGTGAGAATAAGGAACACACTTCCAGAAGTTTATGCGCCCGCCTGCCTGAGCGACACTCCACACGTTGGAGAAGCCTCCGAGGCGTAGAGAACCCTGAATCAGCACAGCCAAGAGGCCAGCCAACATCACGGCTGCCTGGAACACATCTGTCCACACCACAGCACGAATGCCACCCTACACACACACAGACACATACAGAAATCCTCTGTGTAGCCTACACATGCTGTTGAGGGGCAACTGCTGTTATTGAGCACCGATGATAAGTCAGCATGGGATATACAGCTGAGAAAAGAATGTTCAAGAAAATGATTCTCATCACATGACATCAATACAACAATTGTAATATTATGGGGTAAGAAAGTCAAAACTAAATATCTGAACCGGTCCTGGAGCCGAGTATAGAATGACTTATGGCATTGTAGAAATGGCATAAGTTTGGTTTAAGATAAGATATCTACATCTGAGTATATGAGGGAGTTACAACATTGGGCGTTGGTAGAATTAGAATAAATCTCACGAGTGGTTGGGACCACTCGTTCGTGAATTATAACTTGCCTACACGAACGTGTATGATAACGAGGTACTGTATACCACATACTATAATTGATAAAACTCACAAATGCAGTATAGGCGATGCAAACAAGTGCCGTGGACATGATTGCCACCCAGATGTTCAGGCCAGTTACTGAAAAAGACAATACAGCACAATGATAACCTGGAGCTAATGGAATTAAGTGGCATATACCTGGGAAAACAATATTACAGAAATTATTGTCATCACATGACATAAATAGAACAATTGGGGTAAGAGAGTAAAACATAACCTATAAATAAAGTAAATATGTTAACTTTGGTTCGTCAATGATATTTTTTGTCATTTTATCAAAGCACAATACAGTAAGATAATACAGCATTGCTTTACGACTGTAGTGTTTAAAATGACAAAGCAATGGTAAATTGTATTTTGTAAATGTTAGTTTTTGAGATGGTATAGTGGTGGCATTATATCATGATGCGAACCCTTCAAAGACCCAGTCATCGTATGTCTCAGTGTTGACGAGGATCTCTCTATAACTTTATCCTGCACGGTTCTGAAATTCTTACACACTACACCTATTTCTGCAGAATGGAAACGTGTTCGAACTTGGGTGGAGTTAGGTTATGGACCAGCAGAAAATCTTGAATAAAACATTGATTTAATCCATCAATCGCTAGTTGGACTTGATCAATTTTACTTGACTGTTATTCATGATGACTAAATCAGCAGGAATGTACCTGATTTATTCAGATCTTGGTAGCTAAGCAGTGCTGAGTCTGGACAATGCTTAGATGGGCAACTACCACTTTGAAATAAAATAGGTGTCATATGCTGTGGGGCTACAGCATTAGAAGAAGGCAGTTCCGAAAATGACATTGTTATACCATACTGTGCCCCAATGTCTATATACCCCATCTTCATCATCCTGCACTGACCGTTTTGGTGAAGTATGGTCAAATAACCCCCATGCTCAAAAATATTGTCTCCATGCTCATTAAAAAAGAATACCCTCTCCGACCACCTCACGCAACTACGGTAATGTTGCCTCTTGTACCGATAACACCACACTGTGGTTCCGGCTTTAGAACCGTCATCGTGAACTTTAGCTAATTAATGTCTAGTTTTGAGGCAGGGATTATTCATGACAATGCCAGTCAAATATTCTCAGGCAGTGACTGAAAACCAAGTTTAATGGGGGGGGGGGGGGTGTTGTCAAAGAGTCAAACACTTTAAGCAAGACAAGACGAATGCTTTCGCCTCTGGGCAAAGTAGTGAGCTGGTAGTGGTGATGCGGGTGGAGTTGGTAGGAGTTGACATTGAATGGCATGGGGATTTGCTGAAGGACAAAGGGTGTTAGGTATACCGTTTACTTAACATGTACCCTGTCATGCGAGTTCACATTTGGCTGACCACCCTTTCAATCGGAAGCACTGTATGTATTAGAAGAAAATATAGAACATTTAGTTTTTGGATAGTTAAATCAATAATATGTTTTGTGCTTTGATGAAGTAAAAAAATGCAGTGTGTATTATTTGAGTGGTGAGGGAATTGCTCTTAGCTAAGATTGCAGATGGCCAATTGAGCTCGATGACTTGCAAGAAAACATGAACAACAAAGCACAAAGGTGAGTGCAGCTGTATATGGAAGAATGTAATTTTATCTTGCTTCATATAATCCGACACTACAGATTCTGGTGCCCTGCATTGCTTGTTTTAATTTGGCATTAGAATGTCGTGTGAAATGATGATTAAACGTACCCTTTAATAAAGCACTTGCATAATAAAAGCTACTGAGGTGGCAGGCATTTTGCATTAGTTAAAGTGTTATGTATTATTTTAATGCCTTTGGCTAATAGTCACATGTCTACTTCAGTCTACCAGCAACCAGGACATATGATCAATTAAACCCTTTGTAAAACATTTGTCAAATCATCATCAATTGCAGGTATTTATTACGTGATTTTATTACGTTCTGATGAGCAAGTGTGGACTGTGGGGCATTAGATGTGCCAACATTTTACTGTTTGACGGTCCGCGAGTGGCCAGAAACATAACCCTTGCATTGAGATTCATCTTATTTCTGTGTCCTCACCTTGACTGAGCGCTAGCGAAGGTGCATATGTGACCATCCCCAAATACAGCACCTGTTAACAGAAACATGATTACACGTTTCACCGTATTAAAATGATATAGAACATTCAACGTGTAATCAAACGCTAGCTTATAACGTTGACTTTTCATGTATGTTGAACTTATTTTAGACCGTACGTAGCCAACCGTGCTAATCGGAGGTTTAATTAGTAGCCACGGTCAATCCACTCCCCGGGCTATCGACATCTCTCACAGTCCTGTTGTGTAAACATTTACGTTTATTTGTTGATAATGATCATCACCATATATACCATATGTACACAGACCCGTGATGTTAATTCCGCATGAGATGTACAAATATGCGCTGCGCCTCTTGAACTGATGGCTGCAAGTTGCATTTCGCATGCATTAAACGAGTTTGATGAGTACTTTTAGTTGTTTATACACAGCAGCACGATGATTCCCTCCTAGCTCCTCCCTGCCGGTCTCACGCCTGTCAACTTTGTCAAACGTAGTCCTTGTACCGCTTTGACTTTGAGCAAATCAGTGCTGTCAAAAACATAAAGCGTGGTAAAATAATGAATACCAGCCATTTAATCAATCCACTGCTGGAAGAAGTCCTATCCACGCTGTGTCAGTCACGGGAGTTGTGGAGTTATTTGTTCGTGAATTTAATTGACCATCGCCGTCAGTGTGAGCTGGTAAAGGGGGGGGGGGGGACGGTGAGGGATAGAACCAGTTGAGGTATCACTTCTCTCTCATGTTGAACATGCTCAGGAACTGAAAGCACTGTGTCAATCACTGTGCCACTTACCATGTGCATGAAATAGGCACACACCACTCCGTATCGCACCGCTTGGTTGAACCTGGTGTTGAGGTACTGAATTTGCACAAACAAATGTTATTTTTTTCAGAAAGATATTGGCAGTATATGCATATTAAATTAATCTATCTTGTTGAAAATATTTAGCGTGGAAAAATACCGTGAGTAGTTATGGGATATAAATCAACACGCTACCTTCAAAGTTGGGGAATGTTAGATGAATGAATGACTTGTTTCTTATTAAACTTTTGTGTAAAGAAACGGAAACAATTGCGGAGATTTTAGACAAGAAGTGATTTAATTTTAATATTTCAAACAAGTGTTACTATATTAATGCGTGAAACAATTCTCATCTCTGTTTATAGTTTTCACCCAGTGATGGAAATATCACATTCCTAAAGCAAGTACTCGTCTGTCCTTAGGAATTAATATTACTGACCTCAGTTAGATGATTGGATTAGATGACGATGTCCAGAAAATCAATCCACTGTGTGATATATGTATGTTGAACTTCTTTCACACCGTACGTAGCCAACCATGCTAATCGGAGGTGCTGGGTGTTATGGCTGTGATCCTGAGCTACATTGCAGAGTTAGCACAAGGGTATGCTAGGAATCACTGGGTTACAAAATTACACTTGGATTTGACTATTGCTACGTACAACACGTGGACTTTGTCGGGCAAATCGTGTGAGGCACGTACCGATACCTGCTGTTTTGTATCGTGACGTATTAACCTCCCAGTAGCACGGTTAGCAACGTATGGTGCGAAAAAAGTTCAACATACATACAATATACATACATACATTGGGCCCTTCCTGCCGTAATGAATACAATCTTTCTATCTATCATGTTGGAGATGGAACTGGAAAGAGAAATACATTGGCATGTATTTGGTGATAATAAAAGTAAAGAACTCACATACATTTCAATACAGTAGTGCCAACTTTTCCTATCATTTAGGTGGATAGGACAGTAATTACAGAGGAGTGAGATTGTTTGTCTGGGAATCAAACATAGAGGTTTCAGATAAATTTCGATTTAAAGCTTTCGTGACTGCGGGGATTCATCTTCTTGGTTCTTTCGGTAAAGTCACGTAGAATGGAAATTATAAAATAATAAAAATAAAACATAATAAAATAATTATCACGACAGAGTCTGAAGATTCTGTCTTTTCGACAGACCTGTTCTTCACCTGAGGACGGCTGCTTGCGTTGTGGCCGAAACGTCGTGAGAATTGTATTTTATGATGTTTTATTTTTATTATTTTATTATTTCCATTCTACGTGCCTTTACCGAAAAAACCAAGAAGAGGTTTCAGATACAAAAGTGAAAGGTTATTAAAGGTTATTAAAATATTAATCCCAACCACAAGCCATGAAGATGTAGAAGTAGACGAGTGGTATGAATAAATACATCAACTTATTAAAAACGAGGCCAAAATACATTACGCCACGATAGGGTGAGACTTGAATACAAAGGTAATTAAGAGGAGCAAATATGAGATGTTTTTATTTTATTTGGTATCGAATGGAGGAGCAGGAGAGTAGAATGTTAACTAGAGTTTGCAAGCGTGTAAAACTCATAGCTCTTTAGTGACAGTGTGTGAACTTTCTGGGGTTCAGCCACCAGTAATGATAGTATCTACTAAGACCAGCATTATGAAGGTTATAGTACATTTCTACATACCTTATATATGCTGGAGAGCTGGAGACGGTAGAAAAGTGGGATATAGATGAATGCTGTGACTGAGATTGCAAAAATCCAGGCGATACCCATGAGCACATGCATTATCCCGTACATGTAGATTTCAGCTGGGAGACCAATCACTAGAAGACGAAAAACAGGTTAGAATCTTAGCTCTCACATACTTCTTGGTAACATAGTAAAACAAACTGTATAGGCCATTGTTTATTCATTGCTGGATGCTTTTGCATGTAACATGTAAAACTTACCAGCGATGGCAGAGAGAAAACTTGCTGCTAAAGACAAAGCCACTGGATATGGTGATAGCTGCCTGCAGTGTGACAAATCAACACGACAAAATATAAACAAAAGCGGCTATGATCCACGTAACATAGATACAATAGATACAAATGTAGTTTAAACCTCGGCATTACAAAGTCTTTATATTTGTGACTCTACAGCACTGCATTGTGTAATGTAATGTTCACACATGCTGGTATACTAATTATTAGTATGAATCAATTGGAAACAATTTTCAGATAAGATCATTATTTCAGATAAAATCTGAAAATGTTTTGAACTTTAATTCTTTACGTAACCCACACCATCAATGCTAACCCACAGCCTCAACACCAACTCACATCCTCAACAGTAACCCACAACTTTAATAGTAACCCAGCCTCAAAAGTGATTCTCAACCACAATAGAACGATCGCCTACATTCACACAGTTTCCTGCATCATGAAGTGATGTGCACGATGGGAGTATCTACAAGATGGTCCTGTATAGCCCGGTATGAAGGAAAAGCCACCATACTATTGCTATTAGTGGCCTCTCCATCCTTGCGGTGATCAACAGGATTTCAATCAAAGGTGAGCTGGAATTAAACTGTCCAAGACCCATCTTGTTCCGATTGTGAGAAAAAATATTCTATCATGCAGTTATTTTTTGTCTCGTGTCTTCGATAAAAATTACTTCTTCCACTACCCCAGATACAGCTGGATTATATAAACCACATAAGCAAACATAATTTAACTTACGTAATACATTACATAAATAATAGTAATTGTGGTATTCATTTCATAATAATGTTACGCTGAATATTAATGTTGCCCTTACCTTCTGCCCAAAAGGACATCTTCAGAGGTGTTCTGTCCACCACCTGCGAAAGCATGGTATAATCCTATACAAGCTGAAATTACCAGCATAAGGGCAAAAACAACATAGTCCCAGGTCCCAAACTGGCTCGTCTGGACCATCTCTGCCCTCTTTATCCTAATGCGATTGATGACGTTACTGCATTTATATGAAGTCAGTGTTGGTTTGCCTCGATAGCGATGGCGACGTATTTTCTCAAACGTATTTGCTCTGTAAGAAGCTTCTAATGCGATGTTTAACTCCACTTCAAATCCTTAAATAAGTTACTCTTTCTCTCCTGATCTTTTAACCTTTGCCCCACAACGTACTGTGCCTGGTTCGTATCTCTTCGCTGCTCTCACGAGTTTATTATGTACCTTTGCCCTAAGTTGTGTTCGTACTGCATTTGCCTCACATTTGTGTCTGTCTTATAACTGTAGTTTCGCTGCTTGGCTGCGTGCAAGCTTTGCGCTTCTCCCACTCACTCCGCTGGCACCAACTTGGATTGTTCGAAAACAAGTAATTAATTTAAACATAGTTCAACACTCAAAATAAACATTATTGTGCATCCTTCTGAGCACCCACGAATACCCACGCCTCACCCCACCCTACACTAAGCCCACGATTATTTGCCCAGTTTCTCAGTGAACCGTTATCTCCTTTTCGGTCAAAACCGGTCACTACCTGCACGTCTCTTTTCCACGAAATCCCTAAACCCCTCCACGTCGCTATCCCGTCTTTGAATCTCCCCGCAGACAAAAAGCTCTTTTTGCTCGTTCCACCTCTTCCGTTATCCCCAATCCCATTTTCCTGTCATTGGTCCCCTCGATCTCACTCCACCTTACTCTACCTCCCCCTGGTTTTCTCCCTGCCCTCTTAATTTTCGACAAAAACTTCCCATGAAGCCTGCCCGTTCTTCATGTTACAAAACCTTTATCTTGATTCGCCTCTTCACCTAGTATGACCCGCGCCTCTACCCCATCATTACCCGTACCATCATCACCATCGTCGTCATCCCCAAATCATAGCTATAGGCGTTCCTCGCATAAAGCGCGACATGCGTTCCTGAAACCTTCAAGTAAGGCATTAACAGCACAAGATTGGGCAGTCTTGACATGAGTCGATTCAACGGACTCCAGCAGAGGGCGCTGTCATAGCATCACGTATTTGGATGCATTGCTACACATGGACACGTGGGACATTTGGATGTCCACGAGACAGGATATATATTTACGGCTGTCATTTTGCTGTATTGCTATGGGACCATGGGAAATGCTCTTAATGTGTGTGCGTCTTGCACAGAATGTGCCACGCAAAATGCTTCACGCTCAACTGCAATTCTGATTCACCATGACTGAACATTTCCACCACCAAGCCACCGAAAGTCACCGAAGCCCACCTGGACCCACGCCTTAATGCTTTTGTCAGTGGGGAAAAGACATCGATGGCCGGCGGTGACGTGTCTGGGCAGCATTCAGTGTCCTTAGGGGCCGTCCATAAATGACGTCACGCACCTGGGGGGGGGGGGTCAGACATTTGTGACGAGGGGGGGGGGGGTGAGAAATGTGACGTCACATCAAAAGGCGCCATTTTAAATAAATATAGACAACACGTTCTACTAAATTAAATTGACTTTTAATAAATGTGTTCTCCTACAACATCAGAGTGCAGCGGCACATTAAATACGCACTACAATGACAATAGTTTAAAGCGATTTGAAGCATGTTTTATTTTGTGTTAGCTCTGTCCTCTGTCTGGGAAGGAGTGGCATGATAACACTTGCAAAGATGATTCAATGTGATTGGACCTGTCGCATGCATGTGGCCTAGATTGATCAAAAGGTTTCCACAAACTTTATGAGAAAAAAGCCCAAAGCAAAAACGAATATATGGAAATACTACGTAAAAAGACTATTGTCCTGACAACTAGCAATCAGCTTCCATACCACGAATGTAATATTTCCGGAGACAAATACATGTTGGAATATGGTTACATCATTAATATGTATCGTGACCTTCGAGTGACGTGTGGGTGGGCAAGGCTACATCCATCACGGCAATGTTAACCCTGCCCATGACCACGTGTGTGCTCACAGCAAGTCGTGCCTTTTCACACCAACAGTGAACCATAATTCTACCACACTTTACAAAAAAAATACGAATAACAGGATGAACACAGTGCTCAAATCCAGTTTGTGAACACAACATTTTAATTACTGCACATAGACCATTCATAATCCTCTTATCCACACTTTTGTAGATAAATTATACACGTTGGTTGTTTGACTTGCATCCCACTGGGATATTTGCACACAGCGTTGGTGTACGATGATTTTTTTCTGCAATGTTTTGCTGTCTTTTCTTGGATTTCTGTTTGCACTTAGTCACATTCACTTTAAGATGTTTTTTGTTCATGTTTTTGTTTTTTGTTTGTTGCGGTTGCACCCGATTCAAGAGCCGAATGGCTCACAGGGCTACACCTAATACATGAACTTGAACTTGAACGTTGTGGATAATAGGAAGAGCAGGGAAAAGAACGTGTTCCGAGAGGATGTCTACCAGCAAATGGAGTGATGTGTGCACATGCTAGGTGGATTATTACATGCTAGGTGGATTATTACATTGCAGAGTTGTGGAAGGTGACAGGGGCTAGGGGAGGCCTTCATCCAGCAGTGGATGAATTATGGCTAATGATGCTGATAATGAGAAAAAGGAAATCCATGGATAATGGTATAAATCACAGATTGAGTCATGAATAACATTGAGTCGTGGATTAGAGGTTGTGGATTGGTGTGCGACTGTTAACCACATTGACAGCAACACATTGATACGGTGGTGTTGCGAGGTGATGGCCAGGTTGAGAATACATCACTGAACGTTGTCACCTTCCTAATTTATCATTGTGCATGCTTGCGTCTTCTTGTACACACAGGCCACTATAAAAGATGTGAATCCTTTTGAGACCTTCGATTATAGAAACAGATGGCCTGGCTACACAAGGGATTTCAATTTTAACTGCCATACAATGCCCATGATTACTCTCTAGTTATGTATGATTAGTGCCATGTTAATGCCAGGGCAACGCATGGCCCTAAATCCAGTCTACATCCGTCTGTAGTGGCAGCCACAGTCTAATGCGGTGTGATCTGCTATTTATTATTTTTCTATCTACGTGGCTTTACCGAAAACCCAAAGAATATGATCTGCTATTGTTTGCAATTATAATCAAAAGTTGAGTCTTTGTGGGAAGTTGAGTGTATATGTGTATATGCATATCGGCGACTTTTTGAGCCATTTCAGAAGAAATACAATGAAGATAATTCTATATAGCCACCTCCTAAAATAGATCTCTCCATAACCCACACCCCCCTTTGTCAGTGCTAATAGGAGGCCAGCAAGTGTAGTAAAAAAAACCCCGTCACTCCAGTGGTCATCGTAGAGGAGTCACTAAAAGTTCAAGTTACCGAGAGCTTGTTGCAGCATCGCTGCCTCTTCAAATCTACATTCCCGATTGTGAATATATTTTTTTCATTGTGGGACTTCATTTACAGTTTAAACATGTTTGGGAAGAATAGACCGGAGAGTTACATTTGCATGAACAACTGAGCCATGAAGATACCACTTGGTAAGTGATTCTAATAACTACTGCAGTACACGCAAACAGGAATGTGTACCACTAATACAATTATTCGAATATTATTCAGTACATTTGACATGTAGTTTTATGTACTCATTTGAAAAGACGTTGTCTCTTACTGTGCAGGCGTAACATAGTAAAATATATAACACTATACAATACTGCATATTTATTTTTTGAGTGCATGTTTTATTGTTTATTATTTGTGAGTTAAAAAAATGTATAATTCAAACCAGTAAAATGTGTACACACAATACTGTATTTTCTTGCATTGTCAAAAAGTCATTGAGTGGATGTAATTGTATTTCGTTGTGTTTATGAGTTGTTAATTTTCATTACATTCAGAAAGTGTAACCTATTTCCCCCCAAAAAACTAATTAAATATATTCACTATATACCTGATTCTGAGTGATTGTTCCTTGTTTAATAAGTTTAGCTACTTCAAACTACATGTTGAACTGTGTTCCAATTGGGATTTGGTCATGAAATGTGATATTTTGGAGTTGGATAATGCTGATGCTCTTTTCGACTGATGACTTGGATTATCACGATTATTAAACGTGAAAACTATCTTTTTTTTATCTTTTCACCCATTCTAAACGGGGGATATGTTTTTTTTTCTTTTTAACCTAGGCTTTGTAAAGTTTTAAACTGGAATTATTTAGGGAGCTGATTCCAAATATTACTTTTTTATCATACATTTTGAAAACCAAATTTGCTGATTTTTGGTGTTCCATAACTTCGGGTTTCTTTTTTTACTTCGTATTTTTTTAAATCTAGGCCTTTCTTGTTGTTGTTACCAGATCCTGTTAGAAAATGAAGGAGCCAAGTCTACCCAAATGTGCCTTTACTTAACCACTTTCACTTAACATTTTTACAGGCCTTGCTGTTTTTTTTTTATAAATTGGCATATGTCGGTGATATAACATCTAAATTATTTGGCTGTTTTTATAAATTCCCTAATGTTTTTTTTCTTTCTCAGAAACATACTCACAGCATTGCGTGTGAAACATTAAGTAGGAAAGAACTGCACTTGATGACCTTCAGAACAATTCATTAAACAAATATATAAACATGTTTTTATTATATACTTGGTATTCAATATCATACATACGTGTGTATTGCATGGTTAGTGTCGGAGAATCCGAATACCACAGATAATTTCAAATAGGAACTCCGGCTTACACGCGGCAGAAAGTAGAATTTGCTTTATTACAGTGACAGCTGTCATCGTGCTAAATCGAGCAATAGTGGGGTACTATGTGTCTTGGACATTGTATCCACGATAGGCAGAGTAATGGAAAAAAAATCAACAATGCATTGAAATGTCAGAGATGCGTGAGAGAGATGGCGGATATGTGTGAAAAGGGGCAGTGAGGGTCTATTTGTGTAAATACAATTAGAGAGCGCCTATGAGAGCTTTCACGGCACAATGCGGCCTGTGCCATATCCAATCCTGATGTTCACACTGCAGCGGGTATACATTGAATGCTGGGTTGACATCGGGGAAGCTCACGGATAGGCTAAGATACCAAACACCTGTCAAGGCCTACAGTTCCCCACATTGTCATGGGGAAGGAGGAGTTCTTCTGTATGAGAGGGAGCCAATAATCCAATCAGGTAAATGTTTAATGTCGTTCATGTAAAACAGTGTATTTATATTTCAATAATTTGTGTCTTTGAATTATTACTTTTCAGCCCAAATCATGTTGGCCGTATGGGCTAGCCAGAAGCCGGCTCATGGAAATGTGTCCTGCGACGCAGCCCATAATGGAAGTAGCAAAGACGACCATGTGAATTGTGAGTCGGGAAGAAACACAACAAGCAATGAAGACTCATCTTGGCTGGTGCCCAGCCTAGCTATGTCCTTGGTGGCTTTGAGTATGCTGGCAATGGGTGGCAATGCAGTTGTGGTACGAGATTCATGGAGGTCATTCGTCCGCACACGTGCAGGTAAATGTGTGTCACATCGTCTTAAATAATTCACATGTAAGTGAATGCATGGGGTTTGTGAAAATAATTAGCAACTTGTATTTGACCAATGCACAGGTAATGTTATACAAATGTTAATTGGATTTTTACGTCATGGGCCCTCCTTTGCCAGTGTCAAAATATTAGAATAGGTTTTCCACTTTTTTCTGGCAACAAAACAGTTGTGTTAAGATGTTAAAACACCAAACTGAAACCTTTTGCAAGGAATAATGTCTGCGTAAACCACAGATAATTGTGGCGAAAATGCAAACAAGAGGAAAACCCATGATGTAGCTGCTCACCCCGAGCTCTCATTGCCCTGAGAGTGGCATTGTCTTTGTGCTGTTCGCCTTTTGGCGTCCTCTGGTCTAACACTGTTTGAGACGAGGCTCTAAAGAAAGCTGTCTCTGATGTGGACCAATCAGTTTAAAAGACGATGCACATACTTATATATATGCTCCAAGCTCGTGTGCTGTTTCATTCAGACTCTGTCGCCTCGACGGACCTGGTTTTCACCTGAGGACGGCTGCTTGCGTTGTGGCCGAAACGTCGTGAGAATAATTTTATTATGTTTTATTTTTATTATTTTATTACTTCCCATCTATGTGACTTTACCGAAAGAACCAAGAAGAAGAAAATGCACATACTGTCAGAGCATGTTTTTTGTTTGTATTTTCACCACAAGTAACTGTGGTTAATGCAGACATGATTCCTTGCAAAAGGTTTCAGTTTGATGTTTTAACATCGTAACACCTGTTTTGTTGCCAGAAAAAAGGGGAAACCTATTTTTGGATTTGTACGTGTCTGTTGTCACAATAATTTAACAGGTAGACGTAACCGTTGTTTCACACTAAATTAAAATCTCATTTTGAGTTTGCCATTCTAATTTGCTTGTCGCCATTATTGTAGCATGTGACTGCTTATCTTGCAGATGTAACAGCTGATGACATTAAATCAAGTTAAATTTTTGCTCTCGCTGGAAGATAGATGTTTTATTCTCTGCAAGTGTCACTTCAATGTCCAAACAGGATGCATCGTCCACAACATATTGTTGACTTTCAGCAGAGATCCAAAATAGTCCAATTGAATTCCTTTATTTCCGTCAGACAACTCTAACCTCTAGAAGTGAGCCATACTGTCTTCTTGGTTCTTTCGGTAAAGTGACGTAGAAGGGAAATAATAAAATAATAAGAATTGTATTTTATTATGTTGTATTTTGTTTTATTTATTTTATTTTATAATTTCCCTTCTACGTGACTTTACTGAAAGAACCAAGAAGATTAATCCCTGCATCACGAAAGCTTTAAAGCGAAATTGAGCCATACTGTCTTCTTGGTTCTTTTGGTAAAGTCACGTAGAAGGGAAATAATAAAATAATAAGAATTGTATTTTATTATGTTTTATTTTTATTATTTTATTACTTCCCTTCTACGTGACTTTACCGAAAGAACCAATAAGATGAATCCCTGCAGTCACGAAAGCTTTAAATCGAAATTGAGCCATACTGGTTCAGCAAATGGCCACAGTGTCCAAGTGGACAATCTTAACATCTGCCAGGCGGCCCTAAAGGTGCGTCCGCACCTCAGCGGCCTGTTGCACACCAAGCCGATCTCGAAATCGCACAGCTTAATCACCCACAACAGCTTCGTCCGCATCTGGGCAAGTAGTTTCGCTGTAACAGAGATGTATCTCTGTGGGTACCAGTGGTGGGCCGTGTATTTTACACCTAGGTCTTCGGTGCTATCCTCCCGCAATTAAACCGCCTTTGAATAACCTCACCATGACACTAGGGCTATAGGCTATTGTCATTCAAAGTAACCGCCCATATTCACAGTAACCTTTATCGAGTGGAATAAAGTGATTTAGCATGAGGCTCAACACCTATGAGAGTTAAATACATTTTACAAATACTGAAACCATCAAGGATGTACCACTATTACGCAGTATGACAGGATGCTGCATCACTAATAGACATCGCATAGCCCAAATCAATGTCATTACCAAAGAAACAAGAACAAACTCACAACAACCAGTCACATTTACTCATACGACCACCAAGCAAGAAAAAATGCCGTGAAACACAAATATCAGGATTCAACAGGCTTCCCCACAGATTTCAGCCAAGCTGCTGGGCCTAAACGCACATTCCACCACGCACACTCAAAGACACAGCCAGGCCACTGAATCTGAATATCATTCACACCAGCAGCAACGACCTAAAGCTGGCTTTGCCAGTAAATCCGCCACCAAATCCATTTCTTCCCCTCCTCCTTCAGCCATGGTGCGTTAAACAACAACAGGGCTAAGTAAAAATCTAAACAACATTTTTAAGCACTACATATAAACGTCACGAAAGGAAGTTTAAATAAATCTTAGATGATGCTACGTTACGTGCTAGCTAGTTTTACTTCAGTTCGCTAACTTGCACTCCGATCACGACACACGAAAAATGCTAAAGTAGGTGGCTAGGCAAGCTAGAAGGCTCCGGCGTGTCAAAGAATACGACCAACATGACAAACTCGACATCTGATTGGTTAAAGAATATGAAAATCAACATTTGCTTCAAAAGTGGAGGGGATTCGCTCGATATTCTGAAGGCCTTAGGGTAAATTTTTCACTTGGAGACAGCACAGGTGGAAAATCTGATTGGATAAAAGCTGTAATTTATGAGCTGCACTGGAAGCAACGCAACTGAGGAAGAGAGTAGCAATGAAATGACGTTAATAGACTGATGGGAACGAACTTTGTAAATACATATAGCATTAATGAAATATATATTAAATGATAAAAATTAATTTTCTGATCTGACAATTTCTAGGCCAGCAGAGAAAGCTTTGCTGGCCCTGACGGCCGCCGATGGTGGGTTCCGTGGTGGCGAGATGTTATCGCCTTCGCCTGGTATGCAGGAGGTCGTGGGTTCGACCCCAAACCCTGACGCCTGTATATTTGGAGTTTGCATGCTCTAACTCCCCGTGGTCACGTGGATTTTTCTCGGGGTCATCCGGTTTTCCCTCCACTTTTAGAAACATGCATTTAAAAAATGTGGCTGCTATACATCTCCACGTGCGATTAGCCACTTCGTTGAGCTATTATTTGTGGCCAGGTCGATTCTGAAAAAGAACCAGATAGCTCAGTGGTGCCTTACCTGGTAAAATAAAGTAATATATTTTTTTAAAATCTGGCATGGCTGAAGTTTATTAAGGGTTAGCTCCACCCCTGACCAACATCACCATTCTAACGCCCTCCGTTATACATCTTACTGAAGCAACGTGTTGCGCAACTGCTCGCAAACTGGCAATAGACTTCCACGCGTAAAGCGATGTAATTGCACGCAACCCAGTTGTGCAGCAGATCGCTCAGGCGTGGACACGCCCCACACTTTCGCGAGGGCAACCACAACATCTATGGGAAATGTTTGTACGAATGTTGAACTTTGTATGAACGAATGTGGTCAACCGCATTCTTTGGTTCTTTCGGTAAAGTCACGTAGATAGAAAAATAATAATAAAAATAAAGTGAATTAAAATAATGCAAATAATAATAAAAACAAACAAAAAAACACTAATGTAGACTGTAGCCTGGTTCTTAATCGGATTGAGTGTACTGGAAATCTATAATGTAGACTGTATCCTGGTTATTAATTGGAGTGAGTGTACTGGCAGTCTATAATGTAGACTGTAGCCTGGTTCTTAACATGAGTGAGCGTACTGGCAGTCTATAATGTAGACTTATTCTTGGTACTTTCGGTAATAAAAATAAAATAAAAAACAAAAAAACAACCGTGATAATTGGAGGTGCGGGGGAAGGATAACTAAAAAAAAATCATAGTTTCCAGCAGAAATAGTATTCATAGTAAGCAAATTATTGGTGATGTTGCTGCTTTGGCAGTGGTGCACAAGCACAGTTCAATCAGTACCTCACTCAACACATTAAAACAATTACCCTGCCTTAAATCTAAATAATAAATCCGACGTTTTGGACAATGACACTTCCTCATAACACATCACTCAATAGAGCCGAATGGCTCACAGGGCTATACCTAATAAATGAACTTGAACTTGACGTCCAGTAGGTCGCCATACCTTCCAACAAAAGTCATGGGGCCTCATTCACATTTCTATTTTGGCTGAAGTTCCACAACTTTTAAGCTGTATGGCCATTTTTTACAGAAGAATGTGTTAATTCCCTCGTGTAGAACGCGTCCTGTTATTCAGATTAGTGGGCCAACCAGGGGTTTGATATCTATTCGGCCATATGATGTATAATGGAAAACATTGCTGTATGTGAAGTACCCGTCGAGGACGCTTGACAACGGAGTTGAGGCACACGTATATTTATTTAACAAGTTGCCGGTACAGGACAGCCCTAGAGGGGGTAGCGGCCCCCTCACCCGTATAACTCAGGGAATACCCCTAGCTATCCATAGCCTATCCCCTGAGTCCTCCACTAAGAGCTAGGGGAGGCTGTCTGGCCCGACACTGGTAATCGGGCTCGGTACCCGGAGTCCCAGAGCACTGGCTCTGGTTCACGGGACCACGCCACTGGCTCGTGCCTGATCCCGTGGGGCCCTGATAAGGGCGGCGATCAGGGGGAGTCCAGGGCTCTAGCTACGACGTCTTCCGACTTCTTAGCTTAACTATAACATAACTGCCTAAGCCCATATAACGACCCCTTTTTATACCCAACCCTCCTTGAGGGGTGGGGCCCCGGGGGATCGTAACGCCGAACCAGCCCCCCCCCAGGGTGTCTGGCTCGGACGTCGCAGAGGGCATCTCCCTGTGCACACACGTAGCCCCGCCCACTGTGTTTCTTTCCCATAGGCTGCCATGCATAACGGCCCTCTCTCCAACATCCCTACATATGTATAACATACAGATTATGATCAATCACTTTTCCTGAACGCTGTCACCAACCCTTTCATTTTATAGATAAGTGTCGATGATGCGTGATGTCATCGGCATCTAGAATGTCCCTATATGTGCCTCTAACATCAATTTTCTTACACGATTGTATAATATATGAATATTCTTGGTTCTTTCGGTAAAGTCACGTAGAAGGGAAATAATAAAATAATATAAATATAAAACAATACAAATTCTCACGACGTTTCGACTGCAACACATGCAATCATCATCAGGTGTGTGCCTTCCCTCGCTTTCACACCTGTTGATGATTGCTTGTGTTGCAGTCGAAACGTCGTGAGAATTTTTATTGTTTTATATTTATATTATTTTATTATTTCCCTTCTACGTGACTTTACCGAAAGAACCAAGAATATGAATCCCTGCAGTCACGAAAGCTTTAAATCAAAATATATGAATAGTCATGCTTTTATATTCAACAATAAGACCCTGTCTGTAGACTATGTACACAGGGTAGCAATAGCATTATTGCTAGGAGTTGTCTCTGCCATTTTCATTTTCAGGAAATGTCCCCCGACCCTGTGCTTCCCTGCTCATGGCAAACCTGGCCCTGGCCGACTTTGGCTGTGGTCTGTTTGTCATGCCTGCATCACTGCACGCACTGATCCACGGAGCCTGGGTGATGGGAACACCTGTCTGCCTGTGCATCTGTGCCCTGAACTACTGCTTCATCATCGTGGCGATGGGAACACTAGGTGAGAGAATGTGCAGGTCGTAATATTACAATTAATTTACCTAAATTGTCTGTCGCGTTTGTAAACTCTGCATATGTCACCGGACATGAGTGTGTCCAAGGTAACTCATTGTTGCCTCTAATAATATTTTAAATTGTCATTAAGTGGTAATACATTCTTTGGAATACATTTAATGTTAAGTATTGTTACCAAAAAAACCCAGATGTTTCGTGTTATATTTATTTTCAATTTACTGTAAAATGTATTTGATCGGCTTTCATTTTCCGTAAGGGATTTTCAATTGATATATATATTTTACATTTTTACAAGGTTTTAGTAATTATAAAGAGCTCATCTAACCATTGGACATCCTTCATCCATGTTGCGTCTCTTCGTCCGTCGTGCAGGTATCATCTCGCTGGACCGCTGCTTAGCCGTGTGGCGAGCTGCCGACTATCGGCAATTACTGCCATGGAAACGTGCGGCTCAGGCCTGTGGACTCACCTGGTTTTCAGGCATAATCTTTGGATGTGTGCCAGCTGCCTGCAGATGGGTCTGGTAACATGTTCAACTCGATCCAACGTCCCCTATTTACTTATCCCCTGACTCATTTCCTCGCTGCGGTGTCATAATTGTTCACAATCATAGTTAAAAAAAGTAATTCTAAAGTTAATTTCGATTTAAAGCTTTCGTGACTGCAGGGATTCATCTTCTTGGTTCTTTCGGTAAAGTCACGTAGAATGGAAATAATAAAATAAAAAAATGAAACGTAATATAATGCTTTATTTGTATTATTTTTATTATTTTATTATTTCCATTCTACGTGACTTTACCGAAAGAACCAAGAAGATAATTCTAAAGTAACACGTTTGGCTTGGTCATACAAGTTCGCAACCCGTGTGTATGTGTGTGTGTAAGATGGATGGAGCCTGTTTGGTTGGCGTGGTTTATCGGCAGGGCGAGGGAGTTGATGTCCATTGTGGTCGGCACTCCGCCGATGAGCTGCGGAGTTGTCGGCAATGTGACTCCACCCATTCAGCCCAGTAAATTGGTATAAATTACTCGTATATAATTTGAAAGTGGACAACCCAGTAAACATGCAACGTTGGTCCAATGTCCGTTGATGTTGGACCAACGCGTTCACTGGGACATTTATTTAGAGCAATTTCCACTTTATTTTCCTTTTTAGGAACCATGCAAACGTATTACCCTAAATTGTACAATATTCAGGCCAATACTCTTTTATTTGCAAACCGTGCTTTCTAACCAATGGGTTACCTGGCCATGTGCATTGTGACTATCATAGTTCTAAAACACAGTCGTAATACAAGTAATACAAGCGACAGTGTTTGTTTTGGGTCACCTTATAAGAAGCGATTTGTGGATACGTGTGGACCGAACTAGGGCACATAGACATTCAGTCGCCAACAGGACAACAGCCTGTAAAAATGTTTTATTCAAACTGGTCTCTGTGCAATGTGAATGATTTTGGGCAGTTAAAATACAATACCAGGCAAACATGTTTTTCTTGGCAGTGGCATATTAGTAAAATAACTTTGCACAGAGGCCTGGTAAATATAATTTCACATTCCATATATTTTGTCAGTCCGCTGCTGGATGAGGGCCAAGTGGGTTATGGGTGCTATTTGACTCCCTGCACACACCACTGCAGCTCCAAAGGACAAAGTGATGCGAGATAGATTTGATGTGGAAACATAATTCCCGGAATAACGTTCCAGACTGTCCTGGCTGAAATGAAGCACCATTTGTAACAACGCTCCTGACACTCTACTGTATTGTGTTGCCCTTTCAAATATGTCCAACCTTAGGTATGACCGAGAAGAACTGATCTGTACGATTCGCTGGGATCAGAATTTCCGGAGTGTGATAACATACACACTGTCCGCTTTCTTCGTGTGTTTCTTCGGGCCCATTTGCATAATAACAACCTCCTACATTGTCATGCTGGTAGCCTACCATCGCAACGCTTTTAGGTATGGCTTCTCAAATTCACGTCAATACTGAAATTGACATACACCCTGCCGTGTGTATAAGGGGCCGTCCATAAATGACGTCACGCGATTTTGGACGATTTTTGACCCCCCCTCTCGTCACACGGCGTCACGAAAAGTCAGACCCCTCTCAAATATGACGTCACAAAGCGTTGCCCCCCCCCAAAACCATATTTCCATTTTGAAAATAAAACATGCTTCAAATCGCTTTAAACTATTGTCATTGTAGTGCGTATTTAATGTGGCGCTGCACTCTGATGTTGTAGGAGTGTAGTTATAACAATTAGTTTTGTTATAACAATTCTATATTTATTTAAAGTTGCGCATTTGGATGTGACGTCACACATCGTCACAAATGTCTGACCCCCCCCCCCAGGTGCGTGACGTCATTTATGCACGGCCCCTAACATCCACAATATGTTTATGTGTGTGAAGTTACTTTTAAATGAAGTTTCTCAGTACCTACGCCGTCCCGTGTCACTAACAAATCGGGCAACTCAATGACCACTTGTCACGTGGCTCTTCCGTGTCCTCGTCGTTAAAATCATGTTGCCGTTTATTCAGGTAGAATGCTATTCATTTTAAGATCTATTTGGGCGAATACCTTTTTTTTTAACAAATTACATTCACATTGAATCTGAGGCATTCTTATAATCTACATGCATAAAGAGTCCATTGTAGGTTTTTCACGAGCATTGATGGGCATGAAGTTGACATTTATTTGCCAAGAGAATGCGAAATATTTCAGCAGCTATTTGTGTTAACGATGTTTGACTTCGTTCAGAAAAAATGACAACAACAAGACTTCTCGTCGATTGGCCAAGATGGCCCTGGTGATGGTTGCAGCTTACCTCATGTGCTACACACCATTTGCTCTTACCAAGGTGAGTCATGATTAAATATTGCATGTGAAATTGGAATTTATGCTGCTGATTTTGACCAAAATATTCCACGATGTGCATGTTGGTGTTCTAGTATTAATAAGCCTATACACGACAGAAGATACACAAATATGTACAATAATAACAAAAGGCAATGTATTCTAGATTTAAAGTTTTCGTGACTGCAATGATCCATACTCTTTGGTTCTTGCGGTAAAGTCACGTAGGTGAAAGAATAAAATAAAATATTTTTTTTAGTTGTTTCATTTTTTATTTTATTTTATTATTTTCACCTACGTGACTTTACCGAAAGAACCAAAGAGTAAAAGGCAATGTCGACAAAATAATGTTTAAAGGAGACGGGCAGTGGAAAATGAGAGCTACTACATCGAGACAGAAATATTTAGTGACACAAGTTCGCATTGAACTGCATTGACGTCCAGCTGCGTTCTGACAGTCTTCATTGGATTATTAATCGACCCACGTGTGTTACAACGTTGTCGAATGTCATTTTGTTGTGTGCGCACCCAGGTGCTGAAGGTGGCCAACGGCAGTCTGGATGCTGTGCCTGCTTGGCTATCAACCACGTCGTCTTTTGCCGCATATGTGAACTCAGCCATCAACCCAATTATATACAGGCTCCTGGGCAGGAGCAGAAGAGTGGCGAAGAAAGTGGATGGAAACAAGACGACGCTGTGTTTCAGAGCACGCAATTGGTGTCATGTTTCAGAACACAGGGTGGGTCCAGCCCCTAGTATATCTGCTTTAATCGAATCCCAATCATTTAACCCCCCTACTCCTTCCCTAAGTGCACGACGTGCCAAGGGCGTTGAATAATTAAACAGGAAAATGTTTTTTTTCCCCAGGGAATATTGGTTAGCATCAGCATGGCAGGCAATTTCTCCACATACTGTAGTCACGCTCTGCTACAATAAGTTGCACTTTTTTGGAATGCATCAATTACTGGACCTTGCCTGTCCAAATATACGTCGTAATTATCTTTCTGATAACAGGTTGGAACATTTTATTATTAATATTACAAAGGAAACTGGGTAATTCTATTCAGCGCTGTCAACGTAATCTCCTACTCACAACATTAGATCCAAGTTTCGTCAGCATTGAGGATGTCAGCCATAAATGAATTGACTTCATGTTGAAATCTGATCAAAATATTTTGTTCTGTGCGTGGATGCACAAGTGCATATTATATTGCTTAAAAGTAATTCAACTGCAGTTCGCTCAACATCGGCATGTCCTACTGATAATTTAACTTGACTGTCAATAATGCTTGTAATGTCAGAAATTTATGACATCATATATTACCAGTTCATCCGGAAAATATTTTAGCAAACACTGATGTAATTGGTAAATGCTATTTATTTAGGACATTGTTTATGATTATGAGCGTCATTATTTTAAAGATATTGTGTCAGAAAACAAAATAATTAATGATAAATTATAACCACGATTGTGCAAAATGGAGGATACAATTATTATGGATCTCATTTCATACATTGTATCTACATATTGCAGAAACCCTGGGTATTCCTTGGCTTTGTACTTTGAGTGACAACGGAGAAGAGACGACCATGGGCTGAAAGAGCAGAAGGTTGGGGTTTCTTAAGAAAAATACAACACAGACACAGGCAATCTGTATCTGGCCCACTGCGTCAAAAAGCAAGAGATTGGTTTGAAATTTATTTGGACGGTTGAAAACAATGCGTAAACATGGACAATCTTTCCTTGGTCATATATTCTCATAAATAATATAACATTAAATTATATTATTATAAAGTTCTATATAACGCAGGTGACATTATTCTCTATATCATAGGAAGTTCATTAGATAATGTACATCTAAATTTACAAGATTACATTACAACCGTTAAAAATCATTCACCTTGAAACTCCACCTGAATGCAAACCCAATATGTAACTGCTATGAACCATAACTCAACTACAGCTTGGAACCGCTGCACTTTGTCCATAACCACTCTCAACAGTGCAATTGAAAATGTTTCGTCATATGAGCATCTTGGCATCTGGATCCATTATCATCTTATCTTGAAACCTCATCACAATTTTTTATAAAAAAAAAACAAGAATGAAGACGGTGACTTTGTATAGAAACGAATTCCGTTTCTCATCTTCTACACAGGAACATTTCATAGCTGCTCCCTTCACCGCCTTTAAACTCTGAGGGGCATTCATTGAGCCAAGTTCATCTTCAATGTATGCACACATAACCGTCTCTCACTTACACAAATGTGTTCTTTCAGAACCAAGATGATTGACATCCTAGAAGTCCCACAACACTCAAGTTTCTTGTTAAAAAAATAGACCTAAAATGGTTCTTTCTCATCCTGTGCTAATGCTCAAAACACCAGGAATTACATCGGTTCAAAACTGTCCTTGGTTAATCTCTAATCTACATCATAATCTGATGATAAACTGCCGATTATCTATAATACCTTCGGTTTCAATTGCATTTTGCATATATTCTTTACTCTTTAAATATCAGTGTAGTCACTCTATATCTGTTTAATAGTTCTGTAGTTGAATTTGTAACTTGACGTCGATGAGTTTAGAAGTCATCTGCCTGAGCTGCCTTTCGCTGCAGGGAATTTATAGGTGACATTGATTTGTATGTGTGCATGTCTTAGGATTTATCACGTGACATAGGTGTATTTACTCTGAATTCGATTCGCGTCATTGCTGTAATTTTGGTTTGTTTTTCATTTTGTTGACCCAAGGTCACTTTTGCAAACGAGGTTATCCTTGTCCCTTGAATTTTCAATTGGTTAAATAAAATAAATATGAAACTTGAACACTGCGGCAGATGTGACGAGTTTGGTGTCACCGATGATTGATTTGCTCAAGGCTGCTGTTGATTTTCAATTTCGGTTATAGACCTTGCTGAAGTAGCATAAAAAAATGACCGCTCTCATAGCCACAAACACACACACTGTTGGATTGTGTGTATCATGCACATATTAGCGTCATGCTGGTCAGGTCTTACCTTCTATTGACTCAACCTGAAGTGAGTACGTGATGTTACGTGTGAACATCTTTGAGCACCCATTTATCTGGTCTTCACTGGAATTCCCCAACAGTGTGTTCTGCGACAGCTTGTAAGAATATATAAGGTTCTTTGTTTCGATTTAAAGCTTTCGTGACTGCAGGGATTCATCTTCTTGGTTCTTTCGGTAAAGTCACGTAGAAGGGAAATAATACAAAAATAAAACATAATAAAATATTTTATTATATTTTATTTTAAAATAATAAAAAGAAAACATAATAAAATATTTTAGCATGTTTTATTTTAAAATAATAAAAATAAAACATAATAAAATATTGTATTTGTTATTTTTCTTATTTTATTTTTTCACTTCTACGTGACTTTATCGAAAGAACCAAGAATAAGGTTCTTTGTCTTACAAATTTATAGTGACTGTGAAGGTTTGATCAACTTTGTTCTTAGCTGACGGTAATCTTGTCTATATTATAATGAACAGCCAGAGACAATTAAATACCCTTCATAGCAGTGATACAAATGTAATAAGGTGATAAAGATGCAGCCTGGAAATGTATTGCTTACACCGCTGCTGGCTGAAGGGCCTCCACTTTAGAGAGTTCAAGAAAGCCCCATCCAGAGGCTGTTTTTGGCCTACTCTTACACGCTGGCGAGGCATCTTGAAAAAGGTAGAGGTACCCACGCTTTACCCCACCACACGCAACCTGCCAATCGACTAACTGTGCTGTACACATTTCTACTGCTGGGTGGACAGAGGCAAGAAACTTGTCCCCATTGTTTTAACTGTCGCACAGGAAGATCGAACCAACGACCTCTGAAATTGCAAATCCACTATGCTAATTATGAGTCCATGGTGGGGTCCCCAAAATATACACTGTATACATACGTATCACTATATAATGACAGAAAGTATGAAGTACTGTATTTAGAAATGTCAGTTGATGGTTTTGGAACGGTGTACTTATAGATCCTGCAGTTATAATTTAAGTTGGATGTTTACATACATTGTGCGACACATTGGTACCATTTTAATAATTATAAATGTAATGTTGCTGCTGCCGAAATTGTACACTGAAAAATGTAAATACGTCGTAATGAGACTTTTTTGAGGCCTAAAGGGAAGTAATCATTGGACCTCGTTCCATATTATGTGTTTCCCTGTCATCCTCAGCAGCCATGACCAATCCACGATGAGATCAATGCCTCCCCAAGCAGTTACCATCTCGCATGGTTCTCTGGTGCAGCAACCTATGCAGCACTTCATTTTCACTTCGTCAGAAACTTCACTATTGCATCTGCGACCGGTCTCCAAGCGATCGAGAGCTTGGTTCGAGGGAGACGGCCATCACTTTTTGGACACGTCGCCCATCTTGATGCGCAAACTCCAGCAAATTGGGCACTTCATATTCTTAGGTTTTTTCGGTAAAGTCACGTAGGTAAAACATTAAAATTAATAAAAGCAACACAAGCCTCCGTCTAGAATTGGGCACTTCAGTTGCGGTCGACGTTCGAAGTGGACTGCGACCCTCAAAGGAACGGCACCACAACTGTGGTCGCCTCCCCACCCCTGTGATCCGTGGATCAAACAAAATGGCAGCAAGAGAATGCTTCCGCGAGAGGTCATACGTTTGGCGCAACGGTCCTTTGCTGACTATGCGTGATGAATGAATTTCCACTGTGGATGTACTCTTAGGCCCCTTTCCTCCTTTTCCTGCCACTCTGACATTAATATTGACCGGTGGCCAAATGTCCTGTCCAGGCCCACTTACGTTTCTTTACAGCCATATTCATACAGTACTGTGTCCTCCACCAATGTTTCCCAGCAGTAATTGATTATTAATGTAATCCTCCGCTGGCTTCAACCTCATTGAATCTCATGAGCAAGGTGTGGCCTTAAAGTGGCAGGGGTGGGGAACCTTTTTTCTGCAAAGGGCCATTTGGATATTTATAACATCATTCACGGGCCATACAAAATTAAATTTATGTTGTGCTATGAAAAAAGATCCTAGATTCATAAAATTTCGAGTAGTTTTTTGCCTTGGCAGGGCCAGATCAAATGATTTCGCGGGCCTCATACGGCCCGCGGGTCGGACGTTCCCCACCCAATGCCACTGTGTGTACTGACGTTACAAACAGCAGGTTTGCACCACAGTGGATTCACTGGGGTCTCCATTATCACCCAGCTAGTGCATGGACAGAAGCCGTACCGTCGTTATACAGTGTGTGTATTATGCATGATATAGAAATGAGCATAAAACCACAAATATTACATTACATATATTCGGTATGCTTTCTCTTGAGGATGATAGGTTAATTACCTTTTTATTATATAACTTTTTGTTTATTTTTTATCCATTCAACATATAGTAGATGTGTTCATTTTATCTTCGTTGTAACTCATCGAATGGCTTGCATTAATGCAGTGTATTATTTACTGCGGATAAACAAACTCTGGAGCCAAACATTTGCCTGTACGTTTGTAATGGGAAACCTGGAGGCATCTGTGCAGCGAGGGCTCGCTGTGCACATTTCTGTGAGGCTCTGTAAATATGCACTTACAGTTCACACGTGGGCTATGACATTACCAGGCACCATCATTTCGATACAAAATGTTTGACTAAATAGGACTTATTTTAATTACCAACTGCTCCCTCATTGGTAACTGATAAAAAAAAATGGCCAGAAGGCCTTGTGGTTGACGGGAAGTATAAAAAAAATGTATATATTTTATTTTCGTTTACGTTGAGGGACAGATATATGAAAGATATATCCCAGGAAACATGCAATGTTGGGCCAACATTGACATGTGTTTGGGACCGTTGGACCACCGCTGTGGCCCAACTTTCCATGTTAACTGGGATATTGTCTGCTTGATAATTTTGTCGCTCATATTTTCCATAATTACGCTTATGATTATTTTGTGTTAAGCTTGGGTCCGTGTCACTTTCACAAGTGTACCAGCCAATCTCATTCGTGTCTTCAGATGTAAGAGTTCTGTGAACCTTGGTTGCTGGGATCGTAGTGCATTGCAAAATTCACTGAATAAACATGTGGACACATGCAGACACAACAAAAGTTATGATCAGGTATGGAGTTGTGACCACGCCACAACAGTAGACGTGCCAGACGAAGTGCCTTTTGAAGACATAGGCAATAAAGGCTCACTGCAAGGAGACCACAAGACAGGCTCACTTGTTGAAAATTGACAAGCCAGGGTTACGGGAAGATACACCTTCCTCGGAAAGATGGAACGTTGGACCAATGTTAGCCCAACTGTTCCAAACACGTGCTAACGTTGGGTCAACGTTGTATGTTAACTGGGTACAGTGCTAAAATTCGCCAACTTTCTGTCAGCTTTCTCTGCTCATCGTTTCGTACCCCTTCACACATGCAACAGTATTGTAGGGAGGGGATGGCTTTCTGGAGTTGTTTGCCAGATATCAGATCTGACACCTGCAGGCAACGCTCGCTTGCACTGTTTGACGTCGGATCTTAGGTTACCTGTGCAGTCCATGTTTCATTTTGCGTTCTTTTTAATCAGTTTGCTCAAGAACAATACAGAACAGTGATATTTGCACAGGGACACAAAGAACAGATACAATGAGTCTATAATTTCAGGCCTTAGTGAAAAACTAGCCAATGCGGTATGCCATGGGCTCAATGGAATTACCGTAAATTATTAACACATTACATAACTCAGAAAAAAACATTTAAAATAGGGATGGCCAAATATACATCAGTAACATCAGTGCTTTGATGTATTGATATTTTAACATTGATGTTGATGGCTGCGATAACATCGAAACATCACCTTTTCTATTTTCTTTAAATGTTTTCGTTTCGAGGAAGTGAATTTCAGTTGCAGTAACTTCTCACAATCTTGCATACGGCTGGTAGCCTGCTACTAATATGGAGGGTCTCCACTTAAATACCTCGGCGCTGGATAGGACACGCTAATTGGCACTTACGTGTGAGATGTGGAGCGTCTCTCATGAGCACTGTGCTCATAATAACAACACTTGTAATAGGTTTTTACCCTTTAACTGGTACAAAATTTGACACCTTTACACAAGGCATCATGTTTGCAATAACCTCAACACAAGAAGTCAAAATGCAAACAAAAAGAAACAACTCTGATGATGATAATGATATGCACTGTCCTTGAAGTTGTGTTGAGGTTATTGCAAACATGATGCCTTGTATAAAGGTGTCAGATTTTGTACCAGTTAAAAGGGTAAAAACCTATTACTATATTTTGCCACTGGTAAACGAGATCTCATAGAATAACAACACTGTCACGTGGCATTATTGTGAGAGATGGCGGCGGCTCGGCGAGGCCTTCATCCAGCAGCGGATAGACCACGGCTGATGACGATAACGTGAATAACATTGTTTGAGAAATAACATGGCGTGGGGAGACACCAGTCTGGCTAGCACCCGTGATCTCAGGTGTCGTCGTGCCCTGCAGGTGAAGAGTGACTTCACTCCCGAGTTACCAGCTTCAGTGACTGACTTGCGTGTCAGCAAGTAGTAGCCCCTCCCTCGAGACCCGCTAAATATGGAAACATGCTCTGGGTATTTAAGGTTTGCACGTCTGGGCATCAGAACGAGCTCATCGACTGTGCGGTGGTTGGTTTCCCGTTCACCTGTTCTCGCCTCGGGTTTATCATCGTACGCAAGATGGCGGCAACTCCACTCTGCATCGTGGTAGTAGCCTGCTTCTTCTGCTGGTAAATATCGTTACTGGATTCGGTGGGGTGTTCAAGGGCATGTGTAAAAATGCTACAAAGTAGTTGTAACAAATAATAAAAGTAGCTCATGTAAAAGCAGTGCAAGAATGCAAGCAATTAAAATTGAAAACTTTGAATAAGCACATTGATACCGTTACCTGACATGGCCACATAATATCATCTTACTCTCAAAGAATAATTTGCACAAATATTGCACTGTTCCTTTGAATCTTGACTTAAAGCTTTCGTGACTGCAGGAATTCATATTCTTTGGGTTTTTCGGTAAAGTTACGTGGATAGGTTCAAAGAAAATAACAAAATAACAAAAAACGACGACGTTTCGATCGCAACACAAGCGGTCGTTATCAGGAAAAGCGGTCCCCTTTTCCTGATGACGATCGCTTGTGTTGTGTAGTTTTTTGTTCTTTTCTTTGGACTTATCTACGTGACTTTACCGAAAGACCCAAAGAATATGTTCCTTGGAAGGCCAAACTTTTGAGTTGTTTGTATATTTTAAGCAAAAGTATATATTTTATTGCATGGCTAAGGGAAGTTTCAGATTTTAATGGTTTTCCAGTTAAAATAAACTGATTGCTTAATCTATATGATGGGGGAATCAAGCTTGTGTTTGGTTAGCTTGAGAAGCATCAGAATTTTATGAAGAAATCGTTTTTGAAGGCGTGTATTGTCACCCACTTTGATTACGTGCTCACTAAAACGGTGGATAGGGTAGACACTGCAACATGCATAGGAATTACAGTGGATATATATGCATCTGAAAGACAAGAGTCCAATTCATATAGATTTTTGGTTGCCATTCCACCACTTTTTGGTGAACGATGGCACATTTACCGAGAGAACAGGGCAGATACCAATTCCACCCTTCGTATAAACACTCAACATTTATTGGCTGAAAACGTCTTCATATAAAAACTCAATGCAAGTAACCCTCCTGAAAAAGTCCTACGACTCAGTGTGGCTTTTATGACTAAATTAAGAAAATATGAATAAAAGATCATTCGTATGCCCACTTGTTCCCTCTAATCTACTAATTTGTGTACGTTTCTAAACAAAATATAGAGGAAACTTTAGTGCTGAAAACAGTTTGAAAAGTTGCATAATGAAGTAATGAATGCAAATTAAAATCACAGTGATGATTAAGACACAAAAGATGAGGATATCGATGATGATAATGATGCTGTTGATTATTGCAATGAAGCTTCACCTAATACCTGAATTCTGCAAAAGCTTGAAAACTATTTCTACATTAATTGGGACTTTTGAGTGGACAGATGTTCCTAATGATGCATGTTTGTTAACTAGAACCCTGGCTGGGGAATTTTAGCTTTGGTAATTTTAGGGATTCAAAATGGGCACTGGCCCATAACCATATCCAAAAACAAAATGTATGGCAGGTAGGAAGACATATGCTCAGTAAAGATCACTCAATCAATCTTAGTGGTTGTATAATGCCTTTCACGAATGAATTCCCTCAAATTCGCTGAACAAAAAAACCATTGTTAAATGAACAAAATAAAAGATTGTAAGTAAATACACCAGTGAAAGTAATAACAATCGGTAAGAGAGCAGTGTAAGAAGCCGTAATACATAAAAGATAAATAGAAAATTTAAAGCAGTTAAAGTCAGTGATAAAATTATTTACAAGAGCGTGAATGCTGTATCATAATACGATGTTTTGAATATTATGATGATAATTGTGTTGATAATTTTGCTTTCACTAGTTGTTGTTGCTGATGTTATGTCTCCTGCCACCGATGATGAAGAAGACAGTGTAGAAGAGGTAGTGTTACCAAGAAATCTTCAATGTGAACAGGGACTCTTTAAAAATAGTAGGTTTCATGCGGGAAAGAAACTCAAGAACCACACAAACACGCAGACGGGGAAGCTCCATACAGCTGGACTCAATAATCTATTTTCCGCAACTTCCTCTTATGGCGATCTCACAGCTCACCGCGTTTGCGAATTACATTTTCCACGTGATCCATGAACAAAAGCCTCCAGTGATATATTGCTGACGTGAACATACGAGGGGGTCCTCTCCCTTTAGGGTCCCGTCTGCTCAGCCTGCTCGCGATGGGGGATAGAAAAAGTGCCCTAAACCTAGGCTGTCTCACCCACTCCCGGCTGGATTTCCTCGTCCAGTGGGAACACTCTCTCGGTGATCGGAACCACAAAAAACTGTGACTTTTGTAACATGGAATGTTCGCACTCTGATGGATAACAAAAATAATGTAAGACAAGAATAAGTATAACCCGTAAAAACAAAGTTTTTTACTATAAATCCTTTATATGCGTGGCGGCTAGGGTCCTCTCGTCCTCTGGCTTGAGATGGCTGCCACCTATGGGTCAGATGATTGCATTGCACCATTAAGCAATTGGTAATTAAATATAATATTTTTGTCCTAAAAAGTGTAAAATTTTGGAAAAAATTTTTCACGAACATTAATTGTCACGCAGAACGAGTCTGTGTGGAAAATGTCAGCTCGATTGGATCACGGGAAGTGGGTTAAAAAACGACCGAAAGATTTGCACGGTCCTAAGCAAGCAAGCAAACTTAATATAAAGGATTTAAAAAAGAACTGCTATCGGCATCAGGTATCCTGCAAGATGTAACATCAAAGTCGCTGTCCTGAGTGAGAAGAGGTGCCTGAGGTGAAGGTAAGTTGAGAGAATATGGAGGCTACACCTCTTTTTGGAAAGGAAAACCTGCAGAGGACAGATGCATCCATGGTGTCGGCTTTGCAACTGTAGTGTTACATTTTGATCTAAAGCTTTCATGACTGCAGGGATTCATATTATTGGTTCTTTCGGTAAAGTCACGTAGAAGGGAAACAATAAAATAAAAAAAATATAAAACAATACAATTCTCACGACGTTTCGACTGCAACACAGGCAATCATCATCAGGTGTGAAAACCACAGCAAGAAAATTTGAAAAAAGTGGCGGATTTTCTTAACGTTAGCACCACGGACAGTGTTTGGCAGTTGTTCAGATGGACGAGTCCATCTATGTTCGGAAAAGAGGAGGGAGAGGAAGAGAATGGAATGCGGTCTGAAAGTCGCCGTAAGTGTGAACGCAATCAATTAAGACCCGAAATGGTTTATCAAATCCTTCCAATGATTGCAAAGCCAGAATCCAATTTCTCCGTTGAAATTGTCTCTGTGTTTGTATATGTGGATAGCCTCATGAACGAATCTCTCATGGTAGCCAGATGGCTTGCAGAAAACCTCTGTCTCGGAGAAGTCAATGTCACGTGAGCCCACTGAATTATAACAGTGATCTGCCACGGCCGAGGTATTGGTCCTACCGTGTTTAGGTCTGCTTTGTGTTCACGGATGCGGTCCGAGACATGTCGTTTGGTTTCTCCAATGTAACTACTACCACAGAGGCAACTCAGTTTGTAGACGCCAGGGTACTGTATGTCCGGAATCACATATTTTACAGACAGAACCAGATCACGGATTTTATGTAATGTGTTGAATCAGACCTGGATCTTGTGTTTATTTAAGATTTTGTAGATCTTTTTTGTGATCCCCGCAATGTAGGGTAAGATTATGGTTTTGAATGGCTCCTCAAGAGGGTCCTTCTTCATGGTTGGAGTGATGGCTTTGCAGATTGTGTAGTCGGAGTAACCATTAGCCTTAAGAGCTTGGTGTACATACTTGCGTTCACTGGCAATGTGTTCCTGGTCGGAGATGCATTGGGCTCTATGGTGCAGAGTCTTGATGAGGGAATTCTTCTGGGATGGATGGTGGTGGGAATCCGGTTTCAGGTAAGCATCCGTATGGGTAGCTTATCTGTAGACATAGTGGCTCATTGAACCATCGGGTCTCTTTTTTATTAGGACATCCAAAAAAGGTAGCTTGCCATCTTTTTAGACTTCCATGGTGATTTTGATGGCTGGGTGAATTGAATTGATGTGGTCGAGGAATTGGTCGAGAGCAGGCCGGCCATGTGGCCAGATGACAAAAGTGTCATCCACGTACCTCTTCCATAAGGTTGGGCGCAGAGTGACAGTCTGGATGGCTTTACCGAAAGAACCAAGAATATAACTGTAGTGTTGTAAATAAAGGCGGACGATTTCTTGTCTTGTGTCCGGGCCACTTTATTACAGTTCGTTACATAACACTTGTTAGCTAAGCCGAGGATTCGCTGCCCGTCGCTCGTTCGCTCCCTCACTCGCCGCGTCCCTATCTTATTCTTCACTCTCCTTCCCTATCCTATTCTTTACTCTCCCTGTTTTACCCCTCCCGGCTGCCGTGTCTCGCTGTTTCAGCGGGTTGACACCACGGCAGCCGCGGCGTTAAGCGTGCCGACGTACGGACTGTGCTTACCCCTAGCGACCCTATCCAAGCCTACCCAGGTCCACACAGGACTACTCTCAGCCTAACTAACTTGGCGGGTCCGGCTTCAGCTTCTTGCGTCTTCTGTCTTCATCAACTCCCTTCCCGGCTCGTTTTCTCCATCTTTTATATCCCTCGCGACCCCTTCGAGAATATTTTCTAAAGGACCCCCTATGATTGGCGGATACTGGTCTTATCAATCCCGGTCCACCTCCCCCCTTGTTTACCTCAACAGGATTACCCCAACGGTCGTCCTGACCTTAGCTGCTCTTACATCCCCCCAATGATGCTCACCAACCGCCTCTTCTGGCCACCCAGCGCGGACATGCAGTCGTTCCCGAATATGCGCGTGTTGAATCATCACTCAACTAAGAACAAGCTTGTCAGTCAGTTGCAGGAATGAATTCACATCTTATGAGCCTTCATTTCAATCTCAGCAGGAAATGGGCCTTTCGAGAAGACGGAGCAAGTGAAGGCAGATGAATTTGCCAAAGTTGAAAACAGCAAATTATTATTCGGTTCCTCAGAGACTGATATTTAGAGAAACAATGTTGAATCACTGGATTATGTCCTATCAAGGATGAACACGATGCGGGTCTTTGCAGCAGCTTCACAGCTTTACCCCTCCGTGTGTCCCTGTGCCCTGGCAGCCTGGGGTCGAACCGTGATGTCGCTGCCGTGCCGACTGGGAACACAGCACCCTTCGACTCCTTGAGCAGCCTGGGCACACCCGCTGTATACGAGCGGCGCATCCGGCCCAACGTGGGAGGTGCTCGCTCTCTGTGGATGTGGATGTGTTTGTGACCAGTGGGACGGGTGGTCTCTCAGGGCCGGTGGGGCCCGGGATCCACCAGCGATGAAGGAAAATGAAAACACCTGGACAGTTCTTACTTGTATATTATTTGTTGTTGTTTATGAACTGCATCCTATTTATAGTTTGACACGTTTTAAAGTAGAACTTCGCAAAGGTTGTTTCTCATAACTGGGATGAAGCTCGCCCACGATTATCAAGTGCAATGATTGCACAGGTTTTGATGGGAGTTTGCAAAAACATTTAACTGTGGATTCGTACACTCTTGGCAAATGGTTTTAAAAACATAATTTTGGGTCTTATTTGGCAAATAATGCAATACACCAACACTGATCTGTCATTTCTCAATTCGGGGACCATTAATTTATGTTTTACTTATAAACTAAATTGGTTGAAATTCTCATGTACCGAATGTACATTTTAAAATGTTTTACTCTTCAGCAATAACAATTCAATAAATAACAAATTACAAATGGGATGCAACAAAGTTTAAAGTTAATTAAAAGTTATAAAAGTGTTAAGAATGCCAAATAAAAAAATGGAACTTTTACAAACACCAAGATTTTGTATTAACTGCGATATCCTGTGAACTTTATTCTGCTGTAAATGTTCTAACGAGAGCACCCATGAACATGAATGGTAATGTATGTATACGATGATGTGAAAAGTGCACAAAGACGCATAGAGAGATTGATGTTTGCAATTCGACTAAGAGAGAGAAAAGGAACTCATGGGTCAGGGAAAAAAACACAAATGAGAGACATCATATTGGCATGTAAAATAAGTGAATGGGCTTGGGCAGGACTCTTCGTGAGATGGAATGAGGACGCACGGATGAGATTAGCGATAGCCAGCCAATGGAGTGTATGCATCTAAGAGAACGACTGCTGTCGAGATGTAGCAATGTGTTATTTACATGTGTACGAGTGAGATCGATTGTAGTAATGTTGGATCATGAGGGATGGCAACGGCATGGGGGAAGCCTTCATCCAGCAGTGGATAGATAATGTCTGATTGTGATAATGCATGTGTGTATTCAAATGGTTGGACAACTTACAACTATTGTCGACATTACAATCTCTTCTAGTTTATTTGTGGTTCAACCATAACCGAGACCTAAATAATTGTTCAAATGGTAAATGCAGCATCGTGTTTTTCCCCATTTCCTTTTGCAGGACCTCCGGTGGTTGTAAATGCCAGCATTATCATCAAACGGTTTGGCCCCGTTACGGAGACATCCATGGTGAGAGCATCAACTAGCAGGGTTTTGTTTTCTTGAGGTTTTTTTTTTTAAAGTGGCTCATTCAGGTCAAGAGATTTTCCAGCCTTCTTGAGCCACTGCCAATATTTTCATGTTGAACTGGGACCAAGATGACGGCACATCTGTCAATGTTCAATTTATATTGGAATTAAGACCATCACGTTGGCAACATGCTAGTGTCCATCCTATAAGGCAAGGCCATAGAACAAATGACCCAGACATTTTCTCAGAATCCTGGACCGGAGACTGATTTAATCTAACTTAGAATCTGCAACAATACTGTCATAGTTTCCAAAACACTTTCAGAACTCTGCCTTTGAAGTTGGTATTAGCAATGACACATACACACATCAAACAATCTCCACTGTTTTCCACAAAGTAATGGCGACATAATGCTGTCACCAAAAATATGCTGTAAGTCATGGTAGATATCCAGTTGATATCAGTTAATAAGCTGAGGTGACTAACGTACTGTTTGTCGAATAAACTATGCACTTGGTGCAAGTGCTGCAAGTGAGTAAGCATCTGCTATGGGCAAAAATGCATGAGGGGGTGGTGAAGCCAGAACCGAAACCAGCCACCTTTGTCTCCCAAGTGCTCATGTTTACATACTGCATTGGGGACTAAATTAGAACTGAAATGAAATTAAGTTGAAATTGGCGGGACATGTCATGAGAACAACTGTCAATAGATGAGATACAATTAACTACGGAGTGGAGAATGATATAAGGCACAGGATAGGTTCATATACAAGTTGCCACCGATGTTATCCGTTTCAAGGAATGTAATTTAGTCACCAGGTTGTAATGCAGTTCACTAACCCCTGCTGCACCCCATTCCTCATATACACATACAAGGGCAAACAAACAAGTTAAAGGCCATTTTCATTCTTTGTACCCACAAACCCTGCATGTGCTCCCATTGGAGAAACATTTTCTTTTTTAAATCCTTTATATTAAGTTCGCTTGCTTGCGTGCTTGCTTGCTTACGACCGTGCAAACCTTTCGGTCGTTTTTTAACCCACTTCCCGTGATCCAATCGAGCTGACATTTTGCACACAGACTCGTTGTGCCAGACAATTAATGTTCGTGAAAAATGTTTTCCAAAATTTTACACTGTTTAGGGAAAACAAATTAAATATTTAATTACCAATTGTTTAATACGGCAGACAATCATCTGACCCATAGGTGGCAGCCATCTCAAGCCAGAGGACGAGAGGACTCTAGCCGCCACGCATATAAAGGATTTATAGTGAAAAACTTTGTTTTTACGGGTTAATTCTTTCATTGGATGTATTTTTCATCACCTCCACTTTTCTGCGACTTCCTGACTGTCTGCTTGACACTGTGTTGCTTTGTCCTCTCGACCCTGGCGTGATTGCTACCAGGACTACCAGATATCAATTTTCCTTCAACTTCGCTGGAACGATCCCAAAATACAAAATCTGCTGGCAAAGGCATTGCTCCAGGAAGAATTCATTGACCTCGGCAACAACTTCTATGACCTGCTGTGGAAGCCAGTACTTTTCATCGAGAACGAAAAGACAGCGAACGCCCACGCCATCACATCCGACAACAAGATGCTGCGGCTCTACAAGAATGGGGACGTGTTCCACTCCATGAGGTGCAATGCACAAATACCTCCCTTACAGTCTTTAGCGACTGTTCGTTAGTGTAGCGCTTCTGGACTGATGAGGCAGGGTCCAGTGGCCATACAATTATTTTATATAATTCCAAATGTCCCTGAATGGCGAAGGGGAATACACATGAAGCTCCACTTGGTTGAGCTATCATTTGTGGCAAAGTCGCTTCTGAAAACGAGCTATATAGCTCAGTGGACCTTTGCCTGGAAAAATAAGAAAATATATAGTTTTAATGATTTCAACGGGAACGGAAATTATTATTCGCTCCGTTCAACCACGAGTCCCCGCAAGCAGCAAATCCACATTGGGCTCAGTCTGCACCACGCCGACAAGCGCGTGCTCCCTCTCTCCACCAAACGCCAATCATCTCTGATTGACCACATACGCATGCTCCCACTATTTAACGTCAACACAATAAATTTGGAATTTCTCGCCAGAACACAAATCAAAATCATGCGTCCCCTTCCCTTAATGTGCAACTAGGAATGCACGTTAACGTTTCTTACAGATGAATCAAATCCCCCAAATTAAACGCAAGTAATTTTAACACGTGGATTAATTCATTATTATAATGTGCAATCAAAATTTTAAAATATGCAATATGATTAATTATATGTATGTTGAACTTTTTTCACACCGTACGTAGCCAACCGTGCTTACATCAGGTTAATCGTTTTAAATTGCAATTAATTACATTAAATCAAGTACGTACTATAATACAAAGGTATTTTAGCTGGATTAAATCATAATATAACTGAACAAATAACCATTAAATCTATGTATCCCGAGTTAATACTAAAACGCACTTTAAACAACTTTAATCCACTTTCAATCACTATTCATCACCGCATCTATACACAATGTGACTTCGATTCATTACCATAACAACGTTGAGCCTTTACGGAGCAATACAATACAAATTATGTAACTTTTGTATAATTTAACAGCATTAATCCAGCACTATTAATCACGGAAGGTTATACATGTAAAATAGACATTTACCCTATTTACCAATGACACTATTAGTGATGTCGTTGCAATCAGAGATGGAGCTGAACGGGAGTAAGATAAGAGGCATTGAGGATACGCGTGGTGGAGTGTACAAATTGTGATATTTGTGGGAATGCATGAGGGAGTATTCAGGAGAAACATTGTGCATTTCACAGGCAATGTTTAACATAAATATATAATATATACAGTACTGTATAATTTTTGCGCAAACATTCAACAATACTGCGATGTCTCATTGTACTATTGCATGGTTGGGATCTCACAAGTCTCTTCTGCTCATTACAGGGTGACAATGCTCCTGGAGTGTGCCATGATCCTGCGTGACTATCCCATGGACCTACAGCACTGTCACATGAACATGGAGAGCTGTAAGAGCGAGAGGGCATCTCCCCCTGGATGATGTTCTTTTTTTAATCCTTTATATTAAGTTCGCTTGCTTGCTTGCGTGCTTGCGTGCTTGCTTGCTTGCTTACGACCGTGCAAATTTTTCGGTCGTTTTTTAACCCACTTCCCGTGATCCAATCGAGCTGACGTTTTCCACACAGACTCGTTGTGCGTGACAATTAATTTTCGTGGAAAAAAATGTCCAAAATTTTACACTGTTTAGGGATAAATAAATAAATATTTAATTACCAATTGCTTAATGCTGGCAGACAATCATCTGACCCATAGGTGGCAGCCATCTCAAGCCAGAGGACGAGAGGACTCTAGCCACCACGCATATAAAGGATTTATAGTGAAAAACTTTGTTTTTACGGGTTAATTTTCTTGCCCTGACATTGTGGGTGGGACATTCCGTTTTGAGGACACAGGCTGGAATGAAATTAATTATAGTAGATTCAATGTCATTCTTACAATTGCTCCTCATCCTCTGTTCCATGGCTGTTAGCGGTATGTCAAGCCGGGGCATCGTAAAGATGCTTGGTTGGCTGCGAGAGCATGAGGTCAATAAATCAATCAAGTCTTTATTTCTATAGCATTATTTCGTACAAAAGATGCAATTCAAAGTGCTGTACAGGTAAAAGGAAATAATGTTAAAAGACGAAATCAGAAGAATAGTAAAATCAATTTCCATAAAAACCAAAATTGCATCATAATAAATTGCTAGCGAAGGCATATAACAAAGCAACAATAAAAATCATCTTAAGTTAAAGCAAGTTTAAAAAAGTACGTTTTTTTCCATTCTGCATTCTGACCACAAGTATATGTGGTTAATGTAGACATGATTCCTTGTAAAATGTTTCAGTTTGGTGTTTTAAACATCTTAACACCCAAAAACCTTTATTATTGATTATAAACACCTGTTTTGTTGCCAGAAAAGAGGGGGAAACCTATTCTCAGTAAGTTTTCAGATTTCACTTAAAATTGCTTAATGATTGCGAAGCCTTCAAATCCCCTGGCAGGCTGTTCCATAGGCGAGGCCCATGCACACTGAAGGCCGCTTCTCCGTGACGTTTGTTCCTGGCCCTTGGAGTGACGAAAAGAGAGGATCTGAGGGATCTTGTTGGTTCAAATCTTAAAAGCATAGAAGACATGTATGCTGGTGCCAAACCAGCCAACGATTTAAAAACCAATGAAAGTATTTTAAAAACAATTCTATGACTGACTGCCAGACAGTGCATGGACCGTAAAATAGGTGCCACGTGGGTGCTCTTTCTGGTTTTCGTAAGCACACGTCCTGCTGTATACTCAATAAGTTGTAGGTTACATATTGACTTTTTCGGAAGACCGGAAAAGAGAGAATCGCATTAGTCAAGTCTGCTGGTAATAAAAGCATGCATCAGTCTCTCAGTAGTAAACCGAGAGAAAAAAAGGTTGTATCTTAGCTACATTTCCAAGATGACAAAATACCGTTTCGGTGATATATCTGATGTGGGCTTCAAAGTTCAAATCCGGCGTTTTCTGTCAATGTGAGCAGTTTATCTCTTTGGGCTTTGGCTCCAATCACCAGGACCTCTTCTTCTTGGTTCTTTCGGTAAAGTCACGTAGAAGGGAAGTAATTAAATAATAAAATTAAAACATAATAAAATAATTCTCACGACGTTTCGGCCACAACGCAAGCAGCCATCCTCAGGTGAAGCGACAGCTGTCGCCTCGACAGACCTGGCCGAAACGTCGTGAGAATTATTTTATTATGTTTTAATTTTATTGTTTTATTTCTTCCCTTCTACGTGACTTTACCGAAAGAACCAAGAAGATGAATCCCTGCAGTCACGAAAGCTTTAAATCGAAATTCCACCAGGACCTCTGTTTTGTATTTTTTAAGTGCCATAAAAATTCAGTGACCACCACATTTAAACTAGATTCTGACACTGGTTGCTGTGGGCAGTTCAAGAGAAAACTAAAATTACCATTGAAAATGTGACGACTAAATAGTAATCTCAGTTTGTAATTCACAAGACGGCAGAGAGCGCCTTGAGGTATGCATGAGTGACGCGGTATGAATAATACATAATTATTTCGATAATGCTCATCTATTATAAAGCCCGGCGTTCCGTTTGTCCATCAACTAAAATATGAGAGCCTTTCAGAAGGCCTGAATCAAAAAGGTATAGAAAGTGAACCCCCCCTCCCCCAAATGTGGGGGTCAAAAGTTGAATCAACAGGTTTCCAAAAATTGTCGACCCCCCCAAAAAATGTATTATGTAGGCATATATTCCTACACACCCTACATACAATAAAGTCCAGATTTATTTTGGATGCATATATGCCTACACACCCTACATACAATAGAGTCCAGATTTATTTTGCATGCAAATATGCCTACGTCTCCCCCCCCGCCCCATTGTTCAGACATGTCTCAGTGTGACTGGTCGGTTTGGTTTGGTCAGGGCTGCTGGTAAAGAGGTGTTGGTCATTTTAAAAAGTCAGTACTAGCGAGTAAAATACCTTCACAGAAAATTAATGTTTTTAAAGTTCTCTTTTCATCTAATCAACTTTAAGGTACAACCCAGTAGTATCAGCACACACCGAAATTTTAGTGATTTAAACCTGGCAGAGCACTACTGTGTTTTTATAAAAGCTTCCACAAGACTTAGTGCAGATATTGACGGCCGTCTGGCAACATGTAAGTCACCCTCTTGGAATTCAGTGAACACACCAATATAAAAGAGCTAAAACAATGCATATGTAGGATTATGGTGTCATCTGGAAATTAGCAAAATAAAAAAATACACACTGATATTTATCATTCGTGTTAACCTTCAGAGGTAACGCCCACTACTAAAAGAGCAGAAACAAAACATCTTACCGAACATCATAAGAGCAGGGGGGGGGGGGGGCGAGACGTTACAAGTCTTGTCAACACTGCTTAGGGGCCGTCCATAAATGACGTCACGCACCTGGGGGGGGGGGGGGGTCAGACATTTGTGACGATGTTTGACGAGGGGGGTTAATAAATGCGACGTCACGTCAAAATGCGCAACTTTAAATAAATATAGACAACACGTTCTACTTAATTAAATAGACTTTTTAATAAATATTTTCTCCTACAACATCAGAGAGTGCAGCGCCGCATTAAATACGCACTACAATGACAATAGTTTAAAGCGATTTGAAGCATGTTTTAGTTTGGGGGGGGGGGGGGGCAGAGCTTTGTGACGTCATATTTGAGTGGGTGTCTGACTTTTTGTGACGCCGTGTGACGAGGGGGGGGGGGTCAAAAATCGTCCAAAATCGCGTGACGTCATTTATGGACGGCCCCTTACCTGTTGACGTGTTAATTAAAGAACGATAACCACACACATGCTGTGTGCTCTGTGCCCCAGATGGTTACACAACGAACGACGTCATCCTTCAGTGGAACGATACGGATCCCGTGATATTCAACGTGAGCACGGCCACCACCACCTTCACCGTGTCGGAGAAGGGGACTCTGGGCAACTGCGGCAAGACGTACGACAGTGGTAAGCCGAAAGTCTGTGAGCCCAATTGAACTGATGTGAAAGAGGCACAACAAAAAAACTTGCACGTGTCATCCTGAGTTATAATGTAAATACATCACAACTCGTTCGTCTACCCTTTACTTGGTACTTGGCTGAAATAACGTCACGTAGGGTAGACCATTGCTAAAATGTGGTCAAATGACAATGCAGGATCAGTGAAAACATTACTTGCTGATAATAATGTTAATTTACTTTTCCATGTAAACTCATTGTGTGTTTTAGAATATATGTTTATGTCTGCAGGAAGGCCCCAATGAGCTATTAGGCGTTATTGCATTGGTGTCCTGCGACGGTACAGATCCTAGTTACAATCGTGGGTTTAAAGGTCGTGATACGAACAGCAAGTATCGATACGTGCTGTATACGGTACGGGAATAGGGAACCTGTTGAAGACGTAAAAAATATATATTTTCACAAACAAAAATAAAGGGAGGAAAAAAATTAATTAAAAAAAGTAAACACAATAAGCAACCGGGAACTTTTAAGTATGATCCATGCAAACTTGAGCTTAGAGTTTCCTGCCGATTATTTACCACAGGAACTTGAGTTTCAGGAGTGAATGGAGGTTCGTCATGGTCGGCAATGATTGGATTCCCAAATAGAATGCGGTAGCGATTTAAAAACGAGGGAGCCGCCACCAAGAAGGCCTTTTTTCCACAGACTAATCTAATCTGGGGATTTTAAAGAGGCAGTAGGAAGAGCTAAGGCTCCATTCGTTTTCTTTTGGGGTCAATAGATCCATCAAGTATATCTCGGCCTCGCTGTGCGCTGCGTTGCACCGCTAGTCGAGTAGATAACCTTGTGTTCAATACACCCTTGGAGCCAGGATGAATGTCCAACTCCAATCGTCATTTAATGATTGTAACAAGGTAAAAAGATAATGCTTCTTAAGCTCCCACAATGGACAAGTGCGGCTGTGGTCTCACTGAGATGCGATGCGTGTCGCCATTTTGACTTATCTGTGTAATGGCCGACGCCCACGTGGTACAGTGGAAATCTAACATCGTCACTTCCTGGTCACGTGACCAAAATTAGCATAAAAAAACAGGAACTTCCTGTGAATGTACGCTCCATATCTGCCGTGAGGCAAGAAAAAGTATTTAGCGGAGCATTATAGTTCAAACATATGAAACCAGAACTCCATACTGTGCCTTCACCTATTAATAATGAAATAAACGTTTAATCCATTCGTCTGTTGACTTTCCAGAAACAATATTATCCAGCAGCATTTGTTGTAGGGTTGTCATACCCAGCCGTAGACTGCTATTAAACACATGGAGTTAGATTAATGTATTTTGGGGAATATAAATATCAGACATCAACAACTAGCAACGATAAAATTATTAAAAGTAAAATAAAAAAGCACGATTGCTGTATCAAGTAACTCTTTACTTGATAAGTAACTCTTTACTTGATACAGCAATCGTGCTGTGACGTGTTCCACCTGAAGACGGAAGCTTGTGTTGCCTCCGAAACGTCGTGATTTTTTATTTTACTTTTATTAATTGTAATTTTTTTTTTACCTACGTGACTTTACAAAAAAAAACTAAGAGTATGAATCCTTGCAGTCACGAAAGCTTCAAATCTAGAATTAGCAACGATAATTGCAGAAGACAACGACAATGGACTATACGATTACATTGGATCTTGTATCATATAATAAATTGTACCGCCAGACAGCGGGAAATGTACTGGTGCCAGTCGCGTGTGAGGCCCTGGTGTCTGGCCGGAGCACGCAGTGACTGACGGTTCTTGACTCTGTGTCTACCCTCCAGGCCCGTATTCGTGCATCTCGGTGGCGTTCGACCTCTCACGTGACATTGGCTACAACCTGATCCAGCTCTACATTCCCAGCATGCTGCTTGTCATCATCTCCTGGCTCTCATTCTGGATTGACATGTCCGCTGCGCCCGCCCGGGCTAGCCTAGGCATCACCACCATCCTCACCATCACCACGCAAAGCTCGGCTGCCAACTCGCAGCTTCCCAAGGTTCGTGGAGTTGAATCCGTTGACATTTACAGTCAATCATTGGACGATCGACAAAAGAAGCAGAGAAAGGCAGTGGGAAGGAGATTAAATCCAAGGATTTGGAGGCCATTCCTGGACAACGAAGGAAAAAAGTAATGGAACAAAATGGGTAATGCCATCACCCAGTAGTAGAAAGTGAGAGGCTGATGAAAACAAAAAAGTTGCGTTCCAGGTTTTCTATGAGATACATGTTTTTCAGTGGTGCTCGGATAGTATTTTTCTAGCTCCATATGTCAGTGGTTTATATGCCTGTCCTGTTAGTTCATCCATTGAGGTCTTAGATGCTTATATATCTGAAAAAACTGCAATGATCTGGTCAATCAATCCAGGCTTTAATTTAAGGAATAATACATGTGTTGTGTGGTTATTCTTGACACCACTGGAGACTTGTAGATCCACACGGAGACGGGCATCTGCTTGCTTCTGCCGCACCTCCGATTAGCACGGTTGGCTATGTACAGTGGGAAATAGGTTCAACACACACACATACATTGTGCCACTGTTGGTGGAAGGGCCTTTTTTTGGAGGTCGAGAGAGCAGTGATGGGCAACCTAGACGAGTTAGTGGGCCACAGTTGGGCTGCAAGCTCCAAATCGTGGATGTGCCCTGATCATGACCCCACGCATCACCCTAAATGCACTTAAAACAGGCCACAATGAGGGACTTCATGGGCTGCATGCGGCCCGCAGGCCACACGCTGCCCGCCACTGGTCTAGCGAGCCCCTCTAGAGGGTATTCAGCATACTTTTACACACTGAACGTTCGTCTTGGCACAGGTGGAATTACCCACACATCACCCCACCATACGCGACCTGCCGATGAGCTGTGTGTGGTGCCCCCATTTACACTCCTGGGTGGTCAGGGGTGGGGGGTTAAGAAACGTTTACATTGTTTCAACTGTAGGAATTTGTATTTGTAGTACGGTAAAGTCATATGTTTCAATTTTTCAGTTTCATTTATTTGGTAGAGTCCTGTGAGCCATTCGGCTCTTGAATCGAGTGCAACCGCAACAAAAAAAACACATGAACAAGAAAACATCTTAAAGTGACTATGTGACTATGCGCAAACAGAAAAATCCAGGAAAAAACAGCAAACATCTCCTAGAAAAAGTACCGTACACCAACGCTGTGTGCAAAAATCCCAGTGGGATGCAAGTCAAACAACAACAACCACAAGACAACTTAGATTAAAGCCATCAGTTTAACTCCGTACTACAACAAACAAACCAAAAAACGTTAACTGACTGACTTGCCCTTCCATTTGTAATTTATTGTTATTTAAATAAACACCCCCACATGCAAATACGCGAACACATTTTCCCCATATGACGTTCAACAGACTGCTGTAGCAAGTGTTGTTAGCGAGCACCTATTAAGATTGGCACAGACAAAGATCCCCCGTATAACCTTAACAGAATGTAGGGGCAAGTGCTGTTAGCGAGCACCTATAAAGGCCGGAACGGTACACGAGTGGGTGGGTGGCCAGCACCACGCCCGACCGCCTTTGTCTCCCCAGTGACGATGTTTACACACCGCACCAGGTACTCATTTCAGGCTGAGTCGACTTAGGGGAGGCCCAGGACCGGTTCAGATAATTGTCACTGGTGTTGGCCGTGAGCGGGAATCAAACCTGGGTCGCCAGGTTCATAGCGCAGCGCGCTAACCGCTACACTACCGCTTCCCAGAACACATGTGCACACACACACGGGGGACATGGGAATGCTTGGGGGCAGGAAGATTTGGGGCGATTATATACAACACTTGAATGAGGAGGCTCTTCCTGCCCGTGTTGGCGTCACAGCGACTGTATATGACTGTATCACAGTAATCTGAGCGTGAATGAATCGCGTTAAGTCACCTAGTCCCTAAACATGTGCAGCCTCAAACCAAGCAGCTGGAGTTGACAGCACCTGCTCCTTCTCGTGGTTTCAGGGTGTCCTTAGATTGGTACAAGCGACATTGCTACCCCCTAGCGGTGAATAATGGCTCCGTTGTGATTATGCTTGTGCATATGGATGGGAGTGATGGTGCCGTGTGCGAGAAACCTGGTGTCCCGTTCACGGCTAACATCAGTGACGAATATCTGAAGCGATCCTGACTTGCTCCTAGGTCAACTCAGCCTTAAATGAGTACCTAACGCAGTGTGTAAACATCAGCCATCGAATAAAACATATTTTAAAAAATGAATTGCCCCCGCATTTGTACGGTGGACGGGAGGCATGATAGGGTTGACCTCATCACGCAGATGTGCGCACTTCCCCGCCTGCGCGCCACCCACCCAGCCAGCCAGTCAGCCACGAAGCCAGCAAAACTTTTTTTTTCAATTATACAATTAGATAAATCTTTGGTGCGGTGCGTATTTAAATGTTGGTGTGTATCTGTCGGTATTGATATCTGTAGTATGGTCATATGACTGTATCACAGCAGTCATTGTTGATACGGTTGAGACTCTAAACTCACTACACCTGAGAATTCCGTTCAGCCTTTGTAACGTTATAACGGTATTAGCCCCAGCAGTCTGTAAGGATTTGTTGTTGTTGTGTGCGTGTGTGCACGCAGGTGTCGTACATCAAGGCGATCGACGTCTGGATGGGCATGTGTCAAGTGTTTGTGTTTGCAGCGCTGTTGGAGTTTGCGGCCGTAAACGTGATGGCTCGGCAGGGCAAACATGCCGTGAAGCTCGTGGATGAGAACAGCTCACCCAAGGAGAAGGTGAGTGAGTAGGGATTGAAAGTGGTCAGGTGGAATAGAGGTGCGATGCGCAGTATTTGGTGGTTCGTAATTGAGGGTGTACCGACCCTGAGCCATGGTCATCATTAGCGGCTTCTGCAAACAATGAAGAGGTTTTCAGGGCGCCCCTAAACTGATTAGGGGTTTGTGAATGGATAGAGGATATTTCCAGATCAACACAATTAAAATGCAACTGCATCTCAAGCAGTGTTGCCAATTTAGTAATTTTGTTGCAAGATGTAGCAACTTTTTGGGTTCCCGAGTAAGAAAATGTCAATGTGACTAGAAACTTTCTGGAGCAAGGACCTCATGCAGATTTTGAAGTGATTCCAGGCGTGGATTAAAGAGCATGTACCAAGTAGTAATACTTAATACATTGACAAATTTCTAAGGACTATCAAGCAACATTTATGTACACTGAGGTTTGTTTGACATTTTTTTCAATTTAAGGAGTTGCAGCACTAACCTTAAAACTGTACAAAGGTGGGAACATGCACTTCATTGGTAAAAAAAATGTGTGGTGTGACCAAGAAATTGCTGATCCACAACTGTACTTTGTCATGTCCCAGCAGCCTATTCAGAGTTCAGCTAAATTAAGGTGTTTGGCTGTAAATAAGCTGTAGCCGACTAATGAGTCTGCGAGATAAATGTCACAATTGGTTTATTCCCTTTGTCATGTGCTTTGTGATAAACTCATTCATTGCATCTTCTCAGGCTGGAGCCGAGGACAAGAAGAACATGTACGTGCGGTGCGCACATCGCATCGACTACTTTTCGCGCATCATTTTCCCCATCACCTTCTTCATCCTCAACATCTTCTACTGGGTCTTCTATAAAGTGGTGCTCAAATTCAACTCGTAAATTGAGCAAACCCCGCTCAGATTCTGCCAACGTGCTGAGAAATTACTCGTGTAGCATGTGTCAATACCATATATTTATAAGCTGTATTGTATTTCATTGCATGCGCATATTGTGACGAAAACAAAGCAAATTAGAAAAAATACACTTAAATACAAATGTACAGTAAAATAAATGTGGTAGTAAACATTGGCAAGTTAAACATGCCACATTATTGGCAAAATTTGCTCCACAATTAGCAACGATCATGCAACACAGCAAACTGAAACACATGACTTTACGGGGGAAGATGTGTGATCATACTGCACCATACTGGTTTGTGTGGCTTGGCGAAACTATTCACTTGACGTGGGAATACTGACAATTATGTGATGCCAGCCACATGATAATTTTCAGAATTGATTACCCAGGATATTGTGTCTAATTGGTGACCCCTGGATGGTCAGTCCCAAGTTGCCAACCATTACATCATGGTAGCTACTTTCGTTGTTGAGTTAAAAAGGTAAATATTGGACGTTAATTGCCATACAAATGTTAATGTGTAGCAAACGGATAACCATTTATATGATGCGATTATGGGTAATACAAAAATAACTTTAATGAATCTAGTAAGAACAGGAAAAGTTCTTTTTTGACAATTGCTATATTCAGGAATTGTATAACGACCTGGAAATTACTTTAAAAATTACTTACAATACTACTGGAGTAATCCCCAACTCTAAATATTATAATTAAATACTTAATATCTCATGTTATCCAGGTGTATTGTGAGATAGGTAAAGTGAGTTATAACTACCATATATGTTACATATACCATTGTATAGCTTTATGGGCGGATTTATTTCAGATTTCATCACCAGCTGTATTAACCCATCACCTTTCGTCGGTCATAGAGCTCTCATACAAAATGTATTGTGTGTCTGTCCATATTTTACGTATATATGAAGGTAACTCGCTCCAAAGTTTTCTCCACTCACGATTAATATGTACTGGCATGTGCTAATTATTTCCAGTAATATCAACCAGGAAGATTAACAACTTTAATCATTGACATTTCTTCCATAGATCCCAACGTGCCGTAATTATAATTCACATCTGCTTCAGAAGTAGAAGAATCTACAATGTCAATCAGTAATCAAATTTACAGTTGGATTTCAACACTATGACAAAGAAATCTCGAACTTAACTTGCCTTTAAACATAGACCTAATGTTGGTATTTTACAAAATGCAATGGATGAAGTCACAAGAATTGCGCACATGATACACCTAGCACCTTTCACAAGCGTAGGTACTTTCACGCACACTTAATTGAGAAACAGGTATCCGGGTCTGAGTTCTAGAAGACATTTCCCCTTTGCCTCCGGGGTTCTGTGTCCCTGCAAAATATTTCATACGTCCAGTTTTTATAAATATAGAGCCGGTGGACCTAAGATTACCAACCATCTGTTTTTTTGTAATTATACTGTCTGTTACTTTTTATGACCTGCTCCCAAGTGTCATTTTGATGCCTCTGACCATATATCAAACGTATGTATTTTTGTAACATTTTCATCGTGCAAATCAGCATGGAACATGTTCAATGGCAATGTGGAGTAGACAAAGAAAGTGGGCACTGTGTAAGGTGGACACCACAACACTGGATGTGTGACGAATGGAATTGGTTTCAGCTTGTCTAGTTTGCCTGTCTATACAAAATGCTACCGTTATTGATTAGTCTGGAAGGTCTAAACCAGGCTGATGGACTGTTTAGGTCTTCCACAATAGTGTATCACGAGTTAATATATTGTCTGTATGCCCAAATGATCTTACAATATTCCACCAAGTAGTCAACACCACCACGGGTTTGTTCATATTTCGGAAATGGGAAAATTGGCAACCCCAGGCCCACCCCCAAGGCTGACCCTGGATGCGTGAGAGTATTCACTAGTCGGAATGTGAAAGGGCATTTAACCATTTTCACTCATTTAGCTGCCGTCAGCAACGTGAGACACTGAAACTGTGCTCACTGCCACGCACGCCCCGACTTAATGGTCATCTCATGAATGATCATTCCCAGAGCTGGACAGATCTAGAATTTAACCAAGCATACATCTCTTACAATTCAAATAAATGGTTGTATTTAAACAGCATGATCAACTTTCTGAGTTAATGAATTAATCTTGAAATATTTAAGTGTGTCTTACAAATTATAACGATTCTGTATGTCAATTTAATCAACAAAGTGGTGCTCAAATTCAACTAGGAAATTGAGCAAATCGCTCTCAAATTCTGCCAACGTGCTGAGGAAGTTCTCATGTAGCATGTGTCAATACCATATACTTATTATATGCTGTACTGTATTTTATTGCATGTGTGTATTGTGCCCAAAAGAAGAATACATCTCTTACAATTCAAATAAATGGTTGTATTTAACAGTATGATCATCTTTCTGGGTAAAGTAATTCATCTTAAAATTTTTAATTGTACTATGAGACCTCCTATCACAAAATATAGTGATAGGTTTTTACCCTTTCAACTGGTACCAGCAACTGGTACCAGCAACTGGTACCAGTTGAAAGGGTAAAAACCTATCACTATATTTTGCCACTGGTAAAGGAGGTCTCATAGTGTAAATGCTTACCCCGAGCTCTCAATACTCTGATAGTGCGCTGTTTTTGAGTTGTACGCCTTTTGGCGTCATCTGGTCCAACACCAAGAAAAGCTGTCTCGGGTGTGGACCAATCAACTTCAAGGACAGTGCATATCATTATCATTATCAAAGTTGTTTCTTTTTGTTTGCATTTTGACTGCTTGTGTTGTGGTTATTGCAAACATGATGCCTTGTATAAAGGTGTCAGTTTTTGTACCAGTTGAAAGGGTAAAAACCCATCACTATATCTTGAATTGTCTTACAAATTACACATGTGTCACTTTAATCATTTTTATCACGCTTATTACACATTAAGCATAATGTTATTAAACATTTGTTGTATTTTTGTTAGTATTGTCTTGCAAATTTGATTAATTTTACAAATGATGGCTTGTGTTTTAAATATACATTACATCATTGGGATAAGGTAAATGGAAACAAATTTAGCTTATAATCATCAATTGTAATAATTAAACCATGAGGATGCCCTCCATTCAGTGTTTAAACAAGTTCTGTATTTTTACAACATATATATGATGTATTAAGCTTGGTGGGGATGTAATATGAGACGGAATCGGTACACATGTTGATTCTGTATCCTTTATTGACGAGATTAAATTAAACTTGATTTGAAGCTTTCGTGACTGCAGGAATCCATAAAATAAAATACAATTTTATACCTACGTGACTTTACCGAAAGAACTAAAGAGTATTGAATTAAACTCTTTGAGTTGCATGAATCGTGCCTCAAAAAACAATATTTAAAACGTAAAAAAATTAACCCGTAAAAACAAAGTTTTTCACTATAAATCCTTTATATGCGTGGCATCGGTTTTATTTTATTATTAATTTCTGTTTTTCTTGAGTAAGAGTTTCATTTTTATCACATTGGTATTTTAAATTAAATATGACATTTTTTTCCCTAAAAAGTGGAAAATTTTGGAAAAATTTTTTCACGAAAATAAATTGTCACACACAACGAGTCTGTGTGCAAAATGTCAGCTCGATTGGATCACGGGAAGTGGGTTAAAAAACGACCGAAAGATTTGCACGGTCGTAAGCGCGCAAGCAAGCAAGTGAACTTAATATAAAGGATTTAAAAACAGCCTCCCCTGCAAGAGAATTACAACTCCCCTGAAAGACGACCAGCTGTAAAACAAAATTATTTCTACTAATACAAGTAAAATACTCAAGTTATCAAACAGTGTGCATGAGATATCTCTTGCCATGGACGCTGTCACAATTCGAAACGCAAAACACTCCCCAAAAAACTGTATCTGAAGCTTAACCAGCTTTTCAAAGAATGTTTGATTGCTTGACCTCAATAAATCTCCCTATATTTAATCTTATTCCAATGTTTGTGGGTAGCTTGACCTTTGAACAAACGTGACAATCATAACATTTTCAAGCTACTTGTACACATTTGGTATCAATCAAAAGCCCGTCGTCTGTAGGTGGGGAAGCAAATAAAGTTGTCCACCACAAACTTTTCATTGCCGAGTCATGGTCGTAAAAAAAGTGCTTTTGTGGAAAACAAAATTCAAAACCACAGAACGTGATCTTGTTTAAGTACACGACAAAATCAACTAACTTGCAACAGGCGTAACTAAAAACCGCGCAAATTGGAGGTGCGATGGAACGACAACAAACTAAACACAAAAGCAGTTCTAAAGAAATTATTTCTCAATGTAGATGACTTCAAAATGCAAAGACATGAGTGGCTTCCTAAAATCGGAAGAGCGTTCCAGACGGCCGCAGGGAGCGCGTCTGAAGGCGCGCGATGCCTTCGTTCGATGGTCAGCCAAAAAGCCAGCTGCGAATTGAGGTAAGAGTGAGAGTTATTTGTGAGAAACATGAAGTCGTGAAGGAATGGAGCATGAGGTTGGTGATGCCCATCACGCGAGATTACGGCGAGTCGGCGAGAGGGGTTGACGTCACGCGACAAGGGCTTGTGACGTCACGCGGTACGGGTGACGTAGAGGAGAGTAAGTGATGACGTCCAGAGACGCTGGAGTGATAAGGAGAGGGGGGTATGACGTCACGCGACACTGGTGAGGTGGAGGAGAGGGAGTGATGACGTCCAGATACGCTGGAGTGATAAGGAGAGAGGGGGGTATGACGTCACGCAGCACTGGTGAGGTGGAGGAGAGGGAGTGATGACGTCTGGAGACACGGAAGTGAAAAACACGAATTGCAGAAAAAAGAAAATGACTAAAATAAGATTAAAACAAATACACTTGAATATAAAGCAATGAAATAACTGAAAACGTAAAGAAATTAAGATATAGAAATATAAAAATGTTTAAATCAATTATAAAACGAACATTCGCCGTCCTTTTACGGTGGAAGTTCTGCGGGTTCCTGCTAGTTTAAAAAGAATACTCTTTTCTCGTGAATAGGATACATTTATACATACTCTAAATTGTGTTGAATAAAATATATGGGGCCGTCCATAAATGACGTCACGCGATGTTGGCTAAATTTTGACCCCCCCTCCCCCCCTCGTCACACGGGGTCACAAAAGTCAGACCCCCCTCAAATATGACATCACAAAGCCATATTTCCATTTTGACATAAAAAAAACATGCTTCAAATCACTTTAAATTATTGTCATTGCAGTGCTTATTTAATGTGGCGCTGCACTCTTATGTTGTAAGAGAAAACACGTATTAAAAAGAAGGCGTTGTCAAGCTGAAATTTAACATAAAATTAACTTGAAAATATTCAGCGTCTAACTAAAACTGCAGATGTTCAGAATATTATATTGAAATTCTCTTATAATTATCAAATATTAAAAGTAATTATAACTATAAAAAATACTTTAAACTTTGTAGTAGAACGAAGCAAAATGGAGAGTGCAATTATAACAATGACATATTCATTCCACAGAATGAAAAGCCCTGGTAGAATCATTATAATTAAAATGTTTATCAACAATCATTCCAAAAATGTATTACATTTATGCATATACATTCTCCCATGGAGAAGCAAAATGCTCCATCATGGAATAAATAGGGAGAGCATGGATCTCTTCATCCGGTGGAATGGATATTCCATTCAGATCAAGCACTTCTTCGTCTATCCAATCTGCACTCTCTCCATTTTCTTCGTTCATGATTACAACCGTTAGTTCACATTGCCGATGTGCAGCGACTCTCTGTGGCCTGATGCGTTTGGGTGGAATAATAATTGATTCCTTCTTGTGTGATACAGAGCAGAGGTCGCAAACGGGTTTTGATTCCTTACCCATACCCATACCCGGCCACACCAGGGTCGCAAACAGCTACCCGTACCTGTACCCGACCGGGTACGGGTAGCCGGGTATCGGGTAGGGTACGGGTATCGGGTACCCGGTTGCGACCTCTGATACAGAGTGGCTGCGCAGCATGACTAACGACGTGAAGTATATTTGACATTTCTTGCAAATCCTATCGCTAAGCACGGATTGTATTGATGGACAGTACAAGTCATATGGAATCAACTGATAAGGATTTGAAAATCAAGTAAGGATGTCATCCACTTTCAAACTATGTGCTGAAAACAGAGATGGGAATTTATGAGATGCTCCGTCTGTTGTCCGTTCTGGAATTGTAATACAGGGCCTTTTCGAATTTAATCGGCTTCCGATGGGGCTCCACTCCGCGCTGGCTATGCTCCAATGATTGATGGAGTTGGTCCTAGCTGGACTGCAGTGGGACTCATGCTTGATATACCTTGACGATGTTATCATCTTCAGCCGTACGTTCGCAGAACATCTTGATCGGTTACGTGCTGTTCTTCTCAAAATACTTGCGGCAAATCAAAAATTTAAGCCCCAAAATTGTCACCTCCTGCAAAAATCCGTGCGGTATCTCGGTCACATTGTCAGTAAATCGGGCATTGCAATGGACCCCAAGAAAACAGCGTGTGTTCGGACTTGGCCAACCCCCACGTTGGTGGGGAAGTTGCGAAGTTTTATAGGATTCGTGTCTTATTATCGCTGCCAAAGCACAGGTGAACAATGAACGTAATGCGAGGAAACGGGATCACGTGCTACCATGGTTCATTGGTGACAGAGCAAGGTTACATTGCCCGCAGGTGCCGGTTGGTACATCCCCTAAGCTGCAAAAGCCCTGGCAACGGCCCGTGGAAGTGGTCGGGGTCAAACGGCCGCAGTGTGTGCGTATTCGGGTGGGTCGTCGCCGTTGGTTTGTCCATCCGTCTCGGTGGAAGCCGTTTGTTCCTCCGCGGATTGCCTCTCCGTCTCTAACAATTGGTCTGCCGGTGTCTGGTGTGTCCGACGAGCCAGAGATAGTGCGTTCCGAGGGTGTGCATCAGAAGGATTGTGTCGTGCTGCCCACAGCATCCGAGCCTGTGACCATGGACGGACATCGAAGCCTCGCCGGGAGCGGGGAGGTGCCTGTTGCCGCCGAGCCTACTGCACCTGTGCTTCCTGTGTTGCAACCCGCATCTCCGGCTGTTTCGGTGGTGTGCACACTGCCCGAGCAGGAGCGGAAGACCGTCCCTGCCGACGGACCGGCGTCGCTAACTCGGTCCAAATGCTTGTGAATCCGTTGATTCATTATTCTGGGTATTGCTCGGGAATGGCGGAAAGGTTGTGGTTGGTTGTTGAGTCCTGTTCTTTTCCCTCCATCTTGTTCCCTTTGCATAGTTCTCTTTTCTCTCCTTGTTCCCTCATAATTAGGTGATCATTGTTCCTGCGGATTGTTCTGCCTTTTAAGAAAAACAACTGGAGTCCTGCTTTTATAGCTCTTTTATTGCCGTACCTAACCTGCATGGGTGTACTTACCTGTTATCTTGGTTTTAGCCGGGACGGCTATATTTTTTATTCCGGGGGGGGGGGGGGGGGGGGTGATGTAATGACATGATGACACCTACTGGCTAGAAAAGGGAAGCACGGGTACAGGCACCGCTAAAACAACATCCAATCTGAAAGGGAGAGGTATCTGGGGCAAAGGTATTGGGCGGGGTTGGCCGAGATGCTCCGGGAACCTGCTGGAAGGTTCCACGAGAGGGCGTGGCCAGAGGCGGAGCCTAGCCACGCCTGGGGAGATATAAGCGGGGGGCGGACGAGGGCTCGGGGTTCGTGTGTGGAGTCTTGGGTCCGGACTGCATCGCTGCTCGCCGTCATCTCTCTCCGTCGTTCGGCCACGTGGAAGATCTCCCTGCGGGGTTCCATCACCCTCCTCGGCACGCCGCCGAGTGATCGGCCGTGTGTGTGTAGCCAGTTGAGACGCTAACATCTAAGTGTTGTACTCAGAGTGAGAAGATAAGGTTGGCCTGTGTTGTGCCCGTATAAGAATAAAGAAGAAGTACCCCGACTCTCTGTGTTGCATTGCATTACATTTCCAAATTTTACAAATTTTAGTTTGATTAAGTGTGTTTTCTCTCTCTGTGTGTCCTCGTGTTGTTGCTCTAGTATTTCCTGCAGCCACGAAAGCTCCAAATCTCTCATTGACATGCTAATTTCTTCACCCCCCCATCTCTCTGCCCCCCTCTCTATCTATTTAAGGCCTCGACACAGAGGCGCTGTTTCTCTGTGTGCCTATGTGTGTGTCTCTCTCTCTGTGTCTCTGTGTTATCTCTCTCTGCGTATGTGTCTGTCTATGTGTCTCCGTGTCTGTGTTTTGTCTC